AATACTTCCATATCACGCTGCATATCTCTCGCAGCAGAGCGATTATGAAACTATCTCCATTCGTAATAATTTTGAGCGATACCGGATAAAATCACCAGTATTGCTTTGTAACCGTTGTGACGTAACAAGCCAAAATTATAAATTAGTACATCGAACATCACGCTGCGGTTAACCGGTTAGTTTTACCCGGCCAACGGTTAAAGCATTTTCCCTGAAATTCTCGGCCTTAGAAATCACCCATATGTGCAGATGAGTGTAGTGATTGCATTGGCATTGAAATATTTGAATGTTGCAATACGTCGCATGCGAAGCCAAGTTATTTTGATATATACGTCCGGTTTGTCAGTTTGCTTTCCCAAGTCAGGACATGATGCATAAATGTAAAAACGCAATGATTCCATTTTCACCTCTTGTGTTCTTCTGTGGAATAAATATGGAGCGGAAACCGAAATATGCAAACAAGATTATTTTGCGGCGATTATTACAGTTGAGTGTGATCTAATCACGGAGACTTCCATTGATATTAATTTTCCAAATTCTTCCTCGAGCTCTATCTCTGCTCGATACAAGTTTTATGAAGGAAGAACATTCGAGTTCAAATACATGCTGTGGAACTCAAATGAATCCAAATTTGGAAAAGATGGCAGTTTTGCTGGTATTGCTCTTTCCGCCTCGAGGCTAACAAACATATAGCTATGGCAAAGCAACCTTCAAATTCAAAGAAAGCTCGCACACATCAGCAAGAAAATTGGGCGTTTCAAAGTGATTGGGAGGAGAAATATTTTCAAATTGACTTCAATAACAAAGCCTTCTCTGTAATATAGTTGTGTGATAAGTAGTGTGAAATCTTTTAATGTTGAAAGTAACTACAAAATCTGAACATTCATTCTTAAAAATATGATTGCTACAAAAGTGTATCAGGTAAAAGCAAGCAAACAAATATGTTCAACAGTAGAGGCAGGCCTGAGGAAATAACTGTGACATCATACAAGATTAGTCTTATACTGGCGCGAAATATTTAAACCATATTCGGATGGTGAAATATGAAACAGGCTGTTGATGTGTTTGATGGAGAATGCTGTTCATCTAGCGTTCAACTTGTAGCTGAAAAATAACAGCTTAGCAATGACACGGTAACAAACAATATGACCATCTTCTTCCCAAGTCGGTAAATTTTGTTTACTTCTCTGTCGCACTTTACGCTTCGAAAGGGTGTCGATGAAGAGCAATTGGCTGTGTTTATCAGAGGAGTCATGCCAGACTTAAAGATTTGCGAGGAATAACTCATCTTTGATGGCTAGTAATAAACTTTGATGGCTAGTAATAATAAATATAGAAGGTCAAATCCCTATTATATTGCCTCATTGAAAATGAAAGAAGTATGCATTCGATTCAGGTTATTGTTAATGTCATTTGCGAATGTCATTACAAGTACTTAGCTATACATATTAACAATAAGTTGAAATGAGTAGGCCTATCACATATTAACTACATAGTCGGTACGCTAGCCAGAACAGCAGATATTTTATTTAACTGAAAATAATTCGCACCAAATGAGCTATGCGGTGTGACAAAATAAACCAATCTGAGCAATTAGTAACGCACCCTTACACACCAAACTTGATCCTTTGTATCATGGATTCAACGCAATGAAACTTATCCACGGCCACGAATTTGAGATATTGAAACTCATGCACCAGTAGCCTACTTTAACGACAAACTTCCAGGGGCATTTGTATGGTATTTTGTCAAGCAGACTACTGTCCATCTATATCGCACTAGCTAAATATTCTGCACAAGGTGCCTTCCATGTCCCAAGGTATACATTATCAGAATGTATAAACGCTATACTCAAACTCTATGAAACTGCTGAAGCTCTTGTCCTAAAATGTCCGAAGTTGTACTAAAGTGTTCAAATTATACTAAAATGTTATAGATTGTAAATGTCCGAAATTATTGTTTATCTTAAAAGCATTAAAAACATAGATTACTAATCATTTAAAACGAGTAGGAAAGATTTCTTACTCTCGACTAGGTAAAAAATAATTTCGCGTTATTGACTAGGTCTTATTTTCGGGAAAACAAGATACTTCATGACTTCGAATTTAGCTCATTTGCGGTAGGCCTATCTGATGACAGTTGAATTTCAATTCCATACTCTTCTCCGTATTCCTGATTCAAAGTCTTTCGATCGTGTTGTGTTGCCTTAATGTCATTTACATTTGTTTATAGGCTGTTCGTAGGTATTCTTCTTGGGCCATTGACATTTTGACTTAATCTTAATTCCTAATGCAGCTGCTCCCGTGCAAATCTAGCAGTTCATAAAAACATTTGCGCCATCTGCTGACAGTTGAATTTCAATTCTATGGTTAGTTCTATGATCTATAGACAATGCATCACTACAATGCGGATAAATAGTGTATACTGTATAAAGACTATAGCATGGTCGCTAGTTCAAATTTAATAATAAGAGCCATTGCGAACTGGTGAAACAAGCATTGAGGTGAATAAACACCTCAATTGAAGCAAGTCGCAATCTGGCCACCACGGAAAAATCCTTCTTGTGCGCGGGCCTGCTTCGTGCTCTTATAGCAAAATGAAAGATAATTCTGAATGACAGATTACTTGATGACAGTAATTAAAAATTTGTGGCAATTAAGATAATTCAATAATTGGCTAATCGACGATAATCTGGGCTGAAAATCGAATATTGGTCAACTAGCCAGGAAGTTATAGGGCACCGTTGGTAATTTTTAGAAACTAAGACACATTTTAAAACGATAAAAGTCTTTTTGGACACGTAGTGGACATAACAATCGTTTTGTTGTTCTTGTTCTTTGACACTCAGAACTCAGAACTCAGAAGTTTTATTTCGTCGTGCATGAAATATTGTACGCAATTAAACAATTATAATGATAATACAAAAATCAATTGAAGACTGAAGTATACATGCATACAATATATCGCAATTGACGCGGAGCCGCGAAAGACTGCAAAAGTCATCGTGTCAACGACACCGTGTTGGACCACACCGTAGTGGACATAACAATCGTTTTGTTGTTCTTGTTCTTTGACACTCAGAACTCAGAACTCAGAAGTTTTATTTCGTCGTGCATGAAATATTGTACGCAATTAAACAATTATAATGATAATACAAAAATCAATTGAAGACTGAAGTATACATGCATACAATATATCGCAATTGACGCGGAGCCGCGAAAGACTGCAAAAGTCATCGTGTCAACGACGCCGTGTTGATTTATTGATGAACAGATGACGTTAAATAAATGTAAAAAAAAAAAAAAGATATGAATTGGATGATATCATCATGACTTGCTGAGCGAATTTAATTCAGGAAATAAAAAGTAAATATGATGCAAGTCAATCGGGAAATTTAAAGAAATCACCTTTCTCTTTGATTACTGGACCAATTGCTTTGAAATTTTCAGTGGTCAACGATGGAATTTTTCTCCAGAAGGCTATTACTTTTATTTTTTGCTATGACGTCATCAAAATTATGTGGCGTTACGTGTCCACATATTTGAGCATAGCTCCCTTGTATTATAGTCTGTTTCTCTCGCAATGGACCTTTCCCCGATCTTTGACCCCCGAAAAATTCTTCCTATACTTTACAATTGCAAAATTTTCGGGGCTATTTTAAAGGTGATTGTGCAAGTTGGCGCCAGTAAAATGGATATGCCCTTCAAACCATCATTATGATTCATCGCATGCAACAATCTGTTTTTTGAAAGTACCGGTAAAGAATTTTAGCCTAGTCTATCACAGCTATTTCTAGACTAATTTTTTATTACTGCAATTAAATCAAAACTTCTAGGAAGACAGAGTGATTATTGAAATATCTGATTTATATTTAAGTTTCCGAAACACAACTGAAAACTAACGAATAGAGTTTAAAAACGCGAAAACGAGGTAATGTTTACGACCACGTTTGAAAATCTGTCTGAGTGAGAAAAGTGTCTGAGCGGATGCGAAAAGGGAGCATTGTTACGTCACTTTTTGCATCTTGCTGATTAGCCAATGTCACGAAGTAAACAAGGAAGTCGATGCTCGGAAAAAGGTCCATTGCAATGTGGAATTCTTAGTTAGAAATCAGCAGCTAAATCTTCATTAAAGCCACCCCACGTTCTACAAAATAAAGTACTAGAACTCTACAATAAACTTGATGTAAAGTGCCGAATCGTAGAAAAAATTATATGCCATCTAATTGTTGATTTTATATTTTCACGATCTATTCTGAGAGTATAATCACAGTGTAAACAAATGGTTAGGATGTTAGTTTCGAATAATTTATTTTCGAAAATGAATGTTCCGATTCGAATATTTCCGAATCTGATTCTATTTAGCTATCGTTAACTTTTTAAAAGTTGAATTAACTGTAGGATGAATTGTGATTAAATAATATTCTTAAATTAAAGAATACATAAAGTAAACTGACAAATAACACGCAAAACTACGAAAACGAGGCAATGTTTACCACCATGCTTGAATATCTTTCTGGGCGACAGAAGTGTTTGAGCGGCTGCAGAAATTGCAATTGTTACGTCATTGTTGACTTATTGGTTACCGGTATAGTTCCGGAAAAGAAGAAGAAAATCGGAGCCCGGGACAACATCCATTACTGGTACCGTACTGTGCTATGACTACGGGAGCCTTTACACATCTACGGGCGGACACCGTACGGCAACACAGTACCGGTACCGATACGATACCGGTATTACTGAGATACCGTACCGTATCGGTACCGGTAACAGCATAACGGGTAGATGAAGTCAGAAAGTAGTCTAATAGTTCTGTAGTTGGTTAACTGCATAGGTTACTGTACAAATATTTCTCCGTTACCATATCTTGACTGCACACACAGACATAACGGTATTCTTTATTTATGCGCTTTCGCTAGTCCGTGTGCCTGTCGACATTCTGTTGTTCATATTTTCGTCATTGTTCTTGGCACCAAGCAGTAAAACTGTAAATACAGTATTAATGATGCATTTAATTTTTAGTTTAAATCGAAGTTAGCAAGTTAGGGTTATTTTTTAATTTTTAAATTACGTTTGTTATTGATAACATTCAAAAATGGAAGATGAGTATATGGCGAGAAGTGAAGAAGCAGAAGTACAAAATGATGGAGGAAGTAATAACGGGAATGGAAGCACTGCAAGCCATAGTAGTGAAGAATTTGTCAAAGGTAAAATAGTTCTGTAGTTACCGTATTGTCGTACGATAGTATAATACTTCTGTACTTGCAGACTTGACATGGCATGACAAAAAGTAGCTTCAAATATCCTTTTGATATTTATGTCGTATTAGACTATGTGTCGTACCTATTTCAATATGTCATACGATACAGTGATAGTTTCTATTTCAAGGGATTCAAATAAAACCTATACCGGTAATGGTATAATGAAAATTGGGTTTTCTTGTTGCTCATTTTCAGCCTTCAAAATTTGAAAAAAATTTCTGTCATTTCATATTATTGAAGCAGTATATGGATTGGAATTTTAAAACCCATGGTACAGAAAATTTGATGAGCACCCGGAATTAAACGTTACGATACATATATAAAGAAAAGCTTTCCTTTCTGCTAAATTTTGATGATAAACAAAGTAAATATAGTATAAGTTCATCATATAAAAATGAGGTACTACTAAGAGTTAGTTGGTGGTAGCTTTATTCACTCTTTTTATTAGACGGTTGGTTGGTGGTAGCTTTATTCACTCTTTTTATTGGACCATCAAAGTATTTTACTTGCTAAGAAGGCTTCAAAATTTCCAAAGACGGTGAAAATAAATATATCTGAAAGACAGGCTAATGTTTAGATCAATCCTCCCATGTTTTCGAATACACAGGATTTGAAACCAACATTTTAATATTGGGTTTTTTGTTTGATGACTTTTCAGAATTCATCTAATTTTACTATTAATTTTTTATTCTGTTGTATTGATTAAATACACAATAGCCAAAACACAATAAGGGTATGGCAAAATCGAAGTGGGTTAGTAATATTACAGTATTAAGTAGTGAGGGGTTGATTAACAGCCCCCCAGGTCATAATTATGAATGGGAGTTTTAGAATTTCCAAACTAAAAGATTTGAATCAATATAAATTCGAAACTTTCCAGAAAATATGTCTTGGCTCTATTTGCAATACTTCTTTGATTCTATTTTGTTGCAACGTCGAATAGCTTGCCTTGTTGAATATTTTCCTCGCACTTTCAGATTTTGACAAACTACAATAATGGTTTCGCTAGATTTTTTTCGATCAATCAAAATGTGTGCTAGCTTTCAAATATCTTATCTTTTTTTATCAGCACTGCTTTAGCACATTAATGGAATACTATTGCGAAGTATTTATTCTTCATTTAACATAAATCTGCGATATTTTGCTTGATGACATTTCCCCGTATAAAATCACAGCAAATTGATAATGAACCACATTTAACTGACGTTTATCAGAAAGGGCATTTGTATGGGAATTTTAAAAGTCAAGTTTTGAAAGTTATTATAATAAACCCATTATAGTTTATTCAGATATGAAATGTTCAAAACTTACATCTCTAGGAATTTGTTCAGTGCAACTTAGGCCTAAGTGCCCTTGTATCACATTGCAGTCCATACAAAAAATTTCAAAAGTTGTTGAGAACAGAATAGGCCTAAATTCTTTATGGGGATAGAAAACTGAAGGAATCAAAGCTGAAGTGCCAAAAAACATTGATTACAAAGATATTATCATATTGGCATAGGTATTTTTCAACTCGGTAGTTGGTCTCACTGTTTTTTTAGTCTCCTTGCCTTTATAACTACTTTTCTCTGGAGCCATGATCAACAGCAAAGGGCAAGAAAAAGCATGAAATCACAAAAACTTCTCAACGCATGTTATCCCACTAACGTTCTGTCTTGAACTGATGCTTGTTGAATGGTTGAGAGGTGTCACGGTATCTGGGTTCCTCAATTTAATATTCCATTTTTAAGTGATAGGCATTTATTTAAACTTTCTTTGAAGTAAACTATTTGAGCATCCCTGCAGATGATTTTCGACTTTATCAGAGATGAAGGTATTTTCAATTGAAATTTAATTTTGAAACAATTATTTTATTTAGTAAATGATGAGGATGCGACTCTTGATGAGGGTGCAGGTGATATACCTAGAGAAGATATTGAAGAACTTCCAGTGCATACTGAAACACCAGCTGGTACTATAAATAATATCTGTTTGCCCTAACGAAGGTCCCAGGAGTATTATTATACATACTCATAGCAATTGCTTAGGTACCGTAATAGAATATTTAAAACTAGTCAGCATTGATATTTTCTATCAACACTTTGATCATTCTCTCTTTTTAATAAAATTCGATTTAACTTTGAACTACTAAAAGTATCATAGTGTGTCGTGTTTCTTGGTCTTTAAAGGCTGCTTATGTAGGGCTCTAATGGTCCTTATTATTGGTAAAAAAAACTCAACTGAAAATTACTTTTACTCTGTCAATTGGCCGATGTGCTGGTATTCTTAGGGCCATGGTTTCAACTTGATATCTATTATGTACAGACTGCCAATCTCATTAATTAGGTGTAAAGTTTCTATTTGTTTGCATACTTTATCAACTAACATTAAATGTAATAAAGTCACTTTCATATTTTTATGCAGAAGGAAGATTGATTGATAAAATTGACCCAAGAGGTAAGTTAATGTGTCGATTTTAACCCTCTAATTAGCGGTATCTTAGTTTTTGCATGTGTAGATATATAGTTTAGAAATGAGTGAGAGTTCGTAATTACTAAAAAGTGAAGATAATCATTCATATGATGATTTTGTCTCATGGTTGTGGATTCAATGGAATGCAATGTGCATTTTGATTGTATATTCTTTTTGCTTTTTTATGAAAAGATTTATGGTTTATGTTACTTCTTGGTTTTCCATCGTTTTTAAGACAAAGTTTTAATTTTATTGATACTGATGTATCGTGTATGATAGAAAGGTATACCAACGCCATGTCGATTTATAGTTGGTAATGTAAACAATACAGTCTTATGTAGCAAAATGTCATTGTTGTGTAAACGAGCTGAATCGGTCCTTTCCAAGGTTTCTCGAGTTCATTATTACTTACCTGAGGTCATTTCCTGGACTTGTTTGGCCTTCAGCAGTTCGATTAACTACAGTTCTTGTTCCTTTTTTGTATTGATTCTTTCACTTTGGAACAACTTGCACAATTGTAAGGCTGTATCTTTGTTTTCAATGTTATTGATTAATAACATATAAATGGTAAGTTTTTTACTAATATGCCATTGTAATACCAGACAAACGCATTGGCTTTTTTATAAAATAAAGTTATTGTTTTGGAGTAACTTATCAGACAACATTATTCCAGTTTACAATTACATTTGCTGGTCACGTACAAAGTATATCAAATTACACCAATGACATTTATAACCTTGTACTTGGATTAGATCACTCACATTTCTCATTTGTTCCTCGCCCACCTATTTGGACCAATGCGTCTGCACATGTTCTATTAATTTGCCCCTGCTTTCTTCACCCAATCATCTTGAGTCTTAATGGACTTACAAACAGGCCATTCTCAAAGCAGATTGTGATATTTGAAGATAGAAAAGTAGTTCATGTCATTGACACCCTCATAGGACATCCCTGCCAATCTTGAAAATAGGTATTTCAGGTAAATTTAATGGGTATTTAAGGTTCATATATATCGAAGTTTAATTGCAGAAAGTGCAGTATTCTCATTATTGGGAATGTGTTTAAAGGTGGACATAAGTTAGCTAGTGGTAATTCAAAGCTGACATACAAGAAATAATGCATTAGGAGAAAGAGTGACATGAATCCTTGTCACTTTGATTGCAAATTTCGTGGTCTAAATCTCCCTGGATGTTAAATGGTGATTACTAAATTATGTCTTTCGCCAGAAAGTTAGTGACCAATTCCACACTGTGCGACAAGCCAAAGTTTTGAATTAACTGTAGGAGGAACAAAACTACAATTCATTCCCTTTTAGAACACTTATTTTCCCAACCTTAAATATTCTATTTTGCATGATTGCAATTTTGTTCCGTTACCATAATCGTGCTTTATCAGCTTTATTATTCGTCATAGCTATAGATAGATGCACTCAATTTGAACTTTTGGATTGGATTTGAATTTCAAAAACTTGTAACTCAACATCTTGTTATTGTATATTTCATTTTGTCCGGCGCGACTCTCATGATTTGGTTGGGACTGGATGAATATTTCATGAGCGGATGCGCCTAGATTTGTTGTAATCGTCGGCCGGGGCGTTTTCCTTTCGTGATTCGGCACAATTTTTGCAGTAAACACGAAATATCACTATTTTAACGGTTGGCTGCTGAGTTTGAACCAATTGCTTGGATTAGTGACTATGGCGACTACGAGCAAAAGCAACAATATTAATTGTCCTGACGAAGAGCATACTGATAGTCTTGATGGACCAACGTCCTGTTGCAATATTCGTCAATTATCCCCCGACGAAAATAGAGAAGAGACAGAATTTCTTCTGTCGATACCGCGCAAACTTCGAGAATCTGAGAGCCGTATTTCGAATGACAGTTCACGTGATTGCTTTGACGACGTATCGACCAGAGTAGAGGTTGCTTCTTTGCCAGGAATGGATTGGAACGAGTCTGTATCAGTTGATGATACAAACTTCGTAGACTCACACTCGTCTTCACCTGTCACAGAAGAACCCACCACGGATTTGACATGTGGCAGATCTGCCCCGACCAAACAAAAAGAAGAAATATCTGCTGTCGTACGGCCTTGTGGAAATTTCAACTGTTCAATTGTTTGTGAAGGTTGTGCTATTGACGACGCACTTTTATCTAGTAATCCGTGAACCTGGAGTACTTTGTTGTGTTATGTTAAAATGTGTATAAGTGTGCCACATAGCGATATATTACCGGTATTTATTCTTTAAGGTTGAATATTGTCGTATACCACAGCGAGCCACCGATATTCTGGTGCAATAATGTCCTGTATTCAGTGCACCGTGGTGAATGTTTCAACTTGGTCACAATTTATATTCCATTATTTTGTATTTGGTTTCAATAGTATTGGATTCCGTCAGAATTTGTTATTTTTAACCAAGGGCATAAAATTGTTGGAAATTATTAGATGGCATGCATAATGCAAAACTGATCGATCGCGAGACCGTCGCATGAGAGAAAAAAATTATACCGCCAAGGCCAGGTTTCTTTCTCGCATGTAGACCGGGGAATTGATCGCTTAATTTTACAGTGACTGATATGCCGCTTGCTTGGGAATACGTTCCCCACCTGTTGTGAACGATTTGGAAGTTACGACATAGCTTGATGAAATATTTATGAGTGACGTGCTGCTTGTTTCTAAAAGACTTTATATGAACAAGGGGCTGTCTCGACGTTATCTGTATGCGCTGTTGTCTAAGTATCTGTTTTAAACTAGATTATTTATGCAGTTTCATCCAGTTCCTAGTAATCCGGCGTACTTTAGTAATAAAGTTGAGTGTTTGTGGTCTGATCCAGTTCGAAGTTTATCTGCAAATCGACCGTTTTATTAGCGTTGTTCGTTAGTTAATATGACCAGAAAATTGAGAACAAACATGTGATGTGAAATAGTGAATTCTCTAGTTTCTGATTCAGTGTTCCGATTTTACATTTTTAAAATGTAGTTTAGAAATAATATGGTAAATAGAACTTTTCGTGATCCGTTGTAAACATTTATTTCAATACTGTCCTTTGTTTTATATCTGCTGCATTCTTCATCTTGTAATCCATAAGCTACCGAAACGGGAAGTATGTCATCTGAAAGTTACCTCAGAGATTACTACGAGCAACTCCCTTCCGAAACAGGTAAACGATATACCGAATGAATTGGAAGTCTTGTCCAATTAGACCGTTGGACCAGAAACCGTTGTTATTTTGTCAAAGCTTCTGTTAGTGACCACTATCAGTGTCCGGTACAAATTTTATACTGCTTCATAACGACGAGTGTTTTTGGCCTACTCCATTTTTTTTTATATATTTTTAATCATCAAAGCTGGATTTGGAGAGGGAGAAACTGGCGATTTGTTGGGACACTCTCAGCCGCAGTCTGATCCCACGTCAATATTACAACCACAAAGTGCGTCAACGTATGAAAGTAATTCGGCTGCTGAAGTTGATGGAAGCCTCGCTTCAGAATTGAGCTTAAGTGGCGGTCTAGCTTCTTTTGAACCTACACCCGCTGCAAGTTTCGAACCACGTGAAACATACAATTTGTCCGATATGAATTCGAAACCTCAACTGCAGGATAGTGATATTTTGGAAGATAGGGCTTTTAAAGAAGGTAACTTGACCGTGTGTGCCTAATGCGTCAAACAGCAATGTAAATGCTGCTGCATGTGGTGTCGTACTTGTCAGTGAAGATCATGAATGCCATCGTCAGTAATGTGTCAGTTAGGACTAGCTCCGTGGCATGTGTACTCTACTTCAAAGTTTATTCATACTGCATCATAAACGGCATATGTCAAATCACACACATATCACGCTTGGAATTTCCAGCACAGCGAGGAACGCTTATCTCAAATACGTAAATGCTACGTTACTTCTTTAACACGATTCGACAGATATTTCGGCGCTCCAGAAGTATGTGTACCAATATGACGTAACTAATTTTGTTTGCCTGCTTTACATCAAGTTGTGTAAAGAAACTGAAACCTATAGGCTGGGGGTATATTAAACTTGGCTAACACAGACAGCACCGAACTCGTAATAGAACTAAAATAAGAAAAATCTGAATAAAATTATAGCCTAACCCTCACCTGGTACACATACTACGGGAATACCGATATTTCAGGTTCCTATACTTGCGATCGACCGAATGCAATTAGATCTTGTTTGTTAGGCGTGAACTACCTATAGTTAGTTATTCATTGTCGAAGATTTCTTACAGTTAACATTATTGCATTCTTGGTAACATTTTATTTCTTACTCGCAAACTCATGGCCACGAACTTCTTGAATTTGTACTCGTGGGAATTGGATAATTAATAGGAACTAGCCTGGAATAAATTATTGCGTTGCGTCCCTTCGCTGTCCTACTTGATTCAGATATTTGAACCTAAACATGGTGATTCCTGTTCGATTGCCTATTCTAGGAATAAGAAATAAAACTCTGAGTGGAATTAAAACAATAGAATATTTCTTCACTTAGTTTTCCTACCACGGTGTCATCCATAGCTTCATTTGATTCGGCCATTATAGTTCCCATGACAACCAAGGCGTATTTAATTTTTTTTTCTTTATAAATATCTGTTCATTACTTGTAGTTTTGTGAAGCTCTTGCGCATTAGCGTTTAGTTTAAAATTCATTATGAGATTGTGTGTTAAATTTGTTGCCCGGTGAATAACGCTTTTCTTCTAGTGAATCAGGCAATAATAAAATAAGGCAAAATGATGATTGATGAAATGAGTTAAAATCACGCGTAGTGTTTTTTTCATTTGTTATGTGAATAACCTATAATTTGAAGATACCAAGTCAAGATAACAAGTGAATTTTTTAATAGTGTCCAAGTGATCTGAAGTTGTAATCTCCGTCATTTTTCCATAATTTCTGAGCGGATGAATTGTCCGATTTCCTTGCTTGTGCCTAGTTTGTATTGTCTACTAAATATTTATTTGCGGAGCTGTGTTAAATTAAACACTTGTTTAATGAGTGTCGACAATCGACATCATCCAAAATTCGGGGCGACTCAAGCTCTGAGAGACAACGAACTCGTCTAATCAAATATTTGTAGCATTCATAGCAAGCGTGATTGTTATGACTAAACGCGTTTGCTGCCCTAAATCACGTACTCGACGGAACCGGATCGTAAAATATGTCGCAATCCTCGCACGTGACGTTGACGAACAGAAATACGCCCGAATTACATCAAATCGATGTAATTGTGGAATAAGTTCTATTCGATACGTGTAGCAACATTCTTAGTATAATATTTCATTGAATACAACTCTACATATGGTATATATAGCATTGTCTACGAATTCAGAGGTACCGAACGAACGAAGGCCGGTAGATTTAAATGGACACAAAATGCGTTTTACCGTGTTCCAAAAGGGTTGGCATGATGCATAATTGGTCCATTGTACTCGGCCAAGTATGCTTGTTGCGCGCTAACTAACAAGAGTTTTTTTTTTTTTGATATTGTGTAATTGCCCCACCACTACGGTAATTTTCCAATCTGTCTTGTTTGATCAGGTTACATTATTGCCACGACCTTCTATTTTTATCCTACTAGCCTTAACCGAAAACAAAATCGGAAAATTGAAAAAAAAAAAAAAGTTCCCAAAATTAGTGGTAAGGGCAACAAGATAGTTACTTCTTATTTTACCGAAAAGGCTACTTTGTGCTCGTGCTTTTTCGGTATCAAAATTTTTTGCAGTTCGAAATACCATTTCATCAATACCACTCCAATTTCGGCTCCCTCGTTGATTGTGTTTTTGTTTCATCGCTTATAGGTGATTATTCGAGCCGTTCTTCGCTTGTGAGGCCTTTGTAATGTGCTAGTCTTCGTATTTCGAAAGTTGAAACCGTCTCGTATTGCGTCTGACGAATGACGGCGACCAATCGCGTGTGTGTGCCTTCGGCTTTCTTCGTACTCATTTACTCTACGTCAAGCGCGAAACGGAAAAATGTGTTGTTGTGAATGTGATATACTTAGCTTGGCGTTGTGGACAGTGCAGTTCAACGTTTATATATTTTCCATCGTGTACGTTTGAAGGCCCAAAATAAACTTGCGACGTGGAAGGCAGCACCCACGTGTGTTCCGCTCAGCTTATGCAGTGACAGTTTAAGCACTCGGTGGTTATTACGTTTTGGCAATTCGCATACCTCAAGTTTAATTTGCTGTGTCTTAAACTAGCTTGTAGAATAAATACGCTCTTCGCTTGAACAAAATGTATCAATGCGTTGGTGGTTTATTATTCATTAGCGTGAGTTTATGAATACGCATAGCAACTTTTATATGTATCATGGATCAAGCCGGTACATCGGCGACTTAACGAGTCATTTATATAAACCTAATGAACCGGAATGTTTCATGTTAAACTTCTTTGTGATTTCATTTAAATCAGTTGGTGATTGCAACATTGCAAAGCTTAACTCATTTAGTTGGAAAGGTGAATGTAGAATGTGCCAGCTCACTGTTTGTATATTGAGGCTTTGGTATGTTATATGATTCAACTTCTTTGTCATGCCATTTGATTCAGCTTTAAACTAAAAGGAAAGGTTGCATGCGGCAGCTATCACTCATCTGTTTTGACAGGAAATGCGCCATTTTTAGTTATCATAATTTGCAATAAGTGTTGTGTAGCGTGAAGTAGTTTTATATTCTGTGGTCACTCAGAACCGCAGCCACAAGACTGTGAAAAATCAGAAGTAGACATGTCTTCTGAACAAGAACATCAACAGGAACCTGCTGTTACTGAGATTGAGGGAGGAGAGCCTGATGAACCAAAGTTCCAACAAGGTAACAATTGGATGCGCATTGGCTGGATACTGTTTGCTAACTTTGGGTGTGAATACGTTGATAACTCCAACATCTTAAAGTGAATAATTTTAATCTACAAGTTAACCTCGCTCAATGTTTTAAGCAGTTTAATCTTGCATATCTTTTTCTGACTTAATGTGTGGTTAAGGATCATTTGCCTGTTTGTAGTATTGTGGTAATTATGTGGTGATCATTCTGTAATAGTATTTGGTGGCTTTTGCTTCTAACTTACTGTTACAATGATAGTAATGAATGCTTTATTAGTGAATGGGTGACTTGGTGGTAGGTAATTTTTGAATACTGAACTTCCTACAGAGGCTGAACCACAAATGATGGTGCAGCCTGAAGTCAAATCTGAAGAGTATGAGGAAGACATTCAGCAAGATGTACATGAACCTGTACCATCCGCTGATATAAAAGATGAAAAGGTGCCTGATATCCCTGCACCAGCTGTTGAGGAAATTGAGCCAAAGAAAGAACCATCGGTTCCTCTAATGTCTCATGTTCCAGCGTCAGGTACCTCCAACATTCCACAACGCTGAATCGCTTTGCACGTCCTTGCACTCACAATGATGTTTTACTTCACTTTTCTGATGCACGTCTTTCGATTTGTTTTACTTGTCCATGTTCTGTTACCTTTTTTTTTGTCATTTCTATCGGCATTGATCCTGGTGCTTGTAAATAGTCGAGGGTGTCTCAAAACTACATTCATTGGATAGCTTGACTTGTACTATAATGAATGTAATGTTGCTTTTTGTCATGCATTCTTGATATTCTAATTTGTATAAATATCTCTCATAGAAGATGTTTGATTATTCTTCTTCACATGCTTTATTTGAAGTAAAAATGAAACCATAAGATGCTATGATTGACAATAGGTTGTTACGTAGAATATGATGCTTGCTCAAGAATATTATTTTTAATCATTTATGTTGGCTGCCTCACGCAACTGTTAATGCAAGTGGCCATGCCTTCATGCAATTTATATTTTATGTGGTTGTCTTTCAATTATTGAGAAGTGAAGGTAAAATTTGAAAACAATTCCAAAATATCTAACTATTTTATATTTTCCATCTTACAAAGAATCTGAAGTTAAATTTTTGGAATGAACTAAATGTTTTTGCATTTGATGATCATTTTACTGATTGGTTAGGTTAAGATATTATTTCATTTGGTGATTTGTTTGTTATGATATGCCACTCACACTGACAACCACACTACCTGATGTATATATTTCACCCACTTGCGGAACTTATATTGATGTGTCATGTTTCACCTATTTTAAGTTCTTTTGTCAAGAAGATTAAATTGGTACGCCATATAGTAGTTAAGAACATGACATTGCAAAGGCATAAATGTCACTACTCAGTCTTGGAGCTTTATGTGGAGCAAATATCTTCAAGTGTATTGTGCTCAAATCATCTCCAGTAATCTACCATTCCTCAAACACAGTAAATATGTGAATTGAATTATTGACTTTGTTCATTTGAAAACTCATCGGTAAACAAATGAAATATTATATTGGTACCATTGTATTGGAAATTTGATACCTAGGCCTATCTATGCCCTGTGATTTTTTGAATAGAGCAATGCTCTTCATTGTCACCCTAAAAATGTATTCTCATTTTGGGCAACATTCTTTGCTATAGACCCACCATTACCTAATAGCTGACTCCCAATTTTAATCCTGGTCAATAAGACTTGTATTTCATTTGGTTTTTAAGTTTTAATATTTTCAATTATTATGACACATATTTCTCAGCAGATGGACAGAAAGATGCAGTTGAGGGTGATAAGGATCCAGGTAACTCCACAATGAGACGATCAAAGATTAAATAACTGTTCATTAGCTTTCAGTTGCAGAATCATTTAAGCTTGTTTGCTACATTTTTCAACCACAAATATAAGAGCCATACACTGATGAATTTCTTGAAAAATCTGATGTATTTTTGTGCCCTATCTAAAATTGAGATCAAAATTCTGGCAACGAGTTTCTCAAGAAATTAAATAAGGTGGAAATAGGTTCTTATATTTTTGGTTGAATACAAGCATCCATCAGCATGTAGAATTTAACAATCACTTTGTATGTCAGTGATGAGTATTTTAGTCCAGTTATCTTAGTGAGTTAGCTTTGGTGTAACTGTTTTCTGCCTGTGCCTGAAATATGAACATGAATACAAGTATAGGCTACAACAGTTATCAAGATTAGTGATTACACTGATTCTAAATTTTATTGATATTCTCAAATTCACGGCATGTTAAATAAGTAATGTATGAATGGTTTTGTTGCGGATGATTCTCAATTTGAAAGATCAAAGTTAAATTCTAATGAAATGATACAAAAAGTCATATTTTATTGGTTTCAAAATGTAAGTAAATACTAGACAAATATGTAGGTGTTCTGGTGAATTGGTTTGCTATTGATGTTCATTTTATGGAACTGTAGTAAAGAAAGACATTAATCACCAGTCTAGAATGTTTGGTATATAGGACTCGTAGATTAGTATTAGTAAAATAGTTCATATTACAAATGTGATGTGTGTAGTGGTGCTGCAGATAATGCATTTTAATCGAAATATCCATCAACCACTGTCGTGTGTTTAAACATTGTATAAGTTATGTGTCATAATAAGAACATAGCATTAGTTCCTATCGTTCGATATGTCACTCTCAACTATTGATAAATCCCTTGGAATATTGAGGTTAAAGATGATCGTGAAGTGACAGACACATTCTTTATTCAGAAATTTCTTTTGTTTCCATCATTTTGACTACACTATCGATGATACACAAAAATCATTAGTTTTTAAGGTTTACTTAATTTTCAATCTTCGAAAGTTACTTTTCAAATTTTATGCTGAAACACTTTTGGTAAATCAAACCAACATTTAACTTGAGCTGCTCTTGCAGTGACTAACATCAATTGTCAAAAATCAGGGCACTCAATATTGTGTCAAGTGTCATTAAAACTGACTTGTAAAGATTAAATAATAAGTATGTAGGTGAAAGATAACAAAATAATAGTCGATTAGGGTCATTAAATGGAAAATATAAAACAGGCCAATGTATACATACTAAAGTATCATTGGTTGTAGTCCTAATTTGCAGATGTGTTATGCATGCATATGGTTGGTCGGGTGTAAAGTCTAATGTTACAAAATGGCTTTGCTTTTATATTCTTGTTTTATGCTTCTGTGAGATTTTTAGTTTTATTTTTTCAAGTTTGTTTGATTACCGGTAGTTCTTTATTTACATTTTTGTTTTACAAAATTATTTTATTTTGTCACCTGCATGCTTTCTAAGGATGGAGGGGAACAGGTGAAAGTTTATAATAGCAAATAAAAAAATAAATCTTTGAAAATGTCAAAATTGCAATGGCTTGTTATTGTTTGAATTTGAGTTCTAAGTCATTGCCACATATTATATATTGTTCTAGTTCTTGTTTTGAAGTTCAATTTTGATTTCTTGTAAAGTTACTTTGATTGTACATCAATAGAGTATTTGTTCAATAAAATGTTTTCTTTGGCAGTGGCGAAATAGCTAAATTCACTATTGTGTTGGTTTCTAATAAATTTTGATAACATTGTGTCTTAATACACAGTCAATAGATTTAATTTTCACACTCTCAATTGCCAAAGTGTACACACTTATTACATCTTCTAATCTTCCAATTATTTTAACAATTACAGTTGTGGATTTGATCTACTGGCGCGATGTGAAGAAGACTGCGTTTGTGTTCACGTTTCTCCTTTTGATTTTGGTATCGCTCGTGTGTTATAGCGTCATTTCTGTAGCAGCATATGCTGGCCTTGCACTTCTTACTGTTACTGTGGCATTCAGATTGTACAAAATTGTACTGCAGACACTAAATGGCACTCAACAACCACATCCATTTCAGTAAGTTCTGGGTTATTTGAATTTTTATGTGTATTGATTTTTTACATGGACTAATAAATTTTTGCTTCAGCGTTTTCATGAACTCTCGATTTCGCTTATGCAAACTGACTATCCCAAAATGACTGACAAGAGTAACTCCATTGATGGTAAAGTTATATGGTTATCAATTTTCACCCTTTTTTTTACAGAGATCTTCTTGATATGGATGTGACTCTGTCACAAGATCGAATTCAGAAATACACAAACTCAGCCCTCTGTCACATCAATTGCTGTCTGACGGGAGCTCGTAACTTGTTCCTTGTCCAGAACACTATCAGCTCTCTGAAGGTATTTTGTTAAATTTAGGTATCTTGCAATATTGAATTTCAATGTGTATCAGAGGTGCCATCTGCCATGTTCCTTTTTGGCCGGATCTTGAGAAAAATCTCGTCTCCTTTTGTGAAATTGGTTCGTGTTAGCTAAAACCTTTCATCTCTTACAGCTTGGAGTTTTCCTATGGTTACTAACATACCTGGGAGCATGTTTCAATGGCCTAACCCTCCTTATCATCGGTAAGTTATTTATTATACTAAAATCATCTGATAAAATTAAAGATGGTCGTACTTATAGCTGTAATTTCTGAGCAAAAAGCAATGTGGTGTCCTAGACTGAATGCAGGTTCAGGTTTGATGGAAAAAGACCAAAATGATTTGAAGAAAAAATATCATGATGAAGGATTTTCTTTTTAATAATTTTACCTAAAGGTGAAAATATCAAGGGAGGAATAATAGTTTCGAGAGATTTTTCATGCATATGTATCTAGCTGAGAGACTAATAACAAAACTGTGTTTTTACTTTTAGATGTGATTCTTGTTTTCACGGTACCAATATTCTATGAAAAATACCAAACCCCGATTGACAACTACTTAGGAATCGCTAAATCCAAGATTACTGAGCTGACCGCCACCGTCAAAGCTAAGCTTCCCCGAGCGAAGAAAGCTCAAAAAGAAAAGGCACAATGAGTTTGTCATGAACTTCCAACTCACAACTTTTTTCTTGATGCCACTCATTGCATTATCATTTTTTGTTATCAAGCCGTCATATATATTTATCCCTGAATTCAATGATTTGTATTAAGATGTATGGCGTCACATATGTATAAAAACGTAGCAAACCTTGTTTCAAATTACCCATCACCACCATTCTTGTATTTTTCGTTGGTAACTGTATATTTCCTTATTTTGTCCTGTTTTTAAAACTACTTGTTTACCTTGTTGTCCCATTTGTAAAAGTAATAAATTAGCAGGTTGAAAGGATAATTTCGATTAACACTGTCAAAAAATTAATAAACTTAACAGAGCTATAGGCGTTGACTGATCATTCATGCCATTCGTTTGGCAAATTCTAATATATACCTGGACCGATGTAGGATTCGAAAAAGAGGTCAACGAAAACCAATGCATTGGGTGTATTTCAATAAGTATTGGAGAGTTCGTTTTGCAAACCTATTGTGGTGACTTTCACTCGCCCAATTATGTAGGCCTCAACTAATGGCATGTAGTGTTTAACGCTAGGAACACTTTTTGTCTTGGTACCACTTGCGCTGCGTTGGCGTAGAATGGTAAAGAAAGATGCCCACCTGGTATAAAACGAGAGAGAGCTGTGCTTTATATGGACACTGAGGCTAAAACGAAGCAGTAGTCTAGTCTGCGGTACGGTCCAAAAAGCTTTCGCGCAACACGAGAGAGGTCGCAGAAGTAATCCACGCAAAATTTCGAAGTGAAATTTAATCGCATCACGTCATGGAGCCCGAAAATAGTTTTGAAATGAAGGTAATAGCCTCGTAGTGAAAAATACAATCTTTATCGCTGAAAATTTCAAAGTAATTGGGCCAGAGTTTACCAGTGAAGCGATTTTTCATAGAGGAATAACTAGAAAAGTGAAAATAATATATACAATGACAAAACGATTCGTAATGTGCATTTCTTGTCCAATCATTACAATACACTGGACAGTAAGTCGTCAGATCTTCAAACACGTACACATATTAGCCCGAGCATTGTAGGTCCCCTTTATATATAACCCAGTGGTCCTCAACCCTTTCTGCAAGCTGCCGTCGAACACCTGCATTAGGAACAATTAAACCGTTGGCGCAATCGAAACTTTGTAAGGGAGAAACTTATTTTATGCAAGGTAGTAGAAAATAGAATTGATATATATATATATATACGAGTATGAATTCGTTGCAAATCCCCCAATGGTGCGAAGCTGTTTAAATCATCATAAAAAAACAAATAATTGCTCATTGAAATCCGTCCATTTCTTAGTTGACAGTTGCCATTTCTTAGTTGACTGGCGTGATTATTGTGTTGTACCTTTAAATCAGTGTTCTTCAACCTTTATTATCGTGATATACCTTTTACATTTTTTAAGAACTTTGTATACAAATACCAATGTTTATTTGAGGCATAAATAAACATTAAATTTCAAAACATGATGTACTGCAATATCATCTTGCAATCTAATAGGCTAGTGTCCGCATGTTTTAAATTTGACTGACGGCCTTAGCGTCAACGGGAATAATGTTCAACGTAAATCAAACTAAGTGCATGGCTACCGAAATTACCAACCCAGACACGTGACCGCATTATCTATATAATTTGTGATGTAACAATGTGCTCGCGTCGGTTCTTTGCGCAAATGACATTGTGCGCTGCGTTTACATTGTTGTCTCCGCTTCAATATTTTATGATTTATTATATTACAGTTTAGAATCCCTGACTTGGGCTGTACACGCTTCGTATACCCTTTATCAGTTGTATACCCAACTTATGGTCCGGTATGCAATTGGGTATACCGTATACCCGGTTGAAGAGCACTGCTTTAAATACCAATACACCGTGTCGAAATATCCAACGCTGTGTCTCAATGGTGTCGACGGCGCGGGGCGGACATTTTTACTGCACGAGTTTCGGCCGAAAAGGAAAACTGCCAAAGCATAAATTGCAGCATTGGATATTCGAAACGAATCGATGATAATTTTGGGCAGAGCTCTGAAATATTATTATTTGTCACGGATCCTATCCATCGTCATATGAAATTCAAACGCCCCGATTTCATTTAGGCTACATTTCCGATTTCAAGCCCTAAGACGAACTACATAGCGTGTCTTCACGCAAATATATATATATATTATATGAAACCCCATCGCCTGTCATAACAACTTTTAGGGATTTTGAAGCCATAAGAAGAAAGCATATCAAAGCGCTATCATACAGAATGCCTACACCCAAGCATGCGACATCTTTGACATACAAATAGGTTTCGATGAACTGAAATCGATCATTGACAGGTCTACTAAAACCTATATCTGTGCGAAAATACATATAGGTGGGCTGTTCCATGAGTTGTTTGAACGTGGAATTTAGATATCATATATGAAATATATATAGTTATTTTCTCATAGTTAATAGGCTGGTCAATGAAAATATTTGATATACATACTTCGTTTCGTAGGAGAATTGCATAATGAGTGGAAATATAAGAAACAAATACAAATTTTATAGTCTGTGTTTTCACATTCACGCTCAAGGAGACTTTAACAAGCAACAATACAAAAATATCTACTATTGGGTTTGGGATTTATGGCGAAGGGATTGAGAGAAGGTTGAGAAAAAGTACACAAATAAGTTGAAATTTCGAAAAAAACAACATTTTTTTGCAGCACGATTTTTCAGATTACTATAAAGGTGATCTGTTGAAAGTGTGATTTTATGAATCAGTCTAAGGATTCTGACGAAAATTGTCATATTTTGTTGCCGTCGAATTTATTTAATACAAAACCTATATATTTCATACAAAACTGGTAAAAAGCGGTTGTTTTATAGAACATGTATTTCTGTATTTGTATATTCAAATATCATGTAAAGATCATGCAAACGATCATGTAAAGAAAGGTTAGGCACGTGAAAAAGAATCTGAAATGATGTTTGACTTACCTGTTTGATTATTATACATATAGGTTTACGTTAAATTTGTTTTGAAAATGTACGTATACTGTTTTTGGAATGTTGAAGGATAAATTGAATGCTTTGAACTGGAGGCACGCTGTGATCAGAATCCCGAACGATATAATATGATGAATTGGCCGATGCTTGAAATGATATTTCTTTCCTGAGACTTGACGTGGACCAAGTACTACAAAGTGATAAAGCAGTTTCAAAACTGTCATCTTGAAGCAGACTATTACATCCCAATTTGATGTTTTTATGCATCGAGTCACAACATTTCATTTCCTCTTTTCATATATCGCGGTATATAAATACTATGCCATCGATACCTACTTTATTTGACTTGTCGGGGGCCTTCACTTGCTGAAAATTATATGCAGTACTTGTTTCAGTAAAATGCGACTCCGCCCTCTCCAGTCTCCACCTTCAGTGGACTGTTGATTAAAGTTGTTGCTCTTAATTATCCATTTATTTTTATGTAATTTTTGTATTTAAGTAGTAGTTGCAATTTCAGTAACAAAATGTCTAGATTGTTCGAATTGTCTGCTGTGACAGTGTTTATGTGTTTTGTAGCACATGCGTATTGCAGGACATGCGGAACATCATGGTTCGACGATATTGACTGGAAGAAGGTAGGTTTTTTAGCCAAACATTTGCACTTTTCCACGATTTTTGTTGCCTGGTAATAGACATATTTGGAATTGTAATTCAATCCGGCAAATATGCTTAGATAATGTCAACGGGTATACTTTTTTCCAGGTTAATGAAAAAACATGGTTTGATGTTGTCGATGTGCCTCATATACAGAAACCACTTGGATGTTGGAATTTTGAAAATTTTACAATTACCGAAGATGAAGTAGCAGCCGCTGTGTGGGAATCAAGCGTGGGGTAAAGAGCACAAAAAACAATTTTTATTAATTTTTTTTTATGATACTGTATAAAAATAGTTCAAATGTAGTAAAATATACGACCACAGCATTTTTTCATTCAGTTCAATTTTCGAATTATGCGTCGCAAATATGGAGTTAATTTTACAGCCCCTTCGCAGATGTTTCGATAAATTGCGGCGCAGTTGCTACGAAATGCCGTGTGCTAAGTAATTCAAATCCAAGTGGACTTTTTTATATTGGTGCAAATTATTTCTTGGTGGGAAGTTGTGATTATTAATTTTTAATTGCTGGTTGTCTCTGAAATTTTTAATCAAGAGTAAATCAATTTATAGCAAATAAGTTTTTTCGTACTGGTGTTTGTTGAGTTTGGAACAAAAGCTAAAATCTTGTTGAACATATTGCGAAAGGTGATTAAACGACTTGGCTTTGTCGGCATTTTGAATTTTCATTCTAAAATAAATAAAATCAGAGTTAATGTCTTTGCCATAGAAAGTCTAAATATCGGTTTGCTTATCTCCTCTATGCCCAATATATGTCTTCAACACGACTCAAATCGACGCCACTGGGATGCAGAGCTGAAGCCTAATACTCAGCGTGTGGAAAACGTATTAAATAGAAACTTATGAATAATTGTTATATATGTTTACAATGTTCATGATAAGTATAGATGATAACAAGAACTAATATTTGATCCAATAAAAATAATTTATTCAATTGGTCATTCTCAGACAAGATTTTGATTTTTTCCATACTGTTACCCAACTATCTAACTTTTTTTCCTAACTCAGGCGGATCCGTTCATATCAACTACGTTTGGACCGTGGATTTCAATTTTATCGAGCTTTGGAATACAATAGTAAGTATCAATGAATTACCTTTGCCCCGTGTTTCCCTAAAAATTAGAATTAGTCTTATTTCAATTTTCTTCCGAAAAATAACACTAGAGCTCTCTTTCTGGAGATGTTTTATATTTCCATTTATCAAAAATAAAATTACAAAGTAGAGAATTGCGAAATTTTCAAATATACAAAATATGAAAACCGATATCCATTTTCTTATAAATAACACGTTTTTATTCGAAATACCTGCAAAACATAGATTATTCAAATATAAGTAATCATTTAAAACGTGTAGGAGATATTTTTTGCTATCGACCACGTCAAAAAATCGCGTCATTGACTAGGTCCTATTTTAAGGGCAGGGCTTATGTTGAAATCATTTTTAAAATTCAAGCTAGGTCTTCTTTTCAGGCTAGGTTTTATTTTCGTGGAAACACGGTAGCAACTTTGGCTACTGATTCACTGAAAACCATCTCTTACTTTTTTATATATTTTTCGCCATATACGCAATCAAACTATAATTCATTTATATTATAACTTCGTAGTTGAAACATTCGAATCTTTGTACGACGACTTCGAACAACAAAACGGAAAAGTTGAATCCAAGGAAGGTCGGTATCAACACATTTTCTAAATATTCATTTACTAATGCGAGATGTTTGTTTAAATTCGATGAATTAAAAGAAAACAACGCAGAAATCAGTATTCATCACCCAATTGGTGGGCACAATTTTTTAGTATAAGAGCCGCATGCTGCAAGTCAGAACTTTAAAAGTTCCGGCAATCTATATCTTATAGTTTTTTTTATTTATAACATTTTACATATAACGTCTTTACAGTTAGTTAATTTCCGTACTGTCATCAGCAATTTCCCAATTTTTTTTTTTATCTCGCAGTTTTGGGTGAGGAAACACAGAAATATCTTGATGCGGAATGGACTTTTCTCACAGATTATGAAAATTATTTCATTTTTGTTCTTCACTTCGAATCGGGTATAAAGATTTACTTTGAACAAAATTTGTGTTAGAAACATTTTATAATGACATTTTTGTCGACGGAATTCAATGATTGTTCAAATTTGTGTTTGTGAAAAAAAACTCTAGAGCTAAAAAAATTATATATGTTAATCATTTCAGTGCGCGGGCACTCCCTGCAATTTGTTGTTCCACATTCCATGATGATATAAACTTGACCATTACACTAAAATATACTAAAAAATCGGTCTGTATAAAATGGAATATTCTTATGCTATATATTTTTTATATTACTCTTTCTATCGTTATCAGAATATATATATAAAACCAACATGGAGATAAGAAAACACAATAGTTCAGACTATCATTTAGTTTTTTTTAGGCTACTTCACAAAGTAATATATTTATATTGATTTCAGACTGGGGAGCTTTTGTCAAGTCCTCAACCCCACAGATCACAGTGGAGAAACTCCAAATGATTTCCAACGTATTGGTTGCGAACGAGCTGCCTGTTTCAACGATGGTGTTGAAGAATGGATGTGTTCGCGAACAGGATCTCAGTCGTGATTCGACTACGATTGTTTTGATGGAATAATTTTATATCAAGCAAAGTTATTTTCTAAGTGCAAAACTTTTCATGTTAGCTCATTCAACTGGAAGTTGAAGAAATCATTAGTCGGAATAGTAGTTAATATTTACACAGAAAAAAGATAGCAATTCAATGGTTTTCATTCGTTCAAATCATCATTACAAATGGAAATTCAACTTGTTGGATATTGAACTTTTTGTTATTAAACAAATGTTAGTGAGCAAAGAGTTAAAAATATTTTTTTAATTGTCGCATACATAATGCGTTGGGTAGAAAAATGTTAGTATCCCCAAATTATAATGAACACAAATATGGCAACTGGAATAGTGGTCAGGAAAGTGCTTCATATTCAGTTATATGAGTTTAACAGATCAATTAAATCTCAGCTGCAAGGCTGAATTTTAAAACACTCTAGAATTAAAAAAGCACCTTCGATTCAGATGTTTGGATCGTTTGACATTGCGTAATTGGTGGTATAAACTGTTCGTCAATGGATTTATAATCATTCATACTTGATTTAAATAAACAGATAGGACGTGGAATATTGTCCATTTGGAATCAGAATAATATGCAATAAACACACGAGCTAATCAGCATAGAATTACACTGTGTAAAACTCATTTTGTTTTTATTCCTATTGCTATTTTCTGATTGGTTACGGCCCAAAACTGAAGAAAAATGATATTGTTTTCTTTTAATTTTGCTTTTTTTTAAATGGGGGAGGGGATTACTCCTAAATGGCTTTTTTGTGATATAAATTAACATGAACCTTTCATTATGAGCTATCTATAATTCTAATGGCAACATTTACATGAAGGTTTTGTAAAGTCCTTTCGTAGACTCATTCGAAATTCTACCATTCGAAGGCCATGCTTCGAACCAAACTAAAGATATTTGGTATTTTATCAATTTAGCTTAAAGCTGTACTGAGCTTCACAAATAGATAAGTATTTGTAACTTTTCATTGTAAAAAAAGGCTAGAGCTCTCAATAAATAATGCTAGTTATTCGAGATACCTAGGACACCAAATAGCATTCCGAAAAAAATTATATTCAGAAGGTGACAGAAGCAACGTTCATTCATTCTGAAAAAGAAAATCGATCTTGATGACGTTTTTGTTGCTTGGTTATCCCGAGGAATCCGGAGAATTCCACTTTTTCCAGGCAAAAAGGACCAAAAATAACTGAATTTTTCGTCTGCACACGTTTCATTACATAGGACCCTACAAATGTTGCCAGCCAAAATATTGATGTCAATGTTGCATTTAAAATTTTCAGTTTTGTCACACTATCGTTGTATATATAATTGGATTGTAAATGTCCTTACCAATAACAGTACAATGAGTTTATGATATGTGACTACATATGAGGGCCTATTCGTTGAATCGACTTGGTATATAAGTCATTTAGTGTCGAAAAAAGTATTTAAAATGCGTGTATTATGAGTGTATACACATTTCTGTTATATATCAAAAACACTGAAAAATAGCACCAGACTAAAAACTGAAATCAAAAACAATGAAGTGATTTTCTCATTGTACACGTTTAAAGCTAACAGGAAATCTTGAGAAAAATATGGGAATTCCTAATTTCAAGTTTTGTTACATGGTGTTATAAGCTTGTCATGTCCAACATCTTACTAATGATGATATTTTACCGCACACAATGAAAACGAGCGTTCAGTTCGAAGTACGTTTTAACGTGATATATATCGTGGTGAATATCGCAACTATTCGAGTTAAATATTATAGTAGTGCTTGCATACTTCGTTTCGTAGGAGAATTGCATAATGAGTGTAAAGAGAAGAAACGAATACAAATTTTCTATTCCGTGTTTTCACATTCACGCTCAAGGAGACTTTAACAAGCAACAATACAAAAATATCTACTATTGGGTTTGGGATTTATGGGGAAGGGATTTTGACTAAACAATCCCGATATATTTCTGAATTAAAAAAAGTTAAGAAAAAGTACACAAGTAAGTTGAAACTTTCGAAAAGAACAAACCTTATTTTGCAGCACGATATCTCAGGCTGTATCAAGGTGATCTGTTGACAGTGTGATGTGCCTTTGTCGTATTTTATGGATCGGTGAGAGGTTTCTGACGAAAGTTGTTATATTTTGTTGCCGTCGAATTTATTTAATAGAAAACCTGTATATTTCATACAAAACTGGTAAAAAACGCTTGTTTTATAGAACATGTATTTCTGTACATATTCTTTCGTACAAATGGTCAACTGCACAATATTTCTGTGGAGCAACATAAACGCTATTGTTTTAATACACAATTTCTTTTATAATGTATTGTTTTACGGAAAACGATCATGTAAAGAAAGGTCAGGCACGTGAAAAAGAATCTGAAATGATGTTTGACTTACCTGTTTGATTATTATACATATAGGTTTCCGTTAAATTTGCTTTAAAAATGTACGTATACTGTTTTTAGAATGTTGAAGGATAAATTGAATGCTTTGAACTGGAGGCACGCTGTAATCAGAATCACAATCGATATAATATGATGAATTGGTCGCTGCTTAAAATGATATTTCTTCTCTGAGGCTCGACGTAGATCAAGAAGGCCCCTACTACAAAATGAGAAAGCAGTTTCAAACTGTCGTCTTGAAGAAGACGATCGCGTTGACATTTCGTTCCTGAGACTCGACGTGGATCAAGTACTGTACTACAAAGTGAGGAAACGGTTTCAAACTGTCGTCTTGTGCGTGGTGCTCGCCTGACTTGGTGGTACTGTTTAATTTCCATTTCATTCATGGTATATACTTGACTGTTTTATGTTATGCTGTTGGTAATATTATAAGATAAAGCATGTAAAGGCATAGCAAGTCTTTGCTATCTTCAATGCCGGTATAGCAATAGAGTGCCAGAGGTACGTACAAAGAACCCGCTCGAATACCTTGTTTGTCAGTCAGTCACCGTCGCGTGACCATGGCAATTTTACATATTCACTCATCCACATGATGCTCCTAACCAGCAGCGTTTAAAATTCAGACTGCGATTCCGACTCTAACATCGACAACTTCCACAAATTCCAATTCAAAACAGTATTGCAGTGAGCTTACCAGATTTTGAACGTCGAAACTACTTGTCTTGATTTTGCAAAGAAAATAAAAAGCAAAACGCGTTCGGAAATCATTTTAATAAATCGAGACCGATATTTCATATAACTTAGATTCGAGCATGCATTAAGTAACGCCAAGAAATATATTCATCAATCTGAACATTTGAACGGTGTTTTTTCACTAAATGCACAATGACTATATATATGCATATAGCCTACCCTCTTTGGCGGGAATAAAATTTGTTATTGAAAGTTCGTTTAATTTTTTTTGCCTGGTCGGCTTTTCCTAGAACAGGTATGGGTTTCCCGTTAATTAATTTTTGCGAGAATAGTTTTGTACGAATGTAATATTTGGCATTCTTTCTGGGCAAGTAATAAAATACCACCCTGTTTCAATTGTGAATCGAACGCGATATGGAATAATATTCTGTTATGATTTTCAGAAGTTGACTAGTTTTGCATAACTGATTTGGATGTTTTTTAAAACGATATAAAATTTATTGAGCAACAATATATTTTCAGAATAACAATGACTAGAAAAATTACGTGAAAAACTACCCGAATATTTCCTACCTGGGACAATCCGCACAGCCCCTATGCTCATATTTTGATTTTTGATATCGGCTCGGTTTGTTATTCTTAATTGTAGATAACACTAGAGAGTTTAAGATACGTAATGTTTTAAATGCTGAAGTCGATTTCTTTTCTGAATCTGTTTGGGAGGTAGGGTTGCTGCGCTCGATTAAATCGGAACCAATGGGAAGGATTTGGACTGCAGGCTGATTGCAGCGTTCATCTTTGCCTTGTAGCATGTTATAGCGACATAGGAAAAGGTTTTGATACCGTAATGTTATTAGTACAAAATCAATTATAAACACCTGACAGATACAAACTTCACGGATTTTAACGGAAACAACCAATTTGTCAAATATAGTAGGAATGTAATGCGAAGCAGTATTGTCATTCATCAGAACAGATCGATCGTAAAAGTTGTGAAAGATAATGAATGAAGAAAACTTTTCATGATGCGTTATATTTCCTTTCCAACATTTTGTCGTATATAAATAGTTCACCACCGGCATCTACCATATTCGACTTAGCGTTGACTTGCTCAGTTGTCTGCTTCAGTAGTTGACCACAGTTTTGTTGCTTGCCCTTAATTGCACGTGTATAGACGCTACTGAACTGTAAGCTTTCCGAAGCAGAAACTACGAAATCGACTATCAGTCGCCAATTTTTTATTTGATTGTTGCAGAAAAAGTAGGTTAAAATATCAGACACGAAATGTTTCGCTTGTTCGAATTGACTGTGGTGGCAGTGCTTATGTGTTATGTGACACATGCTTTTTGTAGGACATGTGAAAAATCATGGATGGACGATATTGATTGGCAAAAGGTAGGTCTCAAAGAGGAAATTTTGCACTATTTCTTGACGCTTTGTTGCCTGGGAATATACACATTCAAATGTTAATTTAAAAAAGAAAAAAAGCGTATTGAAGTAAGACTAGTTATTATCTTTTCAGGTTAATGAAAAAACGTGGTTCGATGTTGTCGATGTGCCTCATATACAGAAACCACTTGGATGTTGGAATTTTGAAAATTTCACAGTTACCGAAGACGAAATAACGGCCGCTGTATGGGAATCAAGCATAGGGTAAATAATACAAAAACGCAATTTAGTTAAATTTCATGTTTTGGAAAAATAATCTTAAAGTAGTAGTATGCAACACTGTCTTAGTTCCAATTTCAATGTACGCATCGTAAAATTAATACTTATTCCGTGTGTTATACAGATCCCTTTGTATAGAATTGGATAAATTGAAGCGAAGTTGTATGTCAGAAATTTCAATACACATGCTGGACTGTTTTATTTGTCCTGACTATACTTCGAAAAATAAATAATATTATTTAATTTATTTGCCTTCCATTCAAACAGAAAATCCGCTCTATTCGAAAAAAGAATATACCCACGTTTTAGTTGAACTGTCTACGTTCCCAGAATTCTAGTTATCTCCAAATCACGATATTGATTCTTAGTTACATTTAAGCACTCTCAATTTCATCTGTATGGTAGTGAGTGGCTTATTATCAAGGTTTATGAGAAGATATATTTATTTATTAGAGGTATATTTATTTATGAATAAATACCAAGTATCAAAAACCAAAGGTCAATCACATGAAACTGAGACAACATTTCGATTATTCTCAACCTGTTGGCAAAATGTCTTCTTACATTTCAAACCCTCTTTTTTATATCAGACGAATTAATTCGCATCGACTTCGCCTAGTCCGTGGATCTCAATTTTATCGAGCTTTGGAGTATAATGGTGAGTATGGATGAATTTTGTAATGCTTCAGTAACTAATTGAAATATTGATATAAAATATCAACTGCTTGAAGTCAATAAGGATTTCGCAAACTCAGTAAATCGTAAACCTTCGTAAATCTTTGTCTTACTTTCTTCGTAAAAATGTTTATCTATTATTGTTTATGTTTTATCTTTCAAGTCCCAACATTTCAGTCTTTGTATGATGACTTCGAAAAACAGAACAGAAAAATAGAACCTCAGCAAGGTCGGTACTTACATACTTTAGACTTTAATGCAAATATTGGTCTGATTCTGGTAAATACTGGCTGATAAGTTCGGAACTTCAATCAGCATTTACGACAGTATAGTAGTATGGAACTATCCTCTGCCACAAAATACCTTGGAATGCATATATACTTTAGTTCACTAGGGTCTTTGAAAAACAATCACACCCTAATATGCTTCAATCAGATTTATTTAGGACTTTTTAATGACGGAAACTCCAAAATACAGATGAAATTGATAATTTGTAAACACGATTTTTCGATTCTTATTCACGAGTTATTTCTTTCGGTTCTGTCATCAATTTTTTTAGAAAGTTTATTTTTATTCTCGCAGTTTTAGATGAAGAAACACAGAAATACCTTGACGCGGAATGGACTTTTCTGACAGACTATGAAAATTATTTCATTATTGTTCTTAACTTCGAATCAGGTAAACGCTGGGATTGAGGATTCATTTGAATAAAAACATGGTTTTGAAAATATTTAATTAGGCATTCTGAAACAAAATTCATGTCCGCAAAGGGTAATGCAAACGTATTTGTCGGGTATATTTAGTAAGTAGCAGTGGCGGCGCGTCAATAGGGCCAACCGGGGCAACGCCCCGGTTGTTTTTTCGGTATAATAAAAAATATTCGAAAAATACCTCAATATCGGTTGCACAGACTGTCTACACTAGCCATATTCTCCCGACATGGTTCATTTTTCGCTCGCAAAGCCTTCGCCGAACGTCGACGGGGCGACGCCGATTTTGCCCCGGTTGCTCATTGTATATCGTATTCTCTCTTTTATCTTCCACTCGCCGCGTTTGTCTCGTTTGTTTTCTGTTTCTTTTACTAAATCATCGGGGCCGATCGGGGCTAGCCCCAAAATTATGACGACACAATGCCGACGTTTCTTACAACAACGTGTTGACATATTCACGCATTCCTTCTCGTTCGTTGGTTGCTTGAAGAGTTGATAGTTTCCTCGCCTTCGTTTTTGTCGCTTGTATCGCTATTTGAATCAGTTAGAGACCTTTAGTCCATTTGCTTTCGATTTTCCACATTCCTTTTGAGCTCCTCACTTCTTTCCGGCTTCGCATTTCTTAGCCTTAGACCTCATAATGAATAAGGTTGATGCACTACTTCGCACTCCGTTTTCGCAGCTGCCGCTGGAACAAAAATTAGAGGTACAACGTCTTGGGCCTTATCAACCAAAAAATTGTTCACTGGAACAATCCCATGACGGAGGAAAGCGTCGGCGTACATTCTGCGCAGAAACTTGGTATAAAAAACACGAATGGTTGTGTTACAGCGAGGACAAAAATGCACTTTTTTGTTTTTATTGCCTACTTTTTGCTACCGCCCGTGACTCACGTTGGTGTAAATTTGGTTTTAGAGATCTTAAACATCTTTCCGAGCGTGCCAGGGATCATCAATCTTCTATGGAGCATCTGGACAATGCAGTAAAATACCGAACATTCGGAAATGTTAATATTGCAGCACAGTTGGATGAAGGACGCGCGGTTTCTATTCGTCGGCACAACCAAAACGTCGAGAAAAACCGCCATGTTCTCGGTCGATTGATAGATATTTTGAAGTTCATTGGCTGTCACGAGCTGTCCCTCTGTGGGCACGATGAACGGGCTGGCTCTTCTAATAGAGGGGTATTTTTGGATATGGTGGAATACACCGCATCCCTAGATACAGTATTGAGAGATCATCTTGATGCCGCAACTGTTTCGAAAGGGACATCTAAGGATATCCAAAATGATTTGCTCGACTCAATGTATAAAATTTATTTACAACATTTGGCTCTGGAAATTGAGAATTGCCAGTTCCTCTCGATTCAGTCTGACGAGACAACTGACATCAAGTGCGTTTCCCAACTGGCTGTGATTTCTCGGTTTGTGAAAGATGGTAAACCTACCGAGAGATTTCACAGCTTTGTACCTATCGTTGATCGCACGGCTTGCGGGATATCGGCTGTACTGAAAGAAGTGTTATAGCCTTACAACGCGAAGTCAAAATTGATAGCTCAAACTTATGACGGTGCGGCAGTCCGTGGGTGGGTCGAAACATGGTGTTCAAGTTTATATAAAAGAAGATTTTCCTCATGCGCATTTTTTACATTGTTATGCACACCAATTTAACCTCGTTATTAAAAATATGTGTCTTGATACCCCTCTCGTCCGTATATTTTTTGCAAATGTTTCGGGGTTTTCTTCATTTTTTTCCGTTTCGCCGAAGCGCTATGAACTCCTTCGCCAGATATGTAGCCGCCGTCTCCCAGCTTGTGCACCAACACGTTGGAACTTCCAATCACGCGTGGTGCAGGGCGTGTCCGAAATTAGGTCTGAGCTCATTGAGTGTTTCAATGGCATTCAGAGCTCTCCGGTTTGGGACGAACGCTCTGTGAGGGAGGCGGCAGGTCTAAAGCGTCTGCTAGAAGATGGTGAGTTTTCATTTTTTCTCGCTTTTTTCTCCACAATATTCTATCACGTGGATGTATTATACGGCGCATTGCAGTCAAGGCTAATGGATGGAGCGTCTGTGCAGTCGTGTATTTCAGACGTCTGCGATGCTGTATCTCGTATCCGGGAAACAATAAAATACGACGACACATGGAGTGCTTCTTTACGCCGCGGGCAAACAACGCAGCGTTTGATTTTGTCTGCAAATGAATGTTGTGACATTCTGGTGAATCAAACAGGCGATCGTCTGCGCACTGAACACCTTGCCGCGTTCTCTTTGATGAACCCCAAAAATTTTTCAAAATTTGCACGTCAATTTCTCATCCATTTGTTGGCTACTGTCTCCAAATTTTACCCCATGATAAACGTGGGTAAATTGGAAAATGAATTGCGATGTATATACACCAATCAAACTTTTTTGAACATCACATCAACTTGCGCGCTCTATGGGTTCCTCATAGATAACACTCTAGTAAATACCTTTGCGGCGTCTGCAAAATTTCTGGACATCATTTTGACGACGCCTATTTCTTCCGCCGACGCAGAGCGAACATTCAGCACGCTGAAGCGTATTAAAACGTATCTCAGAAACACAACGAAGCAAGATAGATCAAATTCCTTGGCTGTTTTATCCATTCACAGAGACGTTATTTCTGGGATGCATGACTTTAATCAGCGCGTTATTGAGCATTCTGCTTCCAAGAAACCGCGGCGTGTTGCATATATGTTCAAGCAGTAGAAGTCTAGCAGCATATATATCTATGAGTGAGCGACGCATGTCCTTATCTTTGCATTAACTTTCCTTTCTTCATAGTAACGTTTTAAACCTTATTTTAGGTTTTGTCTGCTTTCCCGAAGTTTCTGTTAATATGTCATTGTATTTGTCTGGGTAAATATTGCCTTTCCTTTTGAAAGAGGTTTCAAAATAAACTATGTCTATATTTATTAATCCCTTTACTTGGACCGGTTTTAAAGACACTTTCTTATCGTTAAAAATTGTCGCTTTTGCCGATTGGTTGTTACCGATGGAATGGTTTTTATACTCATAAAATGATGGGAGAACTTACAGCGCTCATCCTGTCCCCGTAGATGGGGGTGACTTGGTCCCGCAGTAGCTGGCCCCGGTTGTCAAAATGACCACGCGCCGCCACTGGTAAGTAGCTAAATATTTTAACAAATATTCATATGGTGAACACATTTTTTCGCGTTGCCGGGTATTTTTTTTTAATCTCCATTTGTTAAAAACTTGTCGCAGGCTGGGGAGTTACATTAATTCGACAACGCAAACACCCACTACTATAATACACTGTGATGATAAGCTCGATCTTTACACTAAGATGTAGGAAAATCTTTCTTTAAATGATTGATTATGCTTATGCTGCCAGATATATGATCTGTTTTAAAGTCGGTATCGATCTAGTTATTATTTATTATAAAACTAAGATGCGATAATATAATCTTAATTGCTCTGATTGCCATCTATAACTTGGTTTTAGTATTGCATAAAATATTTCACGCTTCTTTCAGACTGGGGTGCTTTTGTCAAGGCACCAAGCCCACAGATTACTGTTGAGCAACTTCAGATGATTTCCAACGTATTGGTTGCAAACGAGCTGCCTGTTTCAACGATGGTGTTGAAGAATGAATGTGTTCGCGAACAGGATCTCAGTCGTAATCCGACTACGATTGTTTTGATGAATTGATTTGAAGTAAAAAACTTTTATGGTAATTCATTCAACTGGAAGTTGAAGAAGTCATCTACAGACTTTTCAACTCATTTTTCAACATCTCTGTTTACTTCTCATGGTAGGTATTCTTTACACAGACAAAAGAACTCTTGATGATAGAATTTTTGTTATATCAATTCAATTGTTTTCCTTCGTTCAGTTGATCATTACAAATAGAAATTTAACTTGTAGGATATTGAACTTTTCGCAATTAAATAAATGTTAATAGGCAAAAAGATTAAAAAAGATGTTGTAATTGTCGTATGCATCAGGGGATGGGTAAAAAAATGTTAGTATCCTCAAAATATACTGGACACAAAAATGGCAACTGGGATAGTGGTTAGGGAAGCGCGTATTATACAGTTGTATGAGGTAAACCAGTGGTTCCTAACCACCGTGCCGCGGCACATTAGCTTGCGCAAAATGATTTTGGTGTGCCGCGAAGATATTTCTTTTTTGAATATATTTCAAGTGATTTCAATTTCCAATCTGTTGAACTCCGCGAGAATTACTCCACGGCTCTTGCTAACAAACAGAAACGACAAATTCGTATTTGGGTATTGTTACAATTCTAAATTTTGCAAAAAGCGCGCCAACACCGTTTCGTAAAATTGAAAATGTCAAACAAGGTAACAAATTATTGTGCGAAAAGTAAAATCATAAGAAGGTAAACTATATCGTCTTTATAGATATCCGCTTTAAACCAATTCAGTGTTTTTCAGCGATAATAATCAATTGTTGTAATGAAATACAGTTTGTTTGTCTTTTTTTATTTCTCTCGCATGTGCCGACAATACCACTGCTGAATGATTTTGGCAATAAGAGAAACATATCAAATTGTAACAAAAAAGAATTAGATTGTGCAAAAGCGAGAATACCTGTTGTAATAATAAGGGCGTAACGTTGAACGGGGAAGGGCGAGCAAAACCGAAGCGCGTGGTAGGCGGTGCGTTTGAGGACCACATATTGCCCGTACGGCCGCGCATCTTTTGCAATAATATGTGCTCCGAAGGCGCTTTCGTGTACATTATTGTAAGAAAACAGTCATAATACCGATAACTATTAACCATTCCTTTGCGCTCGACTATCGTACGTTTCGGAAATGATACTTTTGTAAAGCGGAAACAAGATGTGTTCAAATATAGACGAAATTATTGCCCCACCCCCTCGCCTGTGTTAAGAGTGTCTCCCTCTCAGAGAGTTAGGATTATGTCTCACTCACATTTGTCTACAAATTGCAGCAGTAGTAAAGAAGCACAAGGCATAACAGTCCTACTGACATTCACCATTATTATTCTGTACCTGTTACTAAATACAAGGTATTGTTGTATTTAAATGGATAAAATTCCTTTTATCTGATTTTTTTCGTTTATTATTATTTCAAAGCAAAATGGCTTTATGAGTAGAAATGTTCATGTTTTGTGATAGGTGTGCCGCGAATATTTAAAGGGCTCAATAGTGTGCCGCAATATAACAAAAGTGGGAACCACTGGTATAGAGACTCCATAGACTCAAACAGGTTGCAACTGAAGGCATTTTTTCACATCTCCACTCCGCATGATGCTCTGAAAAAGCAGTCATTAATACGTATAAAGCTACCAAAATCCGTAACCTTTGCGGTTCCACAAAAAAATTTTGACTGCGGCTCCGACTCTAATTTTACGAATGATGTCAGAATGGGCTTTTCTTACGGATTATGAAATTTACTTCATTTTTGTTCTTTACTTCGAGTCAGATATAGCTTGGAGATAATGATACTTTATAAACATGATTCAAAACTGGATTCGTGGTTTCTGTAGCGATGTATGTGCTGCAGAGAAATGTGCAATCTTCAATTGTTGAAAATATTATATGATTTGAACTTAAACATCAGAGAAGATGTTTCAAGAGAAGACGTGCCTCTTACCTCCGCATCTACCATAAGTATTTTAGGTTTATACCACTAGTATATATCATTCATAACATTTGTAATGCAATGCGTCAATTACTTGGCTACGTTCTACGGGTAGTAGAATTATTCGAAAGCCTGTTTCGAGATACGATGTTATTCAGCATTTTTAGTTTTCTATTTCGGCGAAGTAATTGTTGCCGCTGTCGAGCGGTATATCACGTCTATAGCTATTGACTGCTGAGTGCTGTTGCATGTACATACACACTGTGTGTGCACCATTCAAAAACGAAATAACAATTGTGCACTCAATACTTAATCTCGACAATTCGTGTAAAATAGTTTACGTTTTTTTCAGACTGGAATGCTTTTGTCATGGCGATAACCCTACAAATTAAACAACTTCAAATGGTTCCCGATGCATTCGTTGCGAACGAGCTGCCTGTTTCAGCGATGGTGTTGAAGAATGAATGTGTTCGCGAACAAGAGCTCACTCGTGATCCGACTACAATTGTTTTGATAGAATAATTATGTATTGAATGAAGAAATGAAACAATGTGCGCGGTGCAAAATTGTATGTTCTCAGTCTGATGTATGTTCATTTAATCAAGAATTAAAACGATCAATTCGGTTGATGAATATTGCTGTATCTATATAATGTTCATTTTTATTTTTTCAGTTCACAAAATTTTGATTTCACGTAAGCAAAGAGGTTGTTTTGTCGGTTGGCCAATTACAATTAATAGTTTAAGAGTGAGAACCAATTTTGAACTGAGTAAACGATACAGAGAAGTCATGAAAAATCTCGATGAATCATGATTTTTAACGTTCTAATTCCACTTGTATTGATACCCAGGATAAAATATATTGGAAAAACTGAAGATGCACATAATTTATTTAATTGCAATCAATCAGGATCGGGGAAAGCAAAATAGGAAAACCTTGTTTTATGTAACTTCCTGAAACCTTGAACAGACCGGCGTCGGGAAGTTGTGTATAAGCCGTTTAATGTCAAAAACCGAGTTCGAGGCATAATAGATTGTATGAACAGAGAAATATAATATTAATAAATAACATTGACACCAAAGCTTGAAACTTCCACCTAGCGTTAAACTGGCATTATTAAGAAACCCTGACCATGATTCAATCATGTATTGAGAGTCTTACAATTCGATTCGATTTATTTCGATAGACACCAATTGTAATTCTTAATCGTATTTTTTCGGAATATTCGTTTAGAAGACTCAAAGTTTTTGTAAAAGGTGACTCGAGAGTTGAGTCACTAACTCGAGTTCTCGACCTTTTTCAGTTCGCGGACCGGTAAAATTTCAAAACAAATTTTGCGGACCGGCGGACTTTCAAAATTAACCAAAAATGTCATGAACCCAAAACATAATCAAAAGAATGAAATTACGACAAAAGTAGGCGGTGCAAAATAAGATAATCCAATTTAAAGAGAAATTTGCTGTTGTATTTTTGATATTATACGTCTTAAACCCGATTCTCTTCCTCTGTCCTGTCAACACCAGTGACTTGGTTTTCACCGCTGGGTTTCTTTTGAAAGAGCTGAATATTACTTTGCTGTTTGTTTGCCTCCATTTTGCTATCAAACCTCGATAAATTATAGGCCTACTGTCAAATTACGAAACGTGCGAAGTTCTCAATTAGGTACCGTACTACCGTGTTTCCCCGAAAATAAGACTGGGTCCCATTCCAATTTTCCTAAAAAAATAACACTAAAGGTTATTTTCGGGGGATGTCTCATACTTTTAGTTATGAAAAACAAAATTACAAAGTAGAGTATTACGAGATTTTCAAGTATACAAAATAGGAAAACCGACAGCCTTTTACCTATAAATAACACGTTTTTATTCATAATAACTGCAAAACATAGATTATCGATCATTTAAAACGTGTAGGAGAGATTTCTTGCTATCGACTAAAGTAACTAAATCAAAAAAAAAAAAAAAATTTCTCGTAATTAACTAGGTCTTATTTTATGGGGAGGGCTCATATTAAAATCATTTTTAAAATTCAGGCTAGGTCTTATTTTAAGGGTAGGTTTTATTTTCGGGGGAAACACGGTATGTCAAAGGTCGGCAAGCGACAAAACGGCTGTTTTCACGATTATATTCTATACGACAATACGTAACAGAATTTATTGTGAGATATGTGTAGACTAAATTATATTATAACATGACAATTTAGTGAACAGCTTCTCTTTTTATATACTTACAATGTAATTATAATTAGACAAATGTTAACAAAACCCAAAAAAGTTGATGCCCGGTGCAGCGGGTTCAATGACGCAGAAAATATTCAATGCAATGGGTAAATGAAATTGATATTCTATTCGAAAGATGTATCACTGCTTGATTTTTATAAAAAGTATCTTCTGGAAGGAAAACTCTATCCAAATTTGACAAACCATGGGGAGAAACTCACATTTACGTTTGGAAATACATATGTGTGCGAACAATTATTCTCGAAAATGAACATTACAAAAATCAACCTGAGAACTCGGATTAGTGATGCCCGTTTAAAAGATATTTCAATTTTGGCTTCATCCAGCATGCTGCCTGATGTCGAGAAACTATCAAACGTGATGCAACAGAAGTTTCACATTAAATGTCAATTGTACTTTTATTAAGTAGAGAGTTAAGTTCACGAGTTGTTGCAGTCTTCATAATTTCAACTTCTGATCTGTGACTGTGTGAATAAATTGTGATTCATCCGCCATCTGTTCGGTTTTCAACTTTCTAAAAATGTGTGTGACCCGCCAAGACTTGCAACCCTTAATTTTGGCCCGCGAGCGACAAAAGGATGCCGCCCCCTGCGGTATGTGCTATCAAACTCCTCCGTTATGACGTTGGCCGCCGTTATGAGGTTATAGAATTAACGAACATTCAGCTGTCCAGGGTTCAAATGGGCAGATGACCTCTCACCAAGTTTGGTTGTTAGACGAATACCGGTACTACGAATCAATAAGAGGTAGAAAATCACAAAATGAATGTACATGCTGTCAATACTTTCATTACTTTGTATTTTGCAATTCACTTATATTATATTAATATTGGAATTTATTTGGCGGTCCGGCGTTTGAGAACCACTGGTCTAGACAAATGATAATTAGGCGAGTTTATGTGGCACTATAAGCATTGCAACATATCTCCATGTAACTGCTACTTGTGCTCGATTCGGTACATGTGAGAAAGTATTTAAATCGGAATTACCTTCCATTTAAACGCGTTTTGTAACATGGATGAGAGAATGAAGTTACACGAATATATAGGAATGTATTTTGGTCATTTTTTTCTTTCACGTCTATTGTCTGATGATTCACCTTATTTCTATTTAAATGAGTGAATATTTCGAAATTATTCATATATATCTTTGAAAAACAAAACTTGGTTAGAAAATATTGAATTTTTTATATTTCTAAGAAATTTATTATTTTGTGATAAAATCGTAAAGTTTTTGCTACAATATAGATAGATCAATTTAGAATAATCAATCTTAAAACAAAGAAATTTAAATTGAGTTCCAAGATAGGGTTATTCTTATTACCAACTTTTCTATTACCTGAGTCTTCAATATCAATGAGGCATTGAAAAACTATGATGTAAGCAAAAAATGTTTAATTGACAAAACTTAATCAATTAATCGTACGTATGTGTACGCATAACGTGGCCTCATAAAATTAAACTTGGATAACAAAGGATTTGAATGGATCAGGTATATGTAACGTGGGTTGTTGTTGATATTTTATTAATAAAGCCAAATATATCACATGTCGCATATTTTCTTGATTTTATTTTAAGTCTAAACTTAGCAAAACCATAAACTTTTAGATTTGCATAGCTCGAGGCGCTTGATGGATTGTTTTGATGCCTTACTTATAAAACATATCGCGTTTATCACCTGAAATATTTTTTAAGATGCTTTCTCGAATATTGTATTCGAGGATATTATATTTGTTCAAACATGGTCAATAGTTAACTTGCACTCGCGTGGTGTATTCCATTCACGGGCTTGGCTTAATCGGTTTCAGAGATCAAATTATCCGAGATAAGAGGGCGAGAGAATCTAGCAGACCCCGTGGGCAATCGCTTTAAAGTTATAGGTCTTTCAAGATCAATTTTCCTGAACGAACTTTTTGCTAAAAAGTTGGGCGTGTCATTGAACATTTTATATTCAAAGAATGGTCAAATTAAAATTGGCAGAAAATTAGTTATTCAGATTTGTGCTGAAGATTTTAACGAATTCAGGTTACTTAGCAGATGATGTTTTCATTAAATATATATATATATGTTATGTATATAAGTTAGTGTAAATATTTATCTGAAATGAGACGAAAGTTCAAGATTGTTTTTTAAACCCTAACCTTGTATACATTTTAAGAATTGTTTGATTTATTGTTTTTGTTTTTAGATACTATGGGGTTATGTGAATGATAACTAGTTTTTTCACCCGCACAAAAATCTCTCTCTATATATGTAAATAAATTCAAGTTATATATAATAACTGTATAATGTATGTGTAAAGTCAGTTATATATCGAAGTAGTGTTAGATAATGAAGTCATGTTCAAAGACAGGACATGATACTGAAAACGGTTGTATAGGTACGGTTTAGTGTATTTTTATCTCTTTGTCTTTTAAGCTATCGAACTGATTAACTTGTGAATGCGTGAATAACAAAAACAGTTTGAATTTATGTTGATTAAAATAAATGTAAATTATTTCCGAACACAGTTATTTTAGAGATGAAGTGAGTTATATGTAACTTATAAGTGAGCATCGGCAAAATACTTAAAACCAAGTTAATTTTGCCGCTTTATACTAAAGTTGTTGTATTTAGAGATAATTTATGCTTGAAGTCCTTACGCAATCATACGAAGATGTTAATCTCTTAATAAGCAAATGTATAATGTAAATATCAGTGCTGAAAAAACATTTATAATTAAAAAATAAAGTAAGTGGGCGAAACATGTGATTAATTGCCACTTTCGAAAATAAATTCAGCATCAAATCTGGGATCACACAAAAATGTATGACTTTCTATAGTTTGTTTTGTTATTCAGAATTTGATCATATATTTGTCCATCATAAAGCAAATATTTCTCACGTTTGTTTTTAGGAAATATTTGGAATAAAACATTACGCGTTAATGGATTTTGATTCCTGTTTGAATAAAATTAAAACAATGACGGGTACAAGAACATCTTATTTTTGATACGCCATGTGCTAATCATAGAAATTTGGAACAGATAATGTAAGAATATTTGTATAGGATTCAGATGGATTGATGAATTTAATTCAAAATAATTTACTGAATAAAATTGAATATAAAATATATATTATTCATCACATTTTTGAGATTGTATGGACAATTATATTACAACGCGTGGCAAACAATATAATTGCGATTGATGGCATTGGACCCTCCTTCCAATTTTGTGTTTATAGCAAAAGTCTCTACCATTAATTTTGGGAAATTGGTTTTACTTTTATACCGTTATATAAATATTTATATATATATAAAACTGTTTACGTTTTTGCAACTTATAAATGAGGGAACGAACATACATCGTGGAAATATATTGAATAATTTTTATTGCACATGTTTTTGACAGTTGAATTAATACAATTAATAGGCCCTGGGCCTACAGAATAGGGCTCCATAGTAATCATCATGGAGGGTTGGGTGATTGCAGTTGTTGTAATTCTGGCATTACTAATGCTAGGAATATCAGGATTGGTTGGATATCTACTCTATCGACCAAGACACAGTAAGCCCTTGAATTTGTTTGTATTGATATTTTTGTTGTATATTCTTTTATTCTTTTTCTACAAAATTTGTGTATCTAGCTATATTTCTGTTATTTGTAAATTCGATATATCATTCACTCAAAAACTATTTAAATATTTGAATCACTCGTAGCATTTGCGTGGCTTAGTGGTTTGCTATTTTGTATGTGAACTGAATTAACATTATGCCTCGGGACGTTACTGTGCCGCCGTTTGATAAAAATATAACGGGCGCGTTGCAGGAACGCCATTGTATAGGATCATACAAACGAAGTATATAATTGCTCTCCTTACTTTACATGTTCATCCGTCGTACCAATTTCAATTCACTATATATATTTAAAAATTCATTATAAATGAGGTGGTCAAATTTGTTTACGCTATGGAAATTTCAAAAAGGCACAAATTGTCTTTTTACTGTGTATTCATTGAGCTCAAAGGAACATTTTGTTAGTCTGGATTATTGGAATTTGTTTTTGAAAACGAAACTCTACCATATTTTGTTTTTTCATTACGCTGACCAATCCTTCTCAGTAGAACAGTCTGATATCAGTAAATTTGGAACAAAACATATATATATATATATATATAACATCCTGTAGTATTTATAATGCCTTTTATTTTTGGTTAGGAAGTATAGTTATGGATCGTTTTGTTATCGTTTTTGTTTTCTACTTGATGTTATGAAAAAATCTGGATTAATGGCTTTGAAACTTTCAGTGGTTAAAGATTGTTTTGTCGTTAGAGGGCTATTATTTTAATTTATTTCTTAAATTTCTGTGGGTTATATGAGAGTCATTGTTTGTGTGCTATGACGTCACTAAAATAAAAATTGCGCACCTTGTGGCGGTTCCGCGTTCGCGTAGTGGTCAGGCGAAGTGGCGAAGAATGCGGTATCGATAATAATATACTATGAAAGTACTAGTATTTATCCGTACTATTCGTTTTGGACTTCATGTTCATATATTTGAGCATTGTTCTTGCGTTTAAAGTGCAAACTTATTATACTTCAGGGAGAAAACAGCCAAAAAAGGGCTCCATGACTCCAGATGAAAAAGTTGCGACAAAATATCCTGAACCACCAGAGAACGGAGATGTTAAACTTACCATGCCGGTATATTTATTAACCTCCCGTATTTTTTAACATCCGTGTTTTGACTAATAGCATGGATGTCCAACCCGCGGCCCGCGGGCCGCATGCTGCCCACAGGAAGAATTCGTGCGGCCCACTTGAAGTTTTTATATAAATACGGACATATAAACATTATTTAACATAAAAATTTCCTCATGGTATGATATCAAATCTTACTAGAATTTAGGCTATAATTTCACGCGACTCCGCCATGAGAAAAGCGTTGTTAAGCGCCTAGATTAGAACATGATTTGATACAATGAGTTTGCTATCCATTGTGAAGTCATCAAGGTTGAAGTCACATACCGGTACTTGTTTTATTGATGGTTGTTGAACCACAAAAACAAAACACCGGGATGTCTGGAACAAGAATATGAAGCTTGAGGATGAAAATCGGAAATATCAAAAGGATTGGGAAGAGTTGTAAGACAACGATGTATGCCTAATATGCCGTAAATTTGTTTCGAGTTTGAAGTCTTATAATTTGAAAATATGAAGTCGAAGCATAGGAGTACGCTGACGAACAAAAATTCGACAAGCCAGTTAGTTACATTGTGCGGTATCAAAACTACCCGTTGATATTAAACAGTTGAGCAATGATAATCGAATGCAAGTTTCACACTAGAAAATTGCTTCATTTTTTTCCCTTCATTTTTTACGCCTATGTATGTGCATTTTGCATAAAAGTTGAGTTGAATTTCATGGTTCATGGTCTTTGTATGCATCTTGTGTTCAGAAATCCGCAAAAGTGTTGTGCAATCCAGGCGCTCAAATTCTAACGTAAATCGGAATTGGGTTGGAATTTAAGTTTGGTAAAAATGTTTGCGCCCCGCAATGAATTTCCTCATGTGAAAGTGGCCCGCAACACTAAAAAGATTGGACACGCCTGGTATAGACAATAGTATTTATTTCATGCATCGGTGCACATTCGAGTATAGTTCATGTACGGGCCCTAATATTAATTCAATATGCTTCAACTCGAAATCCCAGATTAGTTTGGCACATTTTTAGGTTTATTTGTCGATATTTATTTCTTTTTGTATGTTTTTATTAGGAGGATGGAAACGGGACAATATTACCACCGTACTCTCCAGCTAAAAAAGGTGAGATTTTTTTGTAGTTCATGTCATGTTAAAATGTTTTTATGTACAAATGTATGTTCTATTATACGCGAGAGAAATATGCGTTACTTATACTTAAATTAAATTTTTCTTTAGATTCTATAGATGACAAACCGAATGATATAAAGGTCAATATCGAATCCGACAGTGATAAGGTATAGTTATTATATTTCTTAAAATTATTTAGTGAATTTTTGATAATGCTTATTTAACCACAGTTCGTTTAATCGATTTCAGGATGAGCCTGAAAAGAACGGTTTGTTAAAAGAAGTAAAGGTGGAGCCACGAGAACGTGCAGTTGATGTTGGTCAACTTGAACAGAAAGCCCCAGAAGGTCCTGACGAGTCATCATCATCGTCATCAGATGATGACAAAGAAAGTAAGAAGGATGAAAAAGGCTCAGACAAAAAATCATCCGGAGAATCGACGTCGTCTTCGGATTCTGATGGTGACAATGTACAACCCGTGGCGGTGCTTGGAGACAAGCCTGATTCCGAGCAAGAAGAAAAGAGGGCAAAAATGCCCGGCGCCTCCTCCTCTTCTTCTTCGTCGAGCTCTAGCGATGAAGACACAGTCGAACCAATGCCACCGTTACAGCCTCGTGTAAGTTCTCATGGTAAATTAGAAACGATTCCAAAGTAGTCCCAGTAAATAATCATATTTTAGTTTCAAAAAATCCAATTAGTTTTAAATATAACTTAATAACTTCGTGCTCGCGGGCTAAATACTCGTGACCTTTTTCTTTCAAGTATGCATTCATAAATGCAACTTGTAACACAAATATGATGCGATTTATAGATTATTCGTGACGAGCAACCGAAAGAATCTGATGATTCAGATCTTGTGTCTGATGTTTTGGCAGCAGTGGATCAACCGAAGGAGCAGAAAGAACAAAGTTCCTCGTCAAGTTCATCAGGAGAAGACAAAAAGGACACCAACGCACTTATAGTGCCGGTAGCAGGTTGGAATTTTCTGCAAATAAAGTTACACATTAATTAGCCTAATGACAGATATTGCATTACCACCTATAACTAGAATCGTATCCAGGAATACCTGTAATAATGCAAACCAAAGCTGTAATATTGCATAACTGGATATAAAGGATAACTCGGTTTAAAGTATGGGTTTTTCTTTTACATATGACTTCATAAAATTCGTCCCTTTATCCATATTCTGTCAAGAGATATACTTTCGCCGTTAAAAAGTAATAACTATCTTATCTTGCAACGTCCATCTGACATTACCTACCGCACTAAAGCCTTATCTTGACATTAGAAGTGACTGACAACAAATCACTGCTGTTACATTATTACTTTCCCAAACAAACAAACAATGGCAATTTTTTTGGTATGAATTCCTAAATCCTTAAGTGGTGTTCCAGAACTCATGTTTGAGCAGATGAATTTAAATAGGCGACACAATAATCAAGCAAATGTGCTTCTTATCACAGCTCGCAAGCGGTCTCCAAAAGACAAGAGAAAATCAGGATCATCAACATCATCGTCATCTGATGAATATGATCCGACAGCAGATGTCAGAAAGAAACCACCGAAACCAAGACAAAGAACAAAGAAACCATCCGATGGAAAGGTAAGAAAGACCCAAAAAATTTCAGTACAGTACTTGATTTAACAGTAATACTTGAAATTGCCGTAACGTTTGTTAAAATTGAGAATATTTTCAATCAACTTTATCATAGCAATTACAATTAGCACATATTTGGCTTATCTGCAACTCAATTTTTTTGCACCCACATAAATAATTTATATATATTATGTGCAACTATTATTGAGATTAAGAAGTTAGAGATGCTTGATCAGCATGTATTCAATTTATTTTAGCGATGTCAATGCAAGAAGTGTTTTTGCCGCGATGTAAAAGCAATTGCCTTTAGTAAAGTTATTTTGAGTATCGTACACTTGAAGTCAATTTTCAAAGCTTATTGAGTCTAGCCCGAGCCATCTGTCATTGGAGACCTAATTCATTTCCGAATTGAACTAGATTCATGATGATAGGCCCCACGTTGAGCTAAACTGATTGGCTATACGATCGGGCTAATTGCCCAAGTCATTGTATTAAATATGTTTATGTTTTTTACTTGAATTTTAGAACATAATTGAATTCTTGTGAAAAGTTTCAAAATTGTGTGGATCGAAGTGGAGAAGCCTTGAAATGAAATGATTTGTTAAGCCATTATTGCATTTTAGTGGTTGTTATATCAAAAGTTATCATTTTTAGAGAAAAGAAAAACCATCTAGTTCGTCGTCATCATCTGGAGAAGATGGCAAAACTGCGCCGATCGTTGTCACAAGAGACAAAAAAGATAAAGTAGGAACGATAGACTGCATTTAAATAAATACATGCTAAAAACTTAAGCTGATGTAAAGTAATTTCTTTTATCTGTTAGGAGAAACATATGTCTTCAAGCTCATCATCGTCATCAGACGGCGAAAAAAAGATAATACCGGTTGTTGCAGCCAAAGACGCAGAAGCCAGGGTAAAGTGACTGGCTAAGACATTTATGGTTGTCGATTAAAACAATTTAGGCTTATCGAGATGATGTGTCTTGCATTCAGATACCTTTGATGCTTTCTCTTTTAAAGAACATATATATAATTCATTTTAAGCTCGAAATTTCTTATCAATATGCTATGTGGCGATATATTTATTTACCCTCATATAATTCTGTAGAAATCAAGTCCGGGTGCTTTGGATTCTTTTACTGAAGAATATCAATCATGTAAATTCAAGTCTTTATCTTGATCTTGAATACGTAATATGTTGGAACTATCTTATAACCCCAAATATTTTAATACTATTTCATCATTGCTTCCTTTTATAAAACAAAAGATTCTGAAGCTATGAGAGCAATATATTATAGGCTCAATTCTATCAATGTCTGCTTGCCAAAACCGTTGAAGAGAGCGAGCGCGTGAAATATTTTTAATATCGACATTATCGACCTCCTCTCCTTACTATTCCAAAAATATTATGAATATATTTATCAATTGTTCAGAAACCGTCATCCTCCAGTTCAGAATCTGATGATGATGCAAAGAAACGAAGAAGTGAACTTATAGTGGTAAAACCGGTATGCAAACTGCGTTTGGTCTAAAATTATGTGGCCAATAAAAATACACATATATCTTTTGTCCAAACTTCAGACAAGCAACTACTGTAATATAGAGCGCTATGTATATTGAATTAAGAATCAAATTGAAATATTTGGATGAACTCTGTTTTAGCGTCATACTATAATATTTACGCATACGTTATGATTTTTTCAGAAGAGACATCCAGGTGAAAGTTCTAGTTCGTCATCGTCAGGCGAAGATAAAGTAATCGTTCCAGTGATTGTGGGTAAAGACAAACATGCGAAGGTATAATATAAATAGAACAATGTTATGTGAAGTACGATGCTAGAATTATTTATCATAAAAATCGGAGTATTCCAATTTTTCAAAACATTTCACTGAAGCGCAAAACAGCATTGCTAAATCTTAAAATATAGTGCTATCTGGTCAAATAGGTTATATCTATCAAAAGTACTGTACGGTAATTTGCATAATTTTTTAAATTATGATAAAGTTGAATTTTATAACGGATAAGTGTTAACACATATTCCGTGTGTCGTCCATTTTGGATGAATGTTTTTCCACGCTTACAAGTTTTATGAATGTGTCGATTAATTTGGTGCTTTCGTAAATTTTATACTAACCACATATCAGATCACAGTATCATATATCCACAAAAACTCTAAATGGATCACTCTACAGGACTATATATATATAATATTATTATAAATATTCCAATACGTGAAATTATAGGATATTGGGTAATTTTGAAATACTCTTATGTTCCCTAAAAATGTATTCCTTATTTAGAAATCATCTGAATCGTCGTCTTCCGACTCTGATTCTGATGAAAAAGCAAAGCGACTTGGAGACGATATATCGACACAAACAGCGGTGCGTATGTATAGATTGCTCAGTCGCTAGAAATTTATTTTTACTTTCATCCAATTTTTATTTGAACAATTTATTTAAGTGTATAATATATTTATGATTATTAAATTTTGTGCATTTAGCTGCGACTGCGCTAAATGCAAACAACAATAACAAATTAATTTCTTCAGTTACCTGATCTGAAAAATAAACTGTTCAATTTCTTTACTACAAAAAGGATATTCCCCCAACTCGAAAGAGAAGTAAGAGAAAGAAGAAAACCAAGAGTACACCTCCGACCTCTGCAAAATATCCAATTGCTACACAGACATCCGTAAGTGTAAGGCATAGAGGCAAAGGGGGTGGTACATATAAATTATAAACAATTCAGTCTTGCGGAAACATAAGTTTCGACTTCCTTCCTAACAATGACTAGTCATCAGGAAGCTGAGCACGAAAAACGAGGCTAGCCAGGCAGGCTATAAAATAAGCTGAAATTAGCAATTAAAATCAGTACGTATCGATGCTGGCCAAATAGTTTAATGAAGTATCACGTTGAAAAGGCCACCAATGTTTCACGAGTCCAATTGTGAAAAAATACACTCAACCGCCGAGGATGAAGTTTTTCAGATCAAGTTACTCCGGAGTACTTCAACTAACTTCAATATTCTATTTTGCAACGTTTTAATATAAAATAACATAATAACTTTTGCCCAGAAAATATCTTCCTCGTCTTCAAGCTCTGAATCGGGAGGCGAGGCAGACAAAATCAAACGGAAGAAGAGAAGATCGTCTGCTACCAGCTCATCGTCGTCCAGTTCCGATAATTCTATCAAACGAAAGCAAGAACTTTATGTATCACCAGTCAAAGCAGTAAGTCATTTGACCCTTGTATCTATAGTCTCTTCAATTATCCAGGTCATTTGCAATTGTATCAACCAGTATAAGATGAGACTTACTTGTGAGTTATACAAAGTAAAGTCATTCAAAGTGAAGTGATTCAATTCAAAAATAAGTTTTCTAATATAACATTTGTTTAAAATATTATGATTGTTTCAGTATGACGTCACTGCTAAGAAAGCCCCAGAAAGTAGTAGCAGCAGCAGTGACGACGTGGATCTTGGTATTAAGGGCAAGTACGTATTCCTATAGGTCGTATGTATTACTTTTAATAGGCCAGTTAACATTTGAGTGTTATGATGCGTCCGAAAGTAAAACTCGAAGCTGAGTCATCTTGAAGTACATACATGGAACCATTAACTTTATATTCGGATTATTTTGTGACAATTGATTTCAATTTTGTCAATAACACATAATATTGTTAAGTATAAAATCTGATTCGTATGTTTTTTTTACTAGTACATGCCACTAGTACTAAACTTTGATTGCTACAACATCCCTAGAAATTGGAATTCAATAGACAATAACGGTTCCAAAATTTTTTTCATTTGATGTAGAGCAATACCGGATATTACATTTATATCAGCATGGAATCGTCCAGCCAAATTACGAGATTTATATGCAGCAGGATTGGTTCCAGATGAAACGTTAACAGGACTGCGCAAAGGTGTGTGATAAGCACTGGATTATTCTTTGAGATTAACATCGACACTATAACATAAGGTGTGATTTGTTTATGAAATCAAATTTTGATTTATTCTAAGGTACTCTTCCAAATAAAGACGCGGAGATAAAACTAAAGCCATATCTTTGCGGAGAACAACCGGTTGCTGGAGTTTTGATTTCAGAAACAGGAGAAAAACTCTCAATTTACGATGGCTGGAAGAGAGGTCTTCTTAAACAAGGTATCGTTGCTTACTTTCTAAAGAAAGTAAGCCTAAATGTGAACCCTAAACTTAACAGTAAGTTAGATGATACTGCTCATTCTCCCAAGCAGTATGTAGAAATGAAATTGACAATAAAGACCAACTCTGGATCATAACAGGCGCGCAGCCAGAATTTTCAAAAGAGAGGGGGGGGTTCAAAATCGAAAATTCCCATTTCCGTCTGAAACAGTCGCTCGTTAAAAGAGTCGCCTTTTTCAGCGTATAATGCTTTTTCTGTCGCGTAAGATATTCAATCCATGACAATTACGAGATTCTAAAATGTCCTTATATATTACTTTAATTGTGTCCAACGTAACTCGCGGTTGCGGTTCTTACTTCAAAATAAAAAACATTACGCTGCGATCACGCCACTAGTTAAAAGAGCCGCTTTTTCAACGAAAAATGATTTTTCTGCTGTGCAAAGTAATAAATCCATCACCGATACGGGCACATTCAAAATGTCTTGCTTTATTTATTTCATTTTCTTCAATTTAACCTGCGGTTGCGTCAAAAAAATAAAAGCATCACCACAATAAAAATACCACGGCAAACCGCGGACATTAAAAAAATAAAAATGTGTGGTAAACTGCCCGATTATATCTTGTTTTGATCGGTATTTTTGCTATTTTGCGTTTTCGACAAATCTGAGCTGTACTTGCAACACTGACTCCGCTCAATCACAATGCTGCCACTCAGATTATTTTAAAGATAAAACCGTTCGAAAAATCTGCTGTAAATCTCGGAGTAAAATTTATTTCAGTACAATAAAAATTGATTGAATATACTTAATTATCTTATATATCATCACAACTCGGGAAAAAGACGCGTTTCCAACCTTGTATATATTGTTAGGATGAAAATTTTCGAAGACAATTTGAAGTAATAAGTAAAAAGGTAAAGCCCGCGCACAATTGACTTGGTTTGATTTTAGTGACGATATGGCTCTGAACGCCGACCAATCATAATGTGTGCGGTAGGTACATGAAATTTTGCGATTTTCAATGCCCAGAGAAGCGTCTGTAGAGTGTCGCGGGCCTCCTACAACAAAACTTATATTTGTTATATATTATTTACGGTTTTATTTTCAGTATTTTATATTGCTCTTTCAATCAAAATATTTGCGTCGCGGATTCACTTCTTCATTTGTCTTTAGCATCTCGCCGCCGATGATCGTATAATAACTCTCACCGATTCACAATTCTGTGCGAGTACGAAAATAAAGTAATTATCATTGTTATCATTGCACAAATCTATGGGAAATTTGTGATTTAGAGAGAATAAGCATCAACGTGAAGCGTACCCGGCGTAAATAACACGTCACGCTGACGAAAACAATCGGCGATTTTAGCAAAATGCAATTGCACGCGTTATTGGCAAATTTTTCAGTTTTCCAAAAAGGGGGATATTGGGGGTCGATCGTATACTGCCGAACACATATTTAATTTAAAATTAAGTTGTTGCTTTTTTCCATTATTACTTACTTTTCTTCTCTTTATAGAAACATGCATGGCTTTATTGGAAGCTCAGGTAGCAACCGGGAGAATTGTTGATCCTAAAACAGGAGCTCGTTATTCGGTCGCAGAAGCTACAAAAGCAGGAGTAGTGGATAAGCAACTTGAAGCTGTATTGGCAAGGTAATAATATAAATGCTCATTTAGGACGTGGTCAATGAAACTCACTTTGATGTTTTTGCTGCCCATAGCAGTATATGTGCATTATGGCATTTGAGGTTATTGAATGCTGTTGGAGATAACCGAAAATATTAAAGAATGTGATTTTTAACATTTGAGTTGAATAGAATATTCGTCAAGGTTACTAGAATAAACCATCACGTGTAACAATCCAATAAAAACAACAGCAATCTTGATCGAGTGGTCGAACTTTTTATTCGCACTTTGACAAACTTTATTCTATATTTCAATGTCTGCAAATTTTGTGGATTCCAGACTAAAAGTTTTCTCAAATATATCATGCATTAGTTTTCAAGTTGTAAAGCCTTGAGATTTTCAAATTCTAAGCAAATTGTTGAAACTGAACAACACGAGTGAAACCTGGTTTAAGTTCTAACCCTGTGATGAACTTATTTTTATTTTATTTTCAGGGACGAGAGAGCTGTGTGTGGATACACTACCAAGTCAGAATCCGATGTTCTTTCATTGTTCGAAGCTATGAAGCGTGGGCATATACCTGAATCACACGGAATCCGTTTGTTGGAAGCGCAGCTCGCAACAGGAGGTAGTTTTCGTGTCTGGTTTTATATCCTTTTGATCATAGACAGCAAAAGTGCCTTTGTTGGAAATAATTTGTAAAGTTTCTATTCGTTGATATTGCTATTTGAGGGGAAAAGGGATTGCCGTTTTCGAAACCTCGGAAATAGTGACCATGTCTCTTTGTCTGTCTTATTCTTTGTTTCCAGATTTATTTTATACTGACTCTCCTGCATCCATCTTCCCATGATTGACGCAACTTTCTCAAACACATATCTTCCATTTAGGTATTATTGATCCTAAAGTGAATCACCGTTTGCCTTTGGATGTGGCGTATAAGCGTGGATTGCTTGATAAAAAGACATCAAACATGTTGGATTATCCTGAAAATAGGAGTGAAGCTGGAAGAGATGTAGCACGAGCCTACTCTGACCCGAACACCGGAGACAACATCACGTATTTGGAACTCATGGGAAGGTATTTGGGTCAATATATATTCTGAATATTAGTCGATATTAAATTTAGCATTATAATGCGGACAATCTTTTCCTAATGTTTCCTTATTCCAGGTGCGTCAAAGATGCAGACACAGGAATGCGATTACTACCTTTATACGCCCGTCGCTCAGCATGGGAAGATACTGAACCCAAGGTATTTCTTAACTCCGCATAATGTTAAACTAAATTTTTATAACATGTTTATGGTCTAACAGGAAAACGCAGTTCGAACTTTACCTACAACTGTTTTTAGGCAATAGAAATAGAAACAATTGGGCCTTATGCTAACAAGACTGTAGCACCGGTTTGTAAATATATTTTATTTGCTGTCCAAAGCAAGGTTTTCCGAACTTTCGGGTCGCGGACCTTTATTTGTGAATCTTATTTTTGGCGGTCTCCCATCTTATGTCGTATCAATCTCTGTGCTTAACCAACGAGGAAGGATAATGTGTCCCTTGACGAAATAAAACTCATGAAAGTCTGAATCAATAATACTAACGCAAAAAATTGGCTGGTTAACAGCAATGCGATAATATTATGATCTATTTGTATATGTTTCAGACTTTTTTCATATCGTTGTGTTCCCCATGTGCAGTCATCACGGACCCCAGGGTTTCGCGGCCCCCAGTTTAGGAAACCGTGGTCCAAAGGACCGCTACCTGTACCCTGTACTATCGCATGTACAAATCAGTGTCATATATGACTTTTGATGTTTAGGAATAATTCCACATGAATATGAAGAATAAAACTATTTCATTTCAGCCAAAACCAGCACAAGTTACGATGGAGGGAACTCAAACTGAGGTAACTAGGATGTATATTAATATATGCTCAATAATTCTTTGCACAAAACAGGCAGCAACTAACATTAATAATAGAAAATAAATATATATATATATATATACATATATAGTAATATTGACAAATTGTTATGATCTGTTTAAGCCACTGGTTACGTTATGTTCCATAAGTTCGAAAGCATGCATTCCTTACAAACACGCATTTTCTTCAGATGGCTAAGTCATCATCGTCATCCTCGTCCTCATCGTCGTCATCATCTGAAGCTGGGATGGAAATTTCAGTTATTACTGGGGAGATGTCAACACAAACAGCGGTATTATATTCTGATATATTATGTACTACATACTTTTTTTCATAATAAGTCTATCTCATTTCTGCGTATCCTAAATTGCATTACATTTATTTAGGATTTTCCTAATAAAAAGAAGAAACGCAAAGTGCCTAGATCACAAAAATACAAACCATCACCATCATCAACAATTGAACGCGAATCGGTGAGAAAATTTTTATTTATTTCTTTCCAAATTTCTTGGCATTGGTAGAAAACACCTTTATGGAAAATATATCAAAATTTCAATACAAATCACCAAACACTTTTATTTAGAGCATGAGATCCAGTTCGATGCCATCTTCTGAATCTGAGAAAGAAATAGTTCAACGATATGCTTCCCAAGCACAAGGACAACCGGTATATTTATTTTTGTTGATTTGTGAAGCAAGGTCCTACTTTCTCCCATCTACTTTTTGTCATTACTCTATATTTTCTGTTTTATATATTCTTTGTAGAATGATGTAAATAATTAGAGTGACGTAGCATCAGAAATCAAAATCGACTTTCATTGTGAATTTTCAAACTAATTATTTTGCTTCAAATATTTGAATAGAATTTAGTTTTTTTTTTAATATATATTCCTCCAATTTTGTCTTCAGAGATATGGACCCAGACCATGGAGCCCATCTTCGCGAACAGAGGGTGATGCGTCACCAATTTCTGCCACATCAACTCAGACATTGGTAAAGATTTATTTCTAATTGCGCCTAGATATTACTGCTTACAAAATACACAATTTCATATTTCGCACAATTTTGCGCTGTGTTTTGATTACATTGATATCTTGCTCAAGGTTGCTCCAACAACCAAAACACCACAAAAGAAGAAACCAAAAGTAATACGTGGTCCACAAGATCCGATGGTAATGGGAATGGCTGATGCGGAAACCCAAACCTTGGTGAGTGAACGCGGTATAATATTTAAGCAAAACGACTACATACAAGCATTGTAAAATATTTTCAAATCGTTTATGCAAGCTTCTCTATGCTATATTGCTTTTTGAACTCATTAGAAATTGGAATCAACAACGTCATCCGATTCATCGTCATCTGAAGATAAACAACCAGTTGAACCAAAAGTAATTGATTTGTATGAGAAAGGAATACAGGTAAATAAACGTATTGCAAATTACTTATGTTGACATAACAGACAAATTTGTTCAAAAGACTTGCAATAATATACGAACACGTTTTCCACATCATCTAGATTCTTTCATCTTTCAACTTTGTTAGTTTGAAAACCCACTTTCACAAATGTTTTTGTTCAAGACAAGCAGACACAAATTCTATTTTTTGGCAGAAATCGGCTTCTTCATCGTTGTCTGAATCAGATGAAGGAAGGCGAAGAATCCGTGTACGAACCCAGCGCGACATTGCCGTGAAACTCATTGATCAGCATTTAGTTGCCACTGGAACTGACACGGACGAAAAAGACATCAAAATGGTGACGTCTGAAGCACATCTCGAACGCAAACAAGATCTAAAACCTATTTCACTTGACATCGCACCGGAAGATCATTACAAGACAGAAACTGCAGTCGATTTGCCTCCTCCTCCAAAGAAGGTTATATTTACAACATCATGGGGAAAAACGGTCGATCTCATAACTTTACATGATGCCGGGATCATCGATTCAAACACGAAGATGAAACTAGAAGTGAGACTTTATTTATATGATGGTGTTTATTCCTAAAAAAGAAAAGGGCACTTTGTACTAATCATAACAGGAATCGCAATTCAGATAAGTAAGTCTGAGTACCTAATGCAAACGTGTGCATATATTTTTTCAGTCAGGACAGATGGAGCCAACTGATGAAATTGTTGTGCAACTTATAACCCCATATATTACAAGCAATAGACCTATTGGCGGAATTCTTTTAGTTGAAAGCGGTACGAAGATCTCGATTATTGAAGCAGCGAAAAGAGGTATGTGGCATAACACAATAGATATTTATTAGGTATTCAGGAATCCGATAAAAGTACGCTAAGATTTCGGAAAACGACGTTTCACCAATCTACAAACTACCGTATCTATTGTTATTGACAACATATCAACTTGAGAAATTATAATAGTTTATCACTGCAAATTTTTTTCATATGTGTTTTTATTTATCTTAAAAATTATTGGGGGTAATTAATGAAAGATTTTTTCAAGAACTCTATTTCACTTTTTCTATATTTCTATGCTTTAAAATTGCGGTTTCTTATATATTTGCCCAATTATTACTGTTATTTTTGAGTTTATTTTGTTCTAGGTCTACTTCGCCGTAGTACAGCAATTGGATTATTAGAGGCACAGGCAGCAACTGGTAATATTGTTGATCCTTACACTGGTAAAACCATGACAGTGGCGGAGGCATACAAAGAAGGATTTATTGACAGGTAAACTTGTACAGATAACTGCTGTTCCCAAATTTCTAATTTTGTCAGTTATTCTTTCGACGTATCTTTACTATCATTGTTTTAACCTTACAGTGGATACGAAGCAACATTAGCCAGAGCAGAGCGAGCTGTTCACGGTTACACAACAAGAACTAGTGATGAAGTATATTCCGTCTTTGAAGCAATGGATAAGAGAATTATTACTCAAAGCCAAGGAATTCGACTATTAGAAGCGCAGTTGGCCACAGGAGGTAAACCGAATCTAAACCGAAGAATTCATTCACGGAGTTATAAACCATCCATTCAAACCCCTGATTTCGAAATATCTAACCGTTTGTTCCAATTGCAGGTATTATTGATCCTAAAGCAAATCACAGGCTGCCTCTTGAAGCTGCATATAGAAGAAGGTTGTTGAATCAGCATACTCTAAATGTGCTCTACGATAAGAGTGACGACAGTAAGAGCTTCGTTGACCCTAACACACAAAAGAATATGTCGTACCAAGAGATTGTGTCTCTTTGTGTAACTGATGTTGAAACAGGAGTGCTTTTGTTCCCGCTCGAATCTCAAGAACGCGGTCGCGGACCTAAGACTTCTGTAAGCGTACGTTCATCCACAAGCCTTGACGTCATATCGCCTTCCCGTTCCAAATCCAGAGAGAGAAAAGAGGAATTTTCTCTTCCGAGAACATCAGCATCCGAATCGTCCTCAGACGAGAGAAGAATACGAAAAAAGACAACGAGAGAAATTGAAACATCTTCCGCGAGAATTGAATTGGTTAAAACACCAGTTATGTCAGGTAAACTACATAAGAGAACAATGCACAGATATACACGGACGTGAAGGTCAATATTACTTGTATGGCCACGGCATTGTTAGTAAAATTTTAGCCAAAAGTTAAAACAATTGTACCGAATGTTACATGAATGTGTGACCGTGAATCAAGTAAACCAGCACAATTTGGGGTGACATTCCGGGACTAATAGGACTAATAGCTTTCATCTTACTAGGAATTTCAAGTCGATAGTCCATTAGCTGCTAAGAAAAAAAAAATTTCACCGCAACAACAACGATCCCAACGAGATTAACAACAGTTTTTCAAAACGATCCATCGGCATTTTTGCACGTATTTTACTTGACATTAATAGATCTTATCAATCAATAGACTTATTCATAATATTAAATCTAGGTGATGATGACGATTCGTTTCCAATAAAAAGATCCCAAATTCAAAAGAAACCGAATTCTTCTGATGAAGAACGGCAACGTAAGATCCGCTCGGAAATGACAAGGATGATTGAAAAGGATGTTGATATAGAAACGAGAGAAATTTCTACGAAGAGTGTCGTGCTCGAGAGCTCTCAACAATTTTCTCCTGTTGAATTTGATGTAAAAGTAGAAGAGTCCGATACCAAGAAGCCCGGTTCAAGTAGCAGCAGTGCCGAAGATGAAAAAATGGATGTACAAACAACGAAAGATGTAATTGTAGAAGAATCAAAAGATTCTTTGTCTAGTATGTCTACTACAACTACAATAATAACAACGACGGAAACTTTCAAGAGCAAATTACAGAGAAAAAGGTAAGGTGTTGTTAAGCTCAGTGGCATATGTTATCATTGAACATATATATATTCAAAGCACCTTTTGATTATTGTATGGAATATGACTTTTATATTATTTATTACATACATTTACATGGGCCAATATTTAAAACTTTGATGTTCAAAATCTAGCAGAACGAATGTCGCTTGTTATATAAAATAATTCTGGTTTACCAATTTAAATATTGAAATAGTAAAAGATATTAAATCTCATGTTTTATGTTGATTCTCTTTTTATGTTTTCTGACCGACCAGGTCTAGTAAAGACATAAAATTCAAATCGGGATGGAATAGACAGGCAACTCTACAAGACTTGTTTGCATCTGGAGTTGTTTCTCAAGAAACTGTCAAAGAGCTTGAAGAAGGTAAACACATAAACTAAAATGAAAATAACTATTAAGCTACTCAAGTAATAAGTATAACTATATATATAGTAGCAGGAGTGTGTCAAAAATGTCGCTTCCCCCTTGTATATCTTGTTTCACGCGTCCCATGTGTACCACGTGGTCCCGCTTGTCTTACGTGCCTCATACTTGCATACTTATCCCACACTTGTATCACTTGCCCCATTTTTCTGGCATGAATCACTTCCGCAACATATACCCCCCATTTTTGTATTACTTGTTCCCTTGTCCCACTTGTATCATCACGTGGGACAGTTGGTATAAGTGAGATATGACATTCAAGAGACACAGTGAGGTAGGTATCAACTATTCTCAAGTTTTTTGAAGTTAACCAACAGAATACCCATTGGATTTGTCAAAACTATGAATATTTCATTTTCAGCTAAATTAAAAATACTTAGATTCGGGACAGGTAAAGCCAGTTAAAAGTGATCGACATTTTGTCAGATGTGTGGTCTATTGTGGTAAGGTATTTTGTTACCATGTAGGCAGCTAATTTGATTAATATGGCAACTACACTACAAGATATATACTCCCAATCAAATTAAATGTTTTATGCTAAGACTTGTTCTATGATTTCAAATATCTTCAACTTAAATAAAAAGGATGGACGTATTGCCGCACCACGTATATATCCAACTTGATAATAATTGCTCAATTTACAGGTACAATTGAGGAGAAAGACGTAGAAGCGAAGCTTCAGCAATATTTGGTCGGAGCTGAACCAATATCTGGTATTTTGTTGTCAGATAGTGGCGAAAAGATTTCAATTTATGCTGCTTGGAGGAAAGGATTCATAAGACGGGGTATTATATTTATACATCTTATTTCCATTGCTGTATAAAAAGTTAACTAGAAAACGATAACGCTATAAAGTTACCTTTAAAAATTACAACCTAATTAACACAACATATTGTATAATGCTAGAAATAATGTACACATATAAATATCTTCAGACCCATAAACACTTATATACCAACTTCCTATATATCAAGGGACATCTATTAGCCTGTTGGAAGCACAGGCAGCAACTGGAAGAATTTTAGATCCACAAACTGGAGCAAGATATTCCGTACAGGAAGCATCCAAGCACGGATTAATTGACAGACAATTTGAAGCGGTGCTAACAAGGTGACCACAAATGGCATTACTGTATATATACATAGGTCGTTCGGTAGACAACTGCCTGCTCCGATAGTCATGCTGAATATGCTCTCCACGTGTTGTCCTGTACTGTTTTGCGACACTTTTATTGGCGGGCCTTAAATACAAATATTACGGTACTCGTTGCGCACACTTGCGTTATTTGAATCTATTTTTATGCCCCCAAGTCGAATTTTAAGAAATGTTGTTATAATATAAGAGCCTAATCTACACTGAAATATCGAAGTAAGTTAGTCTTCAGTAAGCTATTATACGAAATTATTACAGAGCGGAGAGAGCAGTGTATGGCTTCACTACACGTCTGAGCTCTCAAGTTTTCTCTTTATTCGAAGCGATGAAGAGAGGACTCGTCGTTGAAAAACACGGAATTCGACTTCTAGAAGCCCAGATAGCAACGGGAGGTATGCCAATATACTATACATAACTCAAGACCGGTGGTATTATGTGCTAGAATTATTACTCAATAAATTTTCCAATGATTTATGAGATTTACGTTAGTGAATTTTCACAGATTAACCACTTGCTTCTGATCCGTTTCATAATTCATTTTACTTTACGACAGGAATCATCGATCCCAATGCAAACCATCGTTTGCCAGTAGATGTCGCATACGAGCGAGGTTTGTTCGATCAAAGAATGAATGAGATTCTGGAGGATCCTGGTGATGACACAAGAGGATTCTTTGATCCTAATACCGAAGAAAATCTCACCTACTTGGAACTGATGGAAAGGTATAACCATAACTACTTTGGAGTTCTCATTTGGAGAAGGTTTTCAAAAAACAAATATACTATTAAATTTGCTTTGTGTCATTTCAATCTTACACGAGTGTGCGCGTTCTATTTAGTTGTAATATCTGTTCATCGAGTCTTTCGGTCAAGATACAATTTTGAAACTGAATTGAAAAAAAAATCAAAATAGTTAAATCATACCAGATTTTTCCTATATAGCAGCACATAGAATGGGAATTCCTACATAGAATACCAATAATTCATGTGTGTTTATCGTTTAGTAAGGTTGAATTACATTATAAACTACTTTCTTTTTGAATGCATTTGTGGTTTAATTAGAAATATTTCACTTAAACAGGTTATTTTTCAATACTCAGTTCAAATAAATCTCTTTCAAATTTTAATCAATACTAGATTCGCATAATCTAATAACAATCAGGTTAAATTGTTGTTTTTCATTGGCAGATGTGTTATAGACTCTGATACCGGTATGAGATTGTTACCACTACGGTCGCATCGGGCTGTCAGTTCCGCAAAGAGGTCAAAGGTAACATATTCGATATTTCGAGCAACTTTATTTAGTAAAGTATTTTTACTTCAGTGGAATCATAATCAACTTTTTCAGCAGGAACTAAGAAAAAATAATCCGCATAGAAGTAAACGAAGTGAATCAATATAATTTTAGAATGAAATTGAACAGAAATTCATTACAACATTATAATTGATCATATATATTTTTCGAATTCGTCCATCTTTCCAGGTAATGTTCCAATCACGAACAGGGCGCCAGGTCACATTGCACGATTTAGTATTGGCAAGGAGGGTGGATGAGTCCACTGCAAAACGAGTAGAAGAAGGGAAGGTATCACAAGGAGAGATAGATAATATGGTTGCCAAATTAAGAGTTTTTGTAGATGGAACGATGCCCATAGCTGGAGTGATCAATACAGATACTGGTAGGTTGAGTATTGTTTATTAATTTCACTTTTATTTTGAAATTGCTGGAGCGATGGATCTAACTACGTTGGATTTGTAGGTTAACGATCTAGGGTCAGATATTTCTTCATCTGCTTGTGGTGGCTGTAATGTCTCACTATGTATTCACCAAAATTAATATTTATCATTATGAATACCATGCAATTATGTTCTTGTACCCTTAAACTAGTACTGTAATTCCAAACCCCTCAATGACTATTTCTTAAATTCTATTGGTGGGATCGAACCCGTACTCAGGAACACGAAGGGAGAATCAGATGTTCTGTTTTGTTGAAATAAATGTATTGAAGGTTTCTAGGGAGATCTAATAATATCAATGAGTGCATTGATAAAGAACAACTGATTTACTCAAAAAACTTTATTATTTTGTGAATTTTTTAACACGGACAGCCGTGTTTGTAATCAATTGTAAGGTTTACCTCATGTTACAAAATTTCGTTTTCAACATATTGTAAACCTCCAATATCACTGCACTACAGACTTATATACCATATAATCAAGAGTATTGTATAGTATACCTTATCATTACCTATGGGACTTTGTAGTGTAATAAAATTATACGAACTTTTGCAGGTGAGCGATTCAGTATTTACGAAGCTGCCAAATCTGGTTTGATCAGACGAGGAACAGCGTTTGAACTATTGGAAGCTCAAGCATGCTGTGCTAAAATCATAGATGTACAAACTGGAAAAGTAATTACGATAGAAACAGCAATTAGATCGGGAATCATCGACAGGTACAATGCTGGATATATGTGTATGTATATATCACAGTGGAAACACATCAAAATCTGTATTATTATAAATAGCGATACTTTAGGGTTTCTAACCCGATCTATTTATTTCACTTTTCAATATTTTATTTTTGAATCCAGGGAATTTAAAGATGTCGTAGAACGAGCTCACCGTGCTGTTACCGGCTACAGAGAGCCATTCAAACGAGAACTTCTATCTTTGTGTGAAGCTATGAATCGCCATATTGTGGTTCGAAGACATGGAATAAGGTAATTGACATAGTTGATTTTATTGGCTATTTTGGTGAATGAAATTCAGATTGCAATAAGCTGAATGTGGCAACAAGCCTTCGCAGAAAGATTCGGAATTTGTGATGTAGTTTTTTCGTGCACGGTTGATTGTGGTTGATAGATGTCGCTGAAGGAAATCTTTTATAGATATATCTCTCTGATAACGTAAGTCTTATTATTAGAAGCATTTATTTCATGTTTGCATAATTGTTGCTATTTAGTAAGAACGGGGAACTACCAGTCAAACGATATTACCAAATGTGACAATGTTTTATTTTTATTATTTTATTTTAGATTGCTTGAGGCTCAAATCGCAACAGGAGGTATTTTTGACATCAAGAGCCCTGTACGCATAACACCAGAAGTTGCATTGAAGCGAGCATTGGTTGATGCTAAACTTGCAGAAGATCTTGAAAATAAAACAACACAAAGCTATTTCGATCCTGTAACTGGAGAAAATTTGAATTATTCTGAATTGATGGGAAGGTTTGTAACATTTGAAATTATTGCTAATATTATTTCAAAGCTACGTTTTTTCAATATTGAATTTCTTAGTGAATGGGTCAATTGGCATATCACAAATGTAGTTTAAAATCAGATTATAGTTTGTAAAAAAAAATGCGAAAAATATATATACCGTACATTACGGTGAATTGCATCTAGACATATTTTTTCAAGTCATCATCCATATTATCAAATTGAAAGTTGAGAGCACAAATTGAAGATTAAGACTATGTCAGAGTTCATTTCATTTTTGAGGATTCGAAAGGGTGCTAGCAACCATCAAAAGTCAGGGCATGCCATTCCATAAAATGGAAATTCATGACTGAAGTTACAATACTATATTATGGTGCTGATTAATTCATCTTCGTTCTGGTACTTGCAGATGCGTCACCGATAAAGACACCGGTCTTTTATACTTGATGGTTGAAGGGGGCACAGTAACGGGATATGTTCGTCCTTTTGAGCCAGAACATGCCAGTAAAATCAGATCGCAGTCCGAAAACCCAGCAAGAATAACTACAGAGGTACCGTACAACAAGCATATTATTTTTATAACATCAAATAGAAACCTATCAATACACAGGATCCACAGATTAGTTTTATTCTTCGTAAAAGTGCTATTATATATTGTGTAAGCTGACATATTCCGTTTTCAAGGCTTCGTATAAGGCCTCCTTGAATTAATTTGTGGTGATCGAGCAAACATCAAAAACTAAGCCTCAGCCGTAAAATGTTTAATTAAGAATAGGACCAAATAATCGATATAACGAAATCAGTGGTCATCTCCACAACGGTTATATGTTAATGAAAATAAATTTTTCAGAATATATATACATATAATTATCTGGAATTATTATTTTTAAAGAACTTCGCGTGTTAGATTCACTGCAGTACAATGTCCCCTTCCTACTGACTCTTAAAACAATTTTCAGGAGTCATGCACCGAGTCCAAAAACAATTGATGACATTTTTTAGTTGACACTTTTTGGATGAAATTATAAATGATATATCCGCAAGGATACAATAATTTTTTTCCATAATGTTTATGTCGTGAATTTTTTTTTCATTTTTCATAAATAGGAAGTGACAACTACGAGAAGTGTCAGTGCTTCAAGAACTTCTACAGATGTTTCTACTGAGAGTAAATCTGGTAAATGAAGAAAAAATGGATTTTTACTCATGTTTTCATCCACATCCTGCATGTTTCATAGATAATCATATATAAATACACTGAACGTTAATGGCATGACTCAAAAATACAAAACTGTAGTCCGTATAATATCTGATAGATTCAGGAATTGAGTATAACTTTAATAGTTTTTATGAATGAAAATACTAATTTAACAATGTATCTAATCGACTATTTTCATACTGTTACAATCGTATCTAAAATTCTTCCGAAAGAAAATTGCTCTACGAATTCGAACATGCCGTGACTGCGAATATGTAGTACATACAACTTGCAAAGTTGGAATCACTCCCATCATTTTTCACTTCTCGCTTTTAAAATGTGGCAACATAAATCTGAAAAATCTACTTTCTAATCAATAACTTAAAGTAATGATATTCATCTAGATGTGTTTTACTTCCCCCAACCTATTGTTTTTATATGATACGTTATGCCCCGAGGCATAAATAATGTTCTAATCCATTATCACATCATTTCATATCCCATATAAAATGTCTATTTTGTGACCAGTCACTCTCATTGATATATGATATCACTCGCTTTTTAATTTCGCTGTGCTGTATGAAATCGCAACAAGAAATGCATATTACCGAAGCAATAGTCGGCGTGTTTACCTCCTATAATACAATAATTTTCAAACACTCGAATTTAATTTCATACAGCACTCCAAACAATCGAATAGCGTGTACCAATGCCCTGCCCTGCATTTCACAATAAAGAATCAAAATTGTGAATTGACTAATCTATAATCCTAAGTTGTTTTTTTTCAACTGGTTTGGTGTTAACTTGTGAACGTGGTGCTCGTAACTCCTATATAACTGAAACTAACTGTAATTGCGATTACTATTAACTATATTTGATGGTGTTTGGCCATGTCTCTGTTTAAAATGTCAGACGTATTCATAATCCGTATATTGCGAGTGGATACTGCATATTTTCAACAGGGATATAACGCTTGAATAATATTAAAACAGAATCATCAACAAGAAAAACTAAGAAATCAAAGAGCACCAAAGATAGCAGAATGTCAACATCGTCAATGGACTCTGGAGGAAGTTCTCCTTCGTCACCATCCATCTTAAGTCGGAAAGTGATCATCGTTGATCCCGATACTAATGAAGAAATCGACATCAACGAGGCGTTAAAAAGAAAGCTAATTGACAAAGCTACCGCGCGTCAACTTTTGGCACAACAAGGCGACTACGAAGAAGCTGTTTAACTGGTGTCCTTCAACTAAGGGTGGATTCACATTAAAATTTCTCCTTGCCTGGAAGTGCCGACGTTATTGTTGATACGCGTTCTTAACCTACATATTTTAATCTTATTATTTTAAATTTAATTTTTAATTGAAATTATCTAGAATACTGGTACCTGGTATCTGGTAATACTGGCTAATTAATTATATACCAAGCATGATTCGAAATTCATTGACAAAGTTTGTTTATACAACATATTTCAGTGCAGAATTTTCAAAGGATATCAATAAAAAACGTTTTATCAGAATTATTTACCTATTGTCTTCGGTGGATAAAATCTTCTTGTACGCGAATAACTAACTTTGCACATTTTGTCGTGTCGTATTGGTAAATAAGTTCAAAATAAGCTGGTATAGTTGTCTAATGTCGATATTGATAATTCTTCTTATACATGCTTGAAATACAGCAGTCGCTTCTGTATGATATTAATCAGCTTTTTGCAGAGGAACTAATTACGGCTGCCACTATCTATGATCTACATGATTTGTACCCACAAAGCAATTTACCTGTATCAACAATAGTAATGCATTCTTTTCTCTGTTTTCATTTGAAATCCACTATCATTTAATATACTTGATCCGTAACCAATATTAAACCTAATTCTTTTACATTTAGTCGACCTCCCACTTGCATATACTTACAACCATTTTAATTAAATAAGATTAAGTCGCGAGAACTCTAGAAGCAGTCTCCCCCTTCAGTAAAACGACTAATCTTTTCAAAGAGGGCAAATAACGAGAAGCTAGGTCGGGTTCAAGAATGAAGCGTGACCCCGAGCGTGCTGGATGTATGGAGGGGGACTTGGGAATATAGCTTCCTGTAGATTAACATATAAGTCAATCACAATTTTTAAATGTTCCACACGTCTACTATTAACTACTACTGTTCTTTCACAGTAGTATTATATTATATATATGCTATATAACTGCTGTACTCTTTTGTCAACTTTTCAAATCACTGAAGCATGTGTTTCATGGAATAAACCAGTGTATTAAAGCTAAATGATATCATTATTTTGATAGTTTTATTTAGAGAGTAATGTAATACCAGGAGCTTTAGAATTGTGTACAGAACTTCGTAATTTTCATTGCCGGAGATGGCGTTGTATTATATTGTAATGAGGATAAGTGTTGCTTCTTAAATCTTATTCCGTAGGTGGAAATGAATACTCTCAAGATTGGAAAAAGACACTTTCGGTGCTGTCTATTAATTTCTTATTCTTGTTATTTCGAAGCACTAGAAGAATGCCATATCTTCTTTATTTATAGAATTCGCCCTAATTTGAGGAAACTTGTTAAATATTATCCTGTTTGTGGAGAATGCACAGTATTACTTCCAGTTCACAAAATCGCTTTCGTTCGTCTATTTTTGATATGATTAATGAACTTCAGAATTGCTTATTTATTGATGTCGGTTGTGGTTTTGATATGAAAGCTCAGAATAGCATGCCATTTGCTTGGTCATGAAATGGTAACGCTAGCTAAGTACGTTAGCTAGTATATAGTCAAGAAAACAAGTTAGAAAAACACAATAACAAAGTTGGAAATTTTCTGGTGGAATTTATTTGACTTTTGACTGAAAATTCCTTAAAGCCGTTAGTTCTGCTTCGGGACGTGAGAACGCCATTTCCTTCCATGGTTGGCTCATGGGGGACGATGGTCCAGAGCAGTGTTTCCCAACATCTCTACCCCCGCGGGCCGGAAACATCAAATAAAATGAGCTCACCGATCGGTTACAAAATATCGAATTGCTTGAAAGATGAAATAACGACCTGTGTTTGAGGGACAAACTTTAATGTTTTGTTACTGGTCATGCAATAAAAAATCACAAAACACGAAAAAAACGACTCAAACGGTTACCCAGAATTTTAAATATTTTTGAGCGGGTCGACAACGATGTTTCGCAAGAGTAATGCAATTGTGTGCGGGCCTTAGAAAAATTTTCCACATGATTCTGTTTATTTGTTGTATCATGTATTGTAGAAGCTAGTACTGGATGGAGATAACAACGTCAATATTCAATTGCCAAGCATGATATATCTGGAGCCGGACGCTCTCAGTTCTTTTTAACAACCCAATATACAACACCTAATTCGAGTTGTAACAGAATTTGCTTTTTAGCCTCAAACTTCAATCTGGGTTTAACGAAGTGACTAATTCATTTCGTTCTAAACAAGTGGGAGGTCTCGCAGCTTAATTTGGTATGAGGAAGGCTATCTTTAGACACTGCTTTAACTAAATCTAAACAAAACAGAATTTTAAGTTATTAATCATTGTTTTTATTTGAATAAAAAGTTGAGTTTACTTGCTACCAAATAATAATCTGGGTCAGACATTTGAGGTAAAATAATTCGCTAATCTTTTTTTCGATTTAAATTTCAAGTAAATTCACGCAGTATTCAGTGATTGTGTAAATTTTGGAACGAGCAATACTATTTTGTCTATTTTGTTGTCTAAAGACGACAATACTTATGTAACTTTTATACTTATTGTTCACTTTTGTAGACGCGATGTGGACCAAAGGAATGTGTGTAGGTTTTTATAATTTTACGAGAATGGCGAAGACAATTCGCGACTGATCGGAACCTGAAAAGTATGATGACTTTTCGGGGAAGAAACCGCCGGTCGAATGCTCAATTTGAAGATAAAAGACAGATCGTCTGATAAACCAATGTAACTCCGTCTTTTTGATAATCAAGCGATTATGCTGTTATAAAAATGAAACAACAAAATGTCTCACGGACCGGCAAAAAATACGCCGTTTAGTCAAATATAAAACGTTTACCTTTCATTTCAAAACATTAAGGCTTGATACTGTTTGATGATATTTGAACCATACAGTGTTATGAACTCTGAACAACCGTACTGTTTCTACAAAAGTAACAACTTAGACATATGACCAAGTTACGAGCTAGGGTTAAACTAACCTTACGGAATGATCCGGCACACCTCGCTGCACTTGACTGGGCGTGATAGCAAAATAGCTTGAGTCTATATTGAAAGCACTTAGACTGACAGGGCGTTTTCCTAAAAACTTGCATCTACGAAAAAAAGTAACACGCGTAGGCGTAAAATCCAAGATATGTTGAGTGTTCCGTTACACATAAAGTGATTGTGTTTTAGCTAACCGTCAAGTTTGACCATTAATTGAGGCGAGGTAAATTGTATCTTGGTAAACGACACTAAAGCAGATTATGGTTCTGATCCACTGCTCAGGTGCAATTAATTTTCCAAAATCGATATGACCTTACCAGCTCGTTTCGGTGTCGAGAATATAAAGCGTTATTTTGAGCACTTGGAAGTACCGACAGTTCAATAACAGCTTAATGCAGTAATCGAACTGGAAAGATAATACTGAACATTCGAGGTAGCTAACGATAAGCTCAAGCTGAAGACTTGCAAGATTTGCCAATACTATCCTACAGTTGTGTGGAGAGGAAAGGGACTTGATCAGCTCAGACTATACAACAATATTTTAGGTTTGAGATACCTTTTGTCTGTTACATATCAATATTGATTTGTCTTTGCGTGTCAGAATTTATTCTCGTGGCTGCAAAATTTAAGGAATTTGGAGGGCATTTTGATTTCTACCAGGAAATATTTGTTATTCATGCACAAATGACTAGGAGCCAGTAGATGAACGGTTTCGTAGAACCCGTAGACTGTAGAGACTAAATTTTGTCTTGAGTTCAGCGTAGCTATATTGCACGGGATGACAGTTGGGGGGGGGGAATACTCTTCAAAGTTCTCAAGTAATACATCATTTTACTGTACCGCAATATAATAAAATAGTACTTGTACAACCCAAAACAATATATTATTTTGCATTCTGCAATACAGTACGATGAACTTTCATGAAATACAAAATTTTAATAAAACAGGTATATAGTATGTAATTCGATTTTTGAAAAGATATAGGGATTCAAAAATTTATATTTGTTCTTAATTTGTCACTCCATAGCGATTTCTGTTTCAGAATTATGTACTGTAACATAGATCTCCATATGTAGATTTGAAAGTATTAACTACGTTATACAGAGTTATGAATAACCTTCGAATGTCAGTAGACATGATTCTATCGCGTTGTTTAAATAGCTTTAGGTGAAGAATGCCAAAGCGATGTCAACCAACAATAGATGGGTCATACAACCTAGCAAGATAAATATTTAACTTGTCCGAATATGAAAACCTAAGGTGAATTAGGCAAACATTGGAATGCAATTTAAATCTATTTGGTCGAGAAGATGTTGTTACGCGTGTTACGACGTTGTTACGCGAGCATGAAGGTGTCAGTGAATTCCAAGATTAATCTCAAGAAGTGAATATGTAAAATGTTGCGCATGTGCCGTACAAGGTGTCATGTCGTACCGTCTGGTATAGATGTAAAATAGGCTACTGAGCAAGATAATAGGTAAGTTATAGCGTAATGCTTTCGGATTTAGGTAGGCAGAGTTTTCACTATAGTTACACAAAAGGAAGTCAATCAATGGGAAAGCTTGAAAATTATATTTTGCACAGATTTTTTTGACAAGTGCCAAACCTCTTCAAACTTCTATATTTATGATTGTTTCACACAAGACCTTGTACCATTTGTTTTCGCAATTTCAATTTGCGCTCCGAACAAGTTGAGTGCTGATACAACTCTACAAAAACCACATGCCACGGCATTAGCGTTAGTCCAAACAGTGCGAATGCGAACAATCGAGTGTGAACCTGTGAAACTGTCGCATACAAAGCCCGATTCATAAGTGATCTAGGTGTGTTCGTTATGGATGATCGCATATATTGTTCTAAGTGGGCGTTGTTTGAGTTCACCGACTTCTACGAGCTTGTTAACGCTAAATGGAAGTTTGAATCTATTTCCCCTGGGATTTGTAATCTATTCGATAAAATTAATATAAAAATTAAGAAAGTGTTGGATAATTATTTTTCTCAGTTGCAAATATCTTCCATTCAGATACTTTTTATTATTTTTATGCTGTCTATATAAGTTGTAGGTGAGAGTTAGCTTCGAATAATATATAATTCTAGTTAGAGAAAAGAAATTCCATAATTAATTACAAGGTTCGTTCACTGGCTATTTTAATAGTAAAAATTACGTAATGCGGTGCTTTGTTTCCCGAAATAACGAAGGACACTGGACTAAGGCTGTGAAAATGACAAGCCGTAGAAAATATGTTCTAATTGTCTATAATGATGTTTCGTTATACTCAAAAGTAATCATTTTGTTTATCAAATCCATTGGGTGTCTTCCGCCGAATGTCGAATGAGGCAAAATGCTATCGTCTCGTTTCGCTGATCTAGTGGAATTTACGTGGGGATTGGGTGTGGCTGAACTAAATATCGTGAACGCAATTCTTAATTTTACCTGACGTACATACGTGCGATAGATTAAATTAGGCGCTCCAGGTAACACTGAGGAAGGTAACACAAAAGATATATTACTGTGGGTATTAGGTTTAATACACATCCAAAACGACAATTTTAAAATTGATTATCACAAATTTCATTGAATGTTAATGCATTCATTAAATAAATGCCTTTTAATAGATACTCTCATGTAGATGCTGTCTTGCACAGAGCATATTTGTATCACCCACAACTTCATTCTCTCCGTACAGTACATCTGACGCCTGGCCCTCTCGCACGACCGCTGACTCGAACATTTCCATAAAGGCGGATTTAGATAGGAAATGGTCAAATATCATTTTCAGACACTGGAAACTATTCGACTCTAAGTTAAAAAAGGATTCAACAGTCGTGGAGTGGAATCATGTGGGCATTTGAGCCTTTTTACAAGTAAAGTATAGTAAACTACAAGATTACAAAATTGCTTATCATGATCAATTTCACAGGATGCCGAAACGGTCTTTCCAATTAAGCTTCTTCCGAAAATAAAGTGTCACAATATAATGTTATACATAAATGTATAATAAGGATCAGTTGCTTGCTGTCTTGTGCGGACAAAACCTCTTTATTAAAAACTTTTTACTTACAAGTTCAAGTCTGCAACTGACGTCTGTGCCATTTATAAACACGACTGCAATAATCATACGAATATAAAATCTGAGCGAGTGACAGGTAATTGTCTCAAATTGCTATTTTCATCGACGAAAGATCGATTGATTACTGGTTTATTTTCCGCACCATTGCTAACTCGTAAAATTGAATCGTAAACATTTTGATAAATTAATTGCAATATACGCGCAATGGGCGGGATCATTGAAGCAATAAATTGCAACTCCTAATTATAGGGAATAAAAGAAAATTTTGGGATTGTGAACTGTACATTACTTTGCTAATCAATCACGGGGCCGTCGTTTTCTATTCCTGACAATTAAATGTTGTATGCGCGGAAGTGGAAAATCGTAAATTCAATTCTAATTCTGAGATTCAGTTTGTGCAGTAGAGAGACATGCATATATTAGCTGTGGGACAATAACCTAGTAGAAGTAGAAACTATTCTTCTGAGCTTTACCAATTTAAACGTATTAATACCAAATTTAAATTTTATATTGTTTGTTTTAATTGAGGAAATGCTACGACTGTTTGGCTAAATATTAATAGCTCTATTGAGATATGTAACAAACTGGGTTTATGTTTGGTTCTCGCATAATCACCGATCGATTTATATTCAGTAAAGGCATTTAATATTTGATTTGTTCGAATAATTGTGGTTACTAAGAGACAAATAGTTTGTGATCATTTTATTTAGCGAAGTGGAATTCAAACAATTCAGAGACTTTCTAAGTAAGCAAATACTTTGTTTACTATGACTCTATTTAGTATCTATCCATTGAAATATTATGTAAAGCTTATGTCATATTTCGGCATTCATTGGTATTAAGTTTGATAAATTCACAATTAATTAAATACAAAATGCGGGTTAATATCGAATTATCACTGCAATGTTTTCAATGAATGAAATATGCAATGGGCATTGTATATGTGAAGATATAAAATCCTAATATTTCAACAGGATATTTATAATATTCTAAATTCTGCTTAATGTATCAAGTTTGTTTGCTTTTTGTTGTAACAAAGCGAATCATTCCTGAAGTATGTAATTCTATTGTGATTCAAGTAGATCTTAGGGATTTAAAGAGTCATCAAGAAGTCGGCTATTCAAAATGCATTGTGTAGAAACAATAATCAGCCACGCTTGCGACATTCACAGCTGGTTGACTGACAATACAATGACGTTTTTGAGTGAATTAGTATCATTCATCTCCACGCTCATGTTCAAAAACGTAAAGAATTTCTTACATTCAAATATGATCAGATATGATGTATGTGCGGTTCACTTGTGGCACAGAAACAACAAGACTGTTACTACGAGTTTCTGCTTTCATGAATTTATTCTATAATCGCCGACTAGAAATGTTCATTTACTAGGATTCTCATCAACTCCTTCTTTGATGGTGTTGCATTTGCATCATATATTTAATTCCACTTTTGAACGAATATGTTTCTCTCGAATATTTCAGTATGCCCTTTTAGGGTTAGTACAGTTATTCGGTAAATTGTGATCGAAGTACAAATCCTACCCATGTTCAAAAAGCGGAAAGTAAGGCGTCTTTCTAGAAAGTGGATAGAGTATTAGGTATAATTAAACATACATAAATGTGCACTGCTCTTAGTATAACGATATACCTGAAATAGGTAATAATTCGGAACGAAAAGGCGAACGGCATCAGTTCGTAACATAGGCTTATTTTTTATATATATTTGCACATGCTTCAGAAACACGCCGATTGGTATCAAATAAAACTGGTACTCAGCAAAACTATACGGACGTTATCAATAATTCAGACAATTGATGCCGATGCTTATTCAACATTATAGCCTACTGTAAAAAGTACGCAATGTCTTATGTGGAAAAATCGGCGTTTCAAACTTTTTGAGTGTAACTGATAACGGGACTATTTTAAGATAGCGCGGTTTGTCACTCGCCCCAAGTTACTTGGCAGTTACAATCTTCATGACAGTTTTGCACAATAGGTGCTTTACTGCGGAATTGCATTAGATTTTGTATTTTTGTTTCGGGCTCACCCGATGGTATTGATGTGGCGCGATACATTTCTGCGATTCCCAGACCAAGCGTAGTTTCCAGCGTTACGCGTGGAAAACCGACGGTTCATGCGTGGGCAAAGCATTTTGAAAAACGTGATGCCCTATCGGTCTGCGTATCAGTTGCATGCAGAAGTGAAGTTTCCAGCGCACATTGTGAAAATCGACACATTTGAAAGATCAGGCTAGTCAGGTTTAATTTATTTTTATCTAGAGATTTTTTTCCATATGTGACTATCAATTACCATATATTTGTGTGTCGTATCGCTGTAAGAATGTTTTGTACGTTTATAATAGAAATCGCAGAAAATAGGATCCTGTTACTTGGGTAAGAGCAATTTGTTAGATATGGTGGGTCAGAAGAGTGCCAATTAAAGTTTGCCAGTTCAAATTCGAGGACGGTATGTGAAATAAACCAATACAGTAGCCAACAAGACATCTAGTCTTTGACATCGTTCTCAAATATATATCCGTTGTTGTTGCTCACAGCTTCGGATGAACCGAATATGATATTAGAAGAAAAAATAATTTGTTGTTAGCAGGTTATTACGAACAGACAACAAGACGTTGATTAGGTTGAATCGGTAGCCTGGATTTCGAGTGCACATTCTACAGCAGTTCCTTGTTTAACATTAGGCAATGCGATCGGTTGAGGAATTCGCGTCGTCACTCGACTGGAATGTTGAGTCGTTCGAAACATACTGCTTTCGAGTAAAACCACGTGACTCTATCTCTCTCTCTCTCTTCGCCTCGAAGGAGATATATGCGGAAGGTAGCAATTTGTGCTTCAGAACTTGGCCTTAGGCGGATTACATTTGTTTGACCATCGGGAAATAAATATTGGATAGAATTACGGACAAAGTTTGTCGAGCAATTTATTGGAATGTAAACTATGTTTACGAAATTTGGGTGTTTAGTAGTAATATCAGACATTTACCTTCGCCAATGAGAATTACTGTTTTTAAAATGAAGTTTTGTTTAGGAAGCAGCATGTATGGAAATCAAAAACAGGACAGATTTATGTTCAGACCCAGCGGGCTTTCGAAAAAGATCTCTCTGAAGAACCATGCGTTTGGGGATGAGGTCGTCAGACATTGGCGAATTATGCCCTTAAAATGGGTTGTATTAGAAAAACGCTCAACCAATGCGCTCGTCAGACATTGGCGAACTATGCCCTTAAAATGGGTTGTATTAGAAAAACGCTTAACCAGTATAAATAAAGCAGATTAGTTGTAAAATTTCCATTCTATGCTTCCAGAGAAAATGTATTGACGCGGTGTAATATAGCCTACCCTTGTCCTTTTAACAGGAAACCACAATGAAATTGTTATAACATAGCATATTACATAGAGTAATAGGTATTCTGAATCAGTGTTACTACGATATGTTGCGATCAAACTTAAGACTGACAATCCCAGGAGGCCCCAGCCTCCGAGGCGGGGCGCGTTATTTGGACGTGGATAGACTATCATTCACGGGTATATTTTTATTGTGCAACGTCGGATCAGCGTTCGCACAATGCCCAAGCGTTGCAGTGCCTGTCGTCGCCAGCGTATTTGGGACTCTTGGATTCGTTTTTCTCGTTGCTTTGATTGTATACTTGATAAGAAGATCGTTGAAAAGTGAGTTTATTTTTATTGTACAATGAATTACTCAAAAAGGAATGCTCAACATTCAGCACCCCACCTATATTCTGAAAAGGGCTGGGTCTCAGCGATTGTGGTTACTGGTCTGTTGGAATTTTATTCCCTTTATATCAATGATACATTTACAGAAATGACAGTATGTTATACTAAAGAGGTCGGTTCAACTTTGTAATTTATACAACCTTAAATAAAGCAGGGCGTTATTGATTTCTTTACAGCAATATGCGCTGTATTTGACGCTTAATCGATCAAAGCGATGCTAACGATTTCTTTTCAAATCATTTCAATCGTGGTTCAATCTGGGGTTTATATTAAGAGATGCAGGAAGAACTATTGTTATAGAGTTTCGAAATATTGTTCAACACCCATTCTTCAATACCCTGTCTTCAAAGTCTTCAAAAATACACTGTGAATTATGATCAGCTATACTCAATAAAACAATGATGAAAAATTAATTCCAAAAAAGGTTTATTTTTTATACGCTTCGGTTTTCATAAGAACTATGCATGCCTGGTTCGAAGTTGTATTTGCATACATTGCTTATACTCTTAAAGTGGCAGCACAGTACACAACGAAAGGATATAAAAACATTAATTGACGTTGCATTCGCTTAGCAGAACAAATCGTATCGATTTGTATCAATACCCCACAATTAATATCAAAGGCTTCATAGCATGCCTGTGTGGAATTGCCACTTGCGAATCAAGAAATTGAATCGATAAGCTTTCACCCACGCCTTACTAAATTGTCGTCGATATTTCTAAATTTAGTCGATATTTTGCCACAAGTCACAAAACGCATGGGCCACAACTCAAGTAAATCACGTTTTGACTGTGCGCTTCATTTTGTATATATAAATATTTGGTGACTAGAAGACCGTCTATAAATAATAACTTTACCAATACAGTAGCCCTCATTTCTTAACGTTTGAAGGGGCGCATTGTTAACTCGTCAAGTCGCTGTGTGTTATTAACGACATATGCTTCCACGAAAGAACGATTGGACCATGCTTGACTTCGATTTTTCGTGTAAACACGCGCTCGTGAAATATTGTACATCAGACGACCCTATAGAAGACTCATCAATGGGTTGGATGAGAAGAATATAACTGCCAATCAAATACTGAAAATTGTAATTCAAATCATTTATTGACTCCGTGTAATTGTAACCGAGTATTTATAGTGATATTGCCCCCAGCTAACGTTGATGAACCATTGAATGGTTATTGGTTGTTTTCAATCACATCTAAAACAACTCACTCCCTCCTTCATATACGGTCAATTAGACATCCGGAATTTCAACAATTGAATTGCTCAACCGGCAACGTGGTGTTAATTGAACCAGAGATGCCATGTACGGCACGTACATGTAAATTGCTCGAGCTCGCAGATTTTGTCAAGCATGTCGAAAATAATTCCTGTTTCGTGATGTGGATATTTAACCCTCATTCGTTAAAATTCAAAATGGTCGGGATTTAGGCTTTTCGGAATTTTGTAGAAATCATATTGAAAATATGTAAACATTCATTTCAGTCATATTGCTATTTCAGATCAGATATACGTCTGGTCAAATTGCCGGTGCTTTACAATTCCCATGTGCTTATTAGTACGCACAAAACGTAGTGATGTGAGTATGATATTCGTAGACATAAATACGTAATAAAAAAAATACATTATTGAATGATACATAAAATTATTATATAGTATGTGTCAAACAAATCTCAACAGAACAGTGACCACAACCGTTGAGAAAGAACAAAAAACTTTCGTATGTTTGTATACATTTGGGCGATAAAGGAAATAAAAACAAGGATCATATTTCGATTTGTGTGTGATGTTTGCGGTGCCGGTGCTCTCATATAGATTAGTTTATTTTGCAGTTGTGTTCTCATGCAACAGGCTGTTAATCTTGATGGCCCAGGGTTTTATCTATTTCAAATTATGTGTATTGTTCAAACCTATGAATTTTACATAACTACGAGGATTTCACAAATATATTTACCGGAAATTTGCTACGTTTGTTGTAATCAGTTGTTTATGTGAACACATACACATATGTATGCATCGTGCATGGGTAAATTGTTTTGTAAATGCAGAACGTAAAAAACCACAAAGCGAAGATGAACCGAAGGATCGAGAAAAAGGTTTGCTGAATGTGCATTCATGTCTAGTTATTTTGAAACAAAGAAATAATATGCATGCTTCGATCACACTAATTGGTGAACGAGTAACTCCAAGCGTCCAATTTTTGGAGGGGATAGACAACTTGTATGCTTACCAAAACCGTACTATTCTAATTTACCTCTTAAATGTAGTGGCCTTACTAACCTAATAAACATATTGAACTAGAAACAACAACAAGATTATACTTTCTCGAAGATTGAACGTAAGGGTTCAAATTTGCCAAAAATCTTTTTCCAAAGTTCAGATTGTAATTTTGACACCGGATATAGGTTATCATAACCTTGTTATCGCCAGTATATGTCCGAACCCAGCGGGTCCTTTTATTCAGTACTGAAGTATAATGTTTAACTTTCATATTGTCCTTGCAAGAAAACATATGAGCTTCAAATTGAATTGAATTTTGATATCCCAAATTTCATGCAAACTTTTTATTAGTGGGCTATGTTTTATTCGTAAAAACTTCATCAATCAAAATGTTCCTTCAAAAGTCTATGTCTTATTGTACTGTATTCCCTGGAACGACAAGTAAATTCCATTGCAAATAAATTTAACTTAGCGTGAAATTGTCCCCAATAATCGATTATGAGAAATTATAAATTTTAACAAGCCGGGGGTCATGGTTACGACATGCATGAAATAGCAAAACACAGAGTTGCCTATGAAAGAGGTATGCTTTGATAAGCGTGATGCCGATGCAATAATTCATTTATATGTAGCATGTTAATGTCACCGGTGTATAAATTTCCTAATTTTTATCTCCATATTTATTTATTTATTTATTTTTTTGATTTTATTTCATCTGGTGTCATCACATTCAATTGTTGAAAACGAAAAACACATTACATTTGCAACGGTGTCTGCATGTTACCCGTTCCTTGGTATGCACAACATATTTGATATGATATGACTAATGCCGGCAACGTCATCACTAACGTCGTGTTTGTGACGTCAGAGCGCAAGAAGAATAAATATCCTCCTGCTACCAGTTCTTCTGGCTTCGACAACCCGTTAGTGGTTGGACGAAAAGGTGCGTAAGGGCGATGAATATACGAAGTTTTTATTTTTTGCAGCTTCCGAAATGTTTACAATAGAACTATGAAATATTATTATATGTGAGAATATAATGTTTGTTTTGTCACTATTAATTACAATAATCAAAGTTTAACATTGATTTGTATTCGGGTACGCGTTTTAGGAATGGGACAAAGTAATTTGCATTTGAGTAAATAAGTAAAAGGGTACTCCTACGGCGGTAGTGTAGTCTACTGGATATTTTCATTTCTTAAATTTAGCTCAACATATATTGGAACGTGTCATCTTTTACCGTTTTTACCAAAATCCGTGAAAAAAAAGTATTTTTCTCTACTTGTCATATCCAAAGCGTAGAATTGTGATCATAACCCAATATCTTGATATCTATATCAACTTCAATATATAATCTTTCATGCTCCGTCTTATTTGCAACACAGCATTCGCGAACCTTACTTCTGGTCATTTCCTATTTTCTTTCTGTTAATTCTGCCATCAAATTTAGTTCTTACTGCTTGATTAATGCAAAATTAGATAGGATTGGAATTGTCCTGCCATTCAAGCTGCATGAACTTTTTGCATATATCCGACGAGCATGAAATCATTTTTTCTCATAAGAACGCATGATGTTTGTTGATTAATTGTTTCTTTTGCTTTCACTTTTGAAACAGAAAAGGGCAAAATATTTCTCAAATTGAAGATATATCGTTAATAACACTTTAATGATATATTTTAGTTATACAAATATTTTTACGTTTTTAGAAAAATTATTATTTATAATTCCAAGCAATGGTTTTGTTTTGGTGTTTTATGTTTTAGCATTTTTCCTTCAAACATTTCAGAACCTTTAATATCCTCCCAAAACAAAGGTTGGTAAGTCGATACAATAATATTAACAACACTAACGCTGTCAACGCTATATGAAAAAATACTTCTATTTCACAACTACAACTAACATGGTGGTCTTTATACATATAAATTGTAAACAGTGTTTATTACCTGCGCATATACATATTTGTGAATATTCAATTCATACATATTACCGGTTCGTCCTTTATTGACTGGAAAGTTATTCAAGTCACAGCATAGGCATGCATATCAGTAGCAACACCATTTGCAGCGGTTAGGTCTTATTTTAAATGAGTTTTGAATTTCTCGTTAAGATTTACAAAAGCAGTACATGTTACTTTATTTATTTTTATGGAGAGAAATTGCCTTAAATTTGTCGTCAATGCCATAACAAGCAAACCACCAATTCACTCGTTGGTTTTAATAGTATAACATTTACTATATTATTTAAGTTTGAATCACATGCTGCTATATGTAATTTCTAACAACAAAATAAAAAAATGTCAAAAATTAGGATTCTATCCTCTACATTGGTATTTCTTCTATTTCATCCACAACAATTATCCCATCGACTTGCGTAATATGCATTACTGAATAAGTGAATATGTGGTTTCCTGTTTTCCCAATTCGATTTGATTCAAATTCAAATTCAAAGAATTTTTTCTGAGTAGTTAAATCATATTCATATGATTCACGGAAAAAGGTAAAAGGGTTCCATTGTGCGATTGAATGTAAAAATCTGACATTCGTTCGTAAGTGGTGTGTATTGCAATAATGCAAGTGTGGTTAAATTCGAAGAAATCTGCCAAAGAAATTAATCTGGCATTATGGGTTTACAAGAATATAAATGAAACGTATTGATGTGAACAATACAGAACAATATAAAAAGATTAAACTAAATTTTTTACCAATGCACGCTATTAATGCAAATGTTAGCTGTCATGAACCCATTTATCTGCATAAATAAGTCAAAAAACAACTATACCCAGTGTTCTTAATCCCTCACATCGGAGGAATTTAAATGGATGTTGATATGCGTAACGTTTTTGCAGGTAAAATCTCTTAAAACAGCATTGTTATAATGGCATTACTTGTCTATGCTTGAATAGGTACGATGAACAAACATACCAAAATTGCCCAAAAACGAAACTTAGCGTAGGCATACCGTAAATATCAGTGATGCGAATAGTTCTAACGCCCATTGTAGAAACTATTAGGCTGAACAGCATGAGACAAATATAGAATTTCTGTGACTTTCCATACTGCGCTAAAAGAAAAATAAAAGTACCCAACGTTATGTCACCGTAAATTTGAATCAGACGAAGAAAAATTTCAAATCAACAACCAAGTTTTCTATATTTCCAGAATCTCACGTGTAATTTTTCATGTAAATATGAATTTTAAAATTACATGTATCAAACATCCATATTAATATCGCAAACTACTTGCTAAACTTTTTCTTTGCGGCCCAATGCATATCGCAAACGATGATATAATTATATTATGCTAAATGTTAAACTTACATTAATGTTTCGATTTAGAACAAATGAGCCCAGAACTTTGCCTTCCTTACTCTTTTCTTATATCTACAGTGATATTACACAATATTACTTCTTTTTAACAATGCTTTTACTTTCCTAGAATCTATCCTGTTTAACCTGCATGCGTCTAAAAATACAAATACCTTTAAATCAATAAATCTTAAACGAGTCAATGTTAGACAGACATGCTGTAGAATATATTGCTCCATCCCTCTGTTTTGTTAATTCAATTTTGAAGTGTGCACCTCAAGCCTTTTTGGTACTTGTATTTATTTGTGTAGCAGTGAATATTTTATCCAAAATTCTCGTCACACTGAGTTTCGTAATGTACTTCCATGTACATCAGCATGAAAACAGTACTTTACAACTTTTTGCCTTCCAAAGCATCGGTTGTAAAAGTTGTTTCGCCAAAGTAACATTGACGTAGTTACCTCGGTACAAATCTTTCACAAATTTAATGTTTCTTTTTCATTTGCAGAAAATGGTCAAGCACAGAAAGTGGAGGAAGGCGAACTTCAAGAAGTTGTTACTGAACCGAATAGGTCAGAACCACCCGCTCAAGCATTCCAACATGAGGTATTGGCTTGTTCAACACTAATTATGTTTTCGCTTGCTTATATTTTGTTGCCAGCAAAACACATTCACATTGATAACATTAAGCATTCGACAGATTATTTGCATATCCACACATTCTCTAAAATATTGATACGTCTTTTTTCGATCAACGTATCAATTCATTTTATGATGGGATTGGGGTATTTACATGGGTTTTGCTATTGCATAACAAAGAGACATTTATCTCGCTGAAATTCTTGCCAGCAACGGATATTCCTTCCTTAAATCATTATAAAATTTGTCAGTATTTTAAAAAAAATTATACGTTACGTCATGGTCTCGAGCATCAATAAAACAATCATTTGTAAATTAGTTCAAATGAGAGAATCAAACAATCTTGTTGAGTAAGGCACGATGCGACATCTATAAAGAAGTGGGGTGCTCTGTCCACTCATGAGAGTATCATCCAATATGTTGCCTTCCAGAATTTCCCGTTGTTGGCTTTGTTTTGTGACACACTACAATAAGTCAAATATTATTTTGTAATTCTAATCAAATCCTCAAGACACTATGTTATATGAACTGTTAAGTCAAACTTTATAGCGTCATGCTTTTCTCGATTAAAACTTAAATCCCATGATGAAAATACAGAATACTTATTTCAGGGTTTTCAAGAACGCGCCGTGGACGTTGAAGGCATTCCAGCAAATGGTCATATAAAAACGGAAGATGGAAGCAAGGTGCATTAAATTTTGTGATTCATTTCTAAAAGTTGTGTAATTGATATGAAATGAGTATTTAATTTTTTATAAATAAATTCTGTTATCAGGACCAAGTTCATACGATCGTATTGAACAAGAAAACTTCAACAAATGGATTCAACATAGTCGCGGATAAGGATGGAAATATATTTATTCGTGATATCAGAAAAGATGGTCCTGCACAGGGAAAATTATTGGAAGGTATATCGTTAATTATAATGAGTCGAATTGTGCCAATTTAAATTCAACTTGGAATAGTAAATGCGTTTAGATTTGGAAGCATTAAATGTTGTTTCATCTTTGTCACGTCTGGTCATGGTTTTAACATGAGATAGCCATTTAAGTCAAATAATACCATTAAAAATGGATTCACCTATACACATCTCAAATTTCATATTGGATATTAACTGTTGTAATAAATAGAACACAATTAGAAGAATTCGATTTATTATACATGCCTCATAAATATCAAATATATATGGTTCCAATCGCCATTTGAAAGACCTCATTCTTATATTGAGCTATTGGGCTTTCATATATATAGCGGGGTCGATTTTTACGGGAGCTAAACAAATTGTATACTGCAATTCAGGTAAGCAAAAATTGATTCCACTCTATCGAAAAGTTTATATATATATATATATATATATATATGACAACAAAAAATGTGCGAGGAAGTAAATTTGTTAACTAAATTTCAATTTCTCACACACAGGTGATATCATTGAAAGTGTTACAGTATTTTACGAAGGAATATCGTATGAAGACGCGTTAAACGTATTGAGCTATGCGGCACCGTATAAAGTGGCCATCAGTCTTGTACGAGGGAAAAAGCATCTCATGCCGGGAGCCGATGAATCAGTAAGTATTGTGGAGATCGAAGGCCTACGATTGATATAAATGAGCTATGCGCGATAATATGAATGGATATGCCTTGATCTAGTGCTACTCACATCCATAGGACTGGATGTAGTGAATAATTTATTCGAACCGACTCAATCATCTCGTCATGTGACCTGTTTTGTCGTCTTTTACTGCCAAGTCTTACAAAAACGTGTGGCATTGCTATTCTGAAAACTCAAATGTTTGTTAATTAATCTGGTACATTAGCGCAAGGACAATACTTTGCCAACTTTGGGTACGACACTTTTAGTGCATTTTAATATCTCTCATTTTTGTCAGTTGCTCAGAGTAAATTTTATATAGCTTTCATTGCTATGCTGTATTTTAACAACATGATAAAAACTCGTAATTTCGCAATATATTTCACTGAGTTTGGGAATAATATTATCTGGGAAACAGTATCGAGCGTTTCCATTTCAACTCGAGACTGCATTTTTATTACGACCCATTCAAATACATGTTGATACTCAATTTGGTGAAAATTAAAAATGTTCTGTCGTTTTGCTCAGAAATCAGATCCATTTGTTGAAGAACTACAGAAACAGCTCGAAAAGCGGGAGAGCAAAAAGTCACCGGAGAAGAAGGTGAAAATATCGCTAAAATATTTATCAAGTCCATTTTAGGGGTTAATTACGTTATATTATGGGATCTTAAGCCATTTTTTGTGTTTTCCTCATAACCGACCAAAAATCCAATGCTATTGTGTCACATTTATATAACTTATGGGTTCTGAACCGTAACATATAATTTTGTTAACCATTTATCACAGTTTTGGGAGTTGGAACACACAGTGAGCCGTCTGATGTTCTTTAAGAGCCTATAATTTACTATTTATTTACGATATATTGTGTGTATGTAATTGCCTTCACGTCTGTTCGAGTCTTCATTTTAAGAACGAAATGTCAAGCTTGCTGTGTTTTTCAGTTCAGATACGGTTCACGACGTTTCCTAATACCATGCCTACTTATTTTACCCTTTCGTTAAACGAGATTTTTCAGAGGTGAATCAGCGCGTTTATTTTGTTTTTAAAAAACTGTCAAAAACTGTGGACCGGATTCCAGTGGTATTCATCGGGCATTCATTGAAACCACATTTTCCGTTGCTAAAACGTAATTCAGTATTCGATCCCAGCCAGGTTAAACAACACACACTCAATATTGTGTTATTGCGAGTAAATTTCGAAATATTTCTAGAAAATGCACAAGAAGTTGAAAAGTAGCTTATAGCATTCATTAAAACGGTATATTATACTCTCTACAATTCATGGTTTTATCGTTTTGTGCTAACGTGCTTTCACTAGGGCTGGGAATGGTTAACCGGTTAACCGATTTCAGATGGTTAACGCTTATGATTTATTTTAACCGTTAACTGACATCTCAGGTACAAATCATCTTCATACCGTACAATATCGTCAAATATGATTACGTAATCGCAAATTTATCTCTTGCGGCGTTTAATTCAAAAAAATATTACTAACTGTGTGGGTAAGGAATCAATGAATGTGAAAAATAATGGAAGTACCAAGGTTGCTGATAATGAAAATTTACAATGATAAATTCAGAATCAGTTTTCGGTCGATTTCGAAATATATAGTTCACGATTTCATTGCAAAATCGGATGTTCAATGTCATACAACAAGTGTGCAGTTGATGCCGTTTTTCTTTGTGATATATATCTCGAAATAAAATTTGCACATCGAACACTAAAAATTTGTCACATAAATGACGTTTAACAACGGAATCGGGTTTTTTAAAATATTTCCACAAGCCCGAACCACGCTGCCTATCTCTTGCAGCATGAAACTATCTCGATTCGTGAATAATTTTGAGCGATACCGGGATAAGAACACGCAAAATTGCTTTATTACCAGTGTGACGTAACAAGCTGAAATTATAATTATTACGTCAAACGTCACGCGGCGGTTAACCGGTTAATTTTACCCGGTTAACGGTTAAAGTGTTTTCCCTAAAATTCCCAGCCCTAGCTTTCACAGTTATGAATATTTTAATTATGCCATTCTAAAAGTCTCATATCCTATTTCAGTTTCGTATCATGTTCTTAAAATATCCTTTATTATGCATTCGAATTTGGTTACAGCATTGCAACAAACATGTAATCTGACCTGAATGGTGACAGACAATCTGACTGATATACATATTATAAATGCTGCGAATCCCAATTATCATGAATATATATCACATATTGAAACAACCATGACAAATGACAGGCTTGATTTCACGTGAATTTGACAAACGAATATGGTAGGGATATTGACCCTGATTTTGCGTGGTCTGTATCACTGTTCATTAGGGATGCTAAGTATGACTACTTACCAGTATTCGATTCTTAAATTTTCGATTCCGATTCTCGATTCCGAATCTTGATTCCTCGACATATTTTACCGAGAAAACATACCCATCTAAGCAATACCATATAAAATCAAACAGGAGAGCTATGTTCAAATATACGGACGGAAAAGAAAGCCGAAACTAAGTAGTAAGGGTATCCAATCTGTCACAGGAGACAAAATCGCACAAAAAAATCCCTCAGAACGCGAAGGGATTCTAGAAATGAATAAACGTGAAAATCTTCTAGCGAAATATATATATAGTGAAGTTTGCGACGTCGTAGCAACTCAACATAGCAGTAAGGCAGTTTATACATATATGTGGAGGAATTGCAACAAAACGTTACACATTATTAGCAATCCAAGTGTTAACCTCGAGAATCGATTCCAATGCATCAGAATTGATTCTAGTCGATTCCGCGAAGAATCGATTCTGTATTCGAATCCGGACTCGATTCCGCCATCCCTACTGTTCATGCATGTCACGTTCCCATAATGTATTAATTTTATGTTATATATTAACTCGGTTAAAACGAATATTTATTTATTTTCGTGAGACGTCTTTACCTATTTCACTCTGGGAAAAGTTAGGTACCACTGATACATAAGGAACTGCTGGAATCTATTGTGTCTCATGATATGGACCGTCATCTTTCTAGCAGGTTAATCTGAATCAAGTACCTAGTACATGTGATTGACTGTATACATATGTTACTTGGAGTTAAAAATATAAAATTTAAATCCAAATCTGGTATCAATATATTAATATGTCGTTTTTCGATTATCGAATTATGAATTGCAAAAGCCTTGCCTGTGCTACATTTATTCCCATGTCGTTTGATTTATCGACGATGCATGGCAGCTGCGGCCATGATACGCACGCACAATGAACATCTAACAATGAGGGATTGCTATTGTGTGGTTTTTTGTTTGGTTGATATTAACAACATGAAGACATCTTGCATCTTATATTGTTAAAACCTCAACCTATTTAGTGTAAATATGCTGTAATTTAATTTATTCTGTCTCAAAGTAAATTTTGTATTAACAAATTTATTTTCTGAGATGATAATAATTGATAGATGGAAGAAAAATGTTACCTCTTTTCGAAAATCTAAATATCCATATAAAATTACTGGTAAAATAGCTATGTTTTTTTTCGCGCTTTGGTTCAATGGTATTCCATTGTGAAATGTTCTTATCCCTGCAACAAGTGAAAAAAAAAACAAGTTGTATTATATCGAAAAGTTCAAGGCGTTGGCTCCCAATCTTTCTTTGGTAAATTCCTCCCTTTGCCTATTTCTGAAATCTTCATTTCTTACTTCCGCTTTTGTACATTTTAAGTTGTTTATGTTTTCATGAATAAGTTTTATATTTATAATAGAAAAAATAATAAATATTAGTAAGACTACAGCTAATACAAATCAGAATTCCTACTCTAGAACTGCGAAATTCCTTCCTGAAAAGGAAATCCTTTCCAGTTGAAAAAGGTTGGTTTAGACTTTAGGGTGAAGATATAATTTTGGACATTTTTCCCTATTTTTATAGGTCGATAAGCCTACACAGGAGGCTGAAGTTAGTGTTGAAAAAGTGCCGTCATCAAGTTCAAGTTCGTCTTCATCAGATGATGAAAAAGAACCTGAACCAGAAGAGCAGGAAATAATTACGCCACTCAGCATCGTCAAAGAAAATCAAACAAACGAAAAGCCGCTAGACGACGACAAAGAGAAAGGTTCGGAATGAATACCTAAGTAGGCGCTGCCTAATTCTTCGACGTTTTGGGACACTATATTAATAACAGTGACCTTCTCACACTTTCTTTTCCTCTGTTTCGTTCTCCTATAATGAGTGAATTTAAACCTGCATGTTCGTTACTTCCTTTAACTACTTTCTGGTGGCAGTGTTGGAGTCCTATGTCTAATGTTGGCAAGCGAAATAATTGCATGGGGGATAGAAAATTGGGTCTATTTTTCTGTATTGTTCACAACAACAGACCAGATTAAATACGCTATTGAGTTATTGACCAGTAACTGCAGCTTTTCTTAATTTGAAACTGGGGGCGAAATTTTAATAATTTGTTCTGTTATTTTCATATTTTGTCAACGCGTGTTTAATGTTAGCTTCAATTCGGACCATGAGATTACCATGCTATCGCATCAAAATTGCCAAAAATTTTCAAGTAACTGGCTCAAGTTTTACGGCTTGACTAGCCTAATAATTTACAATTCAAATCAATGCTAAATTCGGAGTCGTGCGCACATTACTAAAAGTTATAATTAATGTCTCCCAACCTACCTTGTTTCTTTTTCGCTGAACATACTGTGATGTCTTTTCGTCTGTTTTCTTAAATAATTTTACAAAGGCATAAATTTTCAGCATGAATAATCGAACATTTGCACTATTGAAAAGCATGTACACGCCACTTGCATTTGACAACAATTTTCATCACGACTCTATTTGGCATAATACGTTACCATATCTAGTCTCGGAGTTGCACACTACTACTAGAAACGCTTCCAATCGCCATTTTTTTTTAAATTTTTCGACCAATCAAAGTAGTTGATTTCAGTCATAGCATTATAAGATTTGTCAAATGCCTTTTATATTCTGCCGCTTCTCGCCTATTTGGTGTTATTTACATGTTTCATAATTATTTATATATATTATATTTGCACTCTGGAACCATAATTTATTTATTCAACATAAAACCGACAGTCATATCATAAATATTTGCATTATTTTCATTAATTTATTCATTATATATAATTCATTTTTTTGGTTATGGCATGCAGATTATCATTAATATTTTCAAATAATGCTTAACATTAATATTGCTGTCATGATATTAATCAAATATCGAATAATTAAATTTTTTCCAAATAACAATCTCTGGGTGTTATTATGCAATTGGGCTATTAGTGCGAGAAGCGGTGGAAAGGCTACGGTAACAGTCTAAAATCGAAGCAAACTTGCTGATGCTATGTCGGTATCCACACCAGCGCATGATCATATTAGTTAAATAATAACACTGGATGCACCAATAATTTATTTAGTGGCGGGTGTTTTGAATTTATACCACTCAAACGTTAGTTTGACATTGGCTACTGGGTGAAGGAACTGAAAGTCAATTTTAATTTTTGTCTATCTTCCTAACAATGCACATCATTCTTTTATCCGTATACTGGTAAAGTCAATTTAAACTATGTAAAACTAACGACTGAAGTTGGTTTGATTATCGTTCGGTGTCTTGGTGTTCTTATTGTGAGAGTTTTATCAAGCCTTTGCCCTGGAAAATGCTCTGGTTGGGTAGGCATTGATAGGTAAAGAGCTATCGAGTTTTATTCTCTCGTATTGATTAACGTTCTTAAATGGTTCGAGATGGAAAATCGCTGCGTGATATTTTCACGGAAGCTTCAGGCTGAATATTCGGGAAGACTTTTCACGAGACTGTTCGAGTGTATATGAATTTTAGCTTATAGCTCTTGATATTCAATCCAGGAAATCTACGCAGGGAGGGTGTGCCAGTTTTCGACTTTGCGTCAGCATCATCGTCGTAACAAAACATAGGCACATTTCATCATTTTGCCGCTCGTGTTCGTGTAAAATCATGATACAAAATGTCTAATCGTATTTATTTCTAAGAACTCGGTCATAAAGTAATATACTCTCTCGTCTTCCGCTGCATCTTCCGTCTGAGGATCATGTAAAGTTATTGCAATATTTTAGTAATTCGATACACAACGATTTTAGACATCATATAATTAAAACACAGTTATTGTCATTCGTTGAATACAACAGTGGGAATAAAGAAATCGTAACATAATTGGTTTCTGCTCATAGGTATTAGTTTTATTTATTATATTTGGAAGTATTCCATTTGCATGCTTACTCATCTGCAGAATCAACGTCTTCGTCTTCATCATCATCGTCGTCAGATTCGGACAAAGAAAATGAATCCAACCACGCGGATGAACTACCAGTTGTTCGAAGGGTTGAAGAACCAATAGAGCATTACGAGCCATTTATTGTCAGTGAAGAACCCAAACAAACTGCTGCACCATTGCCAGCTGTAAGGAAATTCGAAAAAGATGAAGATTTAGAGATTCCTGAAGAACAGATCAAGTGAATAGAAATTTTTCTTAGAGTACCGCACACTACTTTATAAAAATGTTTCGAATATTTCAAAGCAGTTTTTCTCAGCGAATATACAATTGTGTGTATCTCCACTCGTTGAAATTCGACCAAGCAACAGCTTTATGAGCTGATAAATGAATTAAACATATTCGACGCAACAGTAACATGATAAAATTAAATCCAAGTTGATGAGTAATAAATGAATTGTGTTTTACGGGATTATCCGATACTGACTAACTTCAACTTTATTCCCGATTTCTCATATGATAACGCAAAGGAAACTTTCCTAGGTATTCGTAAACAGATTAAAAATTGGTTCTGCTTTGGAAGACGACCTCAGCATCATAAAACTACTTTGGTATGTGATATCACTTGCTTAACGTGAACTCAATCGCATACCAAAGTGTCACGCAATTTGGTATGCGTTTAATCTCATAAAGACATCTCATAGATTCAGTCTCTAACCCTGTTATCGTTTGGTTAGGTTAATACTAAAATAACTGAGATCACACAACCGCTGAGATCGATTAGTAAAGTGGTACCCGAAAATCATCGACAATAAATTTCTTTTCTAATTTTTAGGTCTTCGAGTCAGTCCTCGTCATCTTCTTCGAGTTCGGATCAAGATTCCGAAAACAAAGAGAAGAAAACTTCAGTGAAAAGTTTGCCTGTTCAAATAAAGTCCGATGACGCAACCGACAAACACACTAACAGCTTGCAACACACAATGTCTACAGATACCGGACTAGGCAGGCAAGAAAATGACTCGGAAGCGATTTTGAAAAGGTGAAATATTATTTAGTTAGATTCAAACGATATATATAGTATGTAAAGAATCTCACTGGTATGATATCAGTTCTTTTTATTTAGTGTATAGATTAAAATTTGAGGAAATCCTATCGGACTAGCAATATTTCCTTTGCTATACACCTATATGTCATAAAGGAATGGGGGAGAGGCAATCAGGCCGCTTCTCATCATCCTTGTCGAACGTTACTTGACGTTTCATCGATGAAATAGGCTTAATTCCGGCGTAGTGTGGTAAATTACGCAAATCTTTAATAGGAGGTTCATTGTTACATAGGTATTACATAAGTGTTGCATTATGGCCTTATTATACCAGATATAAAAATGTCTGGTTTTATAAACTTGCCGATGTTATCTTCGCTTTCTGAGCTTGGTTATTTATCTTTAACGCCGCACAAGTGAGGACAATTCATCAATGTACAGTCGAACACGATCCCGAATCCAAAGTTTTTTTACTTTAATTCTGATACACCTGTTCATTTATTTCGTGTGAGTTATTTGTGCCCATTTGTGATGTGAGGCATCTGTTTGATATCTTATTTCTACTCACAATATATCAATACCGCTGAGATTCACAGCGATATAAAATTGCCATGCAGGCTATTTGTGTTTTTTCGCTCACAATCATCGCTGATTTTCACAGCGATGTAAAATTTCTCAGTTGGTTATTATTTTTCTATGATAAAATTATTCGTTTATTTCAGTAAATTGCAGTATTTGCATTGAATCAGTTGTCTCAGCCTCCTCGGTTTATAGGTTAGCCAAGTCCTCTACTATTCTAACATTTAATAATGATTGGAAAATTATGTATTTATTGTGTCTTGTGATATGTATTTTCTCATGATATGGATCAGGCTCATTTGATTATTTACGTTCATTAAAACGGGTTTCATTTATTTTCTTTTGTTATACTAATAATGTCGTAAATTCAAAATACTAGGTCTGATAATGTACCACTGGCCGAAGAAAGTAGTGAACAGTCTGCGCCAAAGAAATTATCATCATCGTCGTCGTCATCTGGGTCCTCTGGTAAAAAAAAGAGGTTTACAAAGAAAAAACCCAAGACTGGAAGGTTGGTGGCATATGTTACCAAAAAATATTACGATAATTTATAGAACAAAAGAAAAATACAATACTTCATATTTCAACATAAAGCATGAGTAAAAATATAAAACAGTTATTCGTGAAATTATACCACATTTGCCAATAAGAGACTCATGATTCTGGCATCGCTTGGCTAATAATATAATTCGTGCTGATAAATAGAACTGGGGACAGGAATACAATCAAGTTCACAAGATCCTAATGTATAAGCTGTCGTGGTTCAACTTTCTTTCTATTCAGATTTAATTATATTCACAATGATTTATATAACTAGGTTACCTAAAGAAGGAAGTTCGTCTTCTTCAGAATCAGATTCAAAACATTCTTCAAGTGGATCATCGTCATCATCTGCAAAGCAAACTTCTAAGGGTCGAGTTTCAAGAAGAAAAAAGTATTTTGAAAGTCTGGCCGCTAATAAAGATGAGCAGGATTCGGTACAATCTCGAAGCAGGTAAATTATGCCACATAAATTATGTTCAGTAGCTCGCAAATTTTTTCATATGTCAAGTACGATTGATTGCTTTACGATATCATATTCAATAATTGACTTTGCACAGAACACCATCTCCTGTCGATGAACCCCACGTGACCACCGATAGAGACGGAAGAGTAGTTTTCAAGCAAGGTGGACACACTCGAGAGGTTGATTTTGATGATCCAGAAGATATGAAGTTATTACAAAAACATAGCACGAGTCCAGAGTCTATTAAAAAATCATCAACAAAGGTATCTACTAGGCTACATTGGAATACGCATACGAACACATGTTTAGCCTTAGTTACATGTTCAATAAATAATAATTTTATTGGTATTTATTTATTTACACAAACTCCTAACATTTGTTCTTTATTTTGTTAATATGACATATATTAACTTATTATTCCTATTTCAACAGTCATCATCATCCAGTACTAGCGATGAAGAGAAGTCGACTACTGTACCAGTTATTAAAGCCGAGAAACCCAGCTCTGACAGTTCGAATTCATACGTTAGCGCGGGAGAAAATAGGCTTGATGACCCCCAAATAGAGCCTAAAACACATGCTAAAAGAAGTAGTAGTAGTTCATCCAGCAGCAGCGATGATAAAGAAGAAAATATTTATCCCGTTTCTGTCGATGATGTAGAGAAAGAACACGCAGCACCAACTTTTCCAAGAAAGGAGTCAACTTCGTCAAGCAGTTCTGGAAGTTCAGACTTTAACTATATAGCGTCCCCAAAAAGAGGAAGCGGTGATGAGCAACCAAAATCTCTGGATTCGTTTGTAATTATTGATGATGAGAAACCAGGAAAAACAAATTCCAATCACGACAGTGACGCCGCAAGCAAGGAATTACTTGGTGGGTCGACGAAATCCTCTTCATCTTGCAGCTCTGATTCGGATTCACAAAAATCTCAAAAAATTGAGAGAGAAACAAAATCACCAGATTTTGTCATGGTTGTCAAGGAACCGCCGCAAACACATGACAAGACGTCGTCGTCAAGCAGTGAATCTGAAAATGATGAAAAAATCAATGTAGTAATCGAACCCGAGTCAATGCCGACAAAACGAAAGACCTCTAGTTCCTCTAGTGACGATAGCGAACAAAAAGAAAGTGTTGTTTCTGGTGATTCTTCATACGTGGTTGTCGACGATGATAATCCAACAAAGAGTGAAAAGAAGGAAGATGTATCAATGTCTTCAGAAAGTAGTACTTCGTCGGAATCAGAAGATGAAAGCAAAACAATCACTGCAACCCCAAATATTCCGATTGAAGAGACTGTGACTATTACATCTTATCAATCGCCACACAAACAAACAACATCGAGCAGTAGTTCCGAAAGCGAAGGTGAAACGAAAAAGATAGAAGATCAAGTGCTAACCTCCCCAAAATGTGATGGCAGTTCTTCCTCATCTTCGTCGGAAGACGAAAAAAATGAATCTAAACCTGGAGTAACAGAAACCTTGCACATGAAGCCTGTCGATGTGCACGAATCAATGAGTAGTAGCAGCGAAAGCAGTGAATCTGAAAAGGAGCAAGATACAAAAGATGAACCCGTAGTTAAAGATAACGCTGACATACAATTGGTGGCACCAAAAAAAATTAGCCTTGATGCAGAGTCAATGTCATCAGAATCTTCAGTATCTGATGATGAAGAAAGGTATTCGAATAAAAAAGACAGTCAACTCGAAGCAGCTGTTAATCGAAAATCAAGTTCGTCATCTTCAGAGTCGGAAAATGATGATAACAAAAAAGATGAACAAATGCCTCCAATTCAACAGAAAGCAATGGAAAAAGAGAGTCATGTTATCAAATCTTCTTCTTCGTCATCCAGTGAAGATAACGACGCAGAGACAGTGGTGCCGATTTTTGGTGATAAGAGGGCTTTGGAGAAAAAACATTCTTCATCGTCTTCAAGTTCGGAATCCGATGATGATAGCAAACAACCTGTTATATTGCTACCCGATAAAGAGTTGGTGAAAGCAAGAACGTCGTCAACAAGTAGCAGTGAAGACGAAATTGTATCTGATAAATCAGAGACTAAAGCAAAAGTGGGCATGTCATCGAGTAGCAGTAGTAGCGAATCTGATGACGAAACCAGAAGACAAAGAAATGGGCCTGCAAGCATATCACCAAAAAACATTGTCCAAAAAATATCGTCCAGCAGCAGCAGTGAGTCTGACAACGAGAAGAAAATTAAAACTGATCAAAAGCTTTCTTCAGATGTCCAGCAGAAAGATAAGGCGACTGAATCATCTTCGAGCAGCAGTGAATCGGAGAACGAAAAGAATTTGGATTCTGAGCCCAAGAGTCAAAAATCTACTGAAAAGGATCAACCACTCTCTTCTAGCAGTAGTAGCGATTCTGACAGCGAAAAAGAAATCGATGATATTACGAAGAAACCAATAACGGGTGGCGAGTCATCGGAATTTCCAAAACAAAAAGAATCGTCCAGTAGTAGTGATAGCAGCGAATCTGATGGTGAAAATAAAAATATTGATGTAGAAATTGTTCCAGACGTTAAAACTAAAGATAAACTTTCTTCGAGCAGTAGTAGTGAATCTGAAGACGATGGCACCAAAGGCGATGGTGATAAACAAATTAAACAGGAAACTGATGTAAAAATTGGTGAACTCGTTTCCGCGGGAAAGTCTTCAAGCAGCAGTAGCAGCGAATCGGAAGACGAGATCGACCAGACCAAAGATAATGGAAACTTTGCCGCAGACAAAGAGGATATTAACTATTCTGAAAAATCGGGTCATTCTTCATCTTCTTCCAGTTCAGGTGAATCAGACGACGAAGTTAAAGAAGAAATACATAGTGAGATTGTTCAAGCTGAAAATAAAAGTCCACAAAATAAAGATAGAACTGTCTCGTCATCTAGTAGCAACGCAGCTCAAGATCTGCCAAATAAAGAATCGCTTGTTTCTTCAAGTAGCAGCGATTCGGAGACAGAAGTAACAATCGCTGTACCAACACAAACTTTTAGATCAAAAGAAAGAAAGACCAGCAGTTCTAGTAGCAACTCGGAAAATGAATATAAGAAACCAGACAAATCGCTGGAGGATTCAGTGCTGCCGGATGTTCTTCCAACTGTGGAAGCACGCAAAACACCTCCGGATTCCGGATCGTCTTCTTCGTCGTCTGATTCAGAAAACGGGGATAAATCTAATGAGTCTAAAAAAGAAACTACGCAAAAATTGGAAGTTTCACAAACATCAGAAGCAGAACAGGGCCCCCGCGATTCTATGTCCTCTACCTCCTCTAGTTCTTCTTCTGAGTCAGAAGATGAAGACAAACATAATGAACACCAGAAGGAACAGCTGCCAGCGGTAGAAGCCCTTCCACCAGTGGAAGCTGACCGAGAACGTCGCGATTCAACGTCATCTTCCTCATCCAGTGCATCATCTAAATCTGGACACGAGGAAGAAGAAAATACGCCTGAACCTGTAGAAGAAACAGTGCAACCAGAAGAGGCTGCTCCATCGGTAGAAGCAGAAAAACGCCGCGATTCAACATCATCTTCGTCATCAAGTTCGTCATCGTCTGAAGACGAGGCACCCGAGACACCTAGAATGACACCAAGTAAAAAGCGAGACGACATTGTCCTAACATCGGGTTGGAGAAAGGCGGTGAAATTACTCGATTTAATACGAGCCAGATTGATATTGGAATCGACTGTCAAAAAGTTGGAGTTTGGGGAAGTCACCGAAGAAGAAGTACAGGAAGGTCTCAAGCAATATCTGGTTGGAGACGAACCTATCGCTGGTTTGATTAAAGTCGATACCGGAGAAAAAATGTCCTTACTGGATGCCTGCAGAAAGGGAATTATCCGACGAGGAACAGCACTCAGCTTGCTTGAGGCACAAGCCGCTACTGGGAGTATTATTAACCCTGTAACGGCAAGAAAAATGTCTGTTCAAGACGCTGTCGAGGAAGACCTTGTTGATCGACAGTTTCAAGTTGTGTTACAAAGAGCTGAGCGCGCAGTACATGGTTATGTATCACGACTTGCCCCTCAACCATTGTCCTTATTTGAAGCCATGAAAAGGAAGCTTGTTGTTGAAAATCACGGAATAAGATTATTGGAAGCACAAATTGCCACAGGAGGTATTTTAAATTTAGTAATATATGTTGATTTAAAAATAAATAAAGTATTATTTAGTAATTTGTAGCTTCTGGCGAGCCCTCTTAACATTAGTACTACTCAAAAATTTGTAACGACAAGAAAAAGTCAATATATATAACTAATCATATATATATATATATCATATTAGCTAACTGCACATTGCAGAACAAAGCATAGTGTTTCAATAACTGTGAATGAAATGAAACAATAAAATTGAAAAATACACAATTATTGGTATTGCGTTCTTTTGTATCACTGAAACTTTTTTTTTCAATTTCAAAATGATTTCAGGAATCATTGACCCGCTAGCCAATCATCGACTCCCCGTTGAAGTTGCATTTGAGAGAGGACTTTTTGACGAAAGATTGCAGAAAATTCTAGAAGACCCATCTGATGACACGAAAGGTTTTTTCGATCCTAACACAAAAGAAAACCTGACATATCTTGATCTAATGCAACGTTGCGTCTTGGATAAAGATACAAACCTACGACTCTTACCTTTGTTTGAAGGAGATAAACAAAAAGAATACGCAGAAAAACACAAATCACAGGACGGCGAAGGCAGAAAGAGCAATCGCAGCAGTCTTGGATGATTGGATATGGAAGCAAATACTAATCAGGTGACCACAATCGATCACAGAAACACACCATATATGTATGGTGAATATGTATAAAAATGGTGATGAAAGGATATGATTTTCTTATAGTTTTTATCATTGAAAATACTTTCAAGAAAAGACACTGACGGATATTATATTCTTAAGAAATACTTATGACAAGGTGCTATCTAATTAACGATTTTATATTTCAAGTACGATTAATCAATTTTGATAGCAGATCTTACCTCAAATCTGTTTTCTAATTTACATTAATTGAAATTTCCCATATTGTATGCATTTGGTTGGTTCCGAAATTTAAGCTGATGATTTACGTTCACATCAGCTTTGTTGAACAAGAATTAAGAAAAAACGTTATTCGAGTAATAAATGCTAAAAACCAAGGCCCTTGAACCTAGCATTAATTTGTCGAAAGTTTCAAAAATACGGGACCAAAATAAGTATACAAAATACCGTTAAAATTGTTTACTCAAATACGTCTTCCACTAATGGTTATTTAGTTACCTTAAACGCTGTTACATTCTATATATTTTATATTACTTCAAATTCATTGTTAAATTTGCATTATGCAGAAGAAAGTTTTAGTTTCCTTTCATTGTGCCGCTTTCGATTTTTATACAAAAGGTGCTCGAAAATTTGTGTTGACTTGACCCACACGTTTCAAGATACAAATCGCGATACGAGAAATGTATTCTTATTTTTTTTTCACATTACACTACGCTTTTTGAATGGGTTACTAATTTCTGTAATGTAGTACATGAAACAATTTTGTACATTTTATTTTTTTTTGTGCATCCGTCCTGTACACGATTGTAAAGTAAGCTACTGCAATTTTGAACGAAATCTAAAATTTCTGTACGTTTCAACTGTAACAACATATATAGCTGCTATCATATGCTACCCAGACCGTGTTTACGTTACCGAAGACTAAATATATATATATTATAAATATTATTTCGATAAAGAATCGCCTCTGCACTCACTACTATAAACCGGTTGCGACTGGCAAGTCGTTGACAAGGCAGTGGGAATTTTCAGTGTAACCGTACAAGATTCATTTTATTACTGGTTACAACATTACTCCTTTTCATTTTTATTTTATGTGGATGACGCTCTGGTTAGTTTTTAAAATTCACGTATATTGCGATGATGCGGAATAAAATAGATGCGCATACTTACGGATACTGTAAATGTAACTTACCCTGTTTGATTTATGCTGAACTTTCTATGCTGCTTGCAAGTATTTCTTTATGATATTCACTAATACACTACCCATTTTATAACATACAAATATATTATATTTCTATTTCAAATAATACAAAAATATAACTGAACTTTACAGCATATAACCTTTATTTTATTGGTCTCCTGTATTTGGGAAAGATAGCGCTTTGAACGATTGAATTTAGTGGGCCGAAGTAATCCGACGACGTTGGCATCGTTTGCGGTCCGCCAACATCACAAACGAAGTCCAGAACGTAACAATATCAGTAATCTTTGCGTACGTTTAACGTTCGATGGTCTCATCCAGTGCTATTTAGAACGCCGTTATAATAAATACCAGGAATAATTACCTCAGTCTTCACTTCTCCTGATCACCAGATATAGCGAACCCGGAACAGTCTCAAACTGCGCATTTTTAAAGTTTGATGGCATCATCGCACACAGAATCTCAAAGGGCCCACTGAATTTTTTTGAATAAATAAAAGTAATAGCTTTCTAGCGAAATATGATAACGATTCTCGAATAAATGGACATGAAAGCCAAAGCGAAGCAGTAGTATACCTTATCTTATGCAGTAACTTACCCTATCTAGTCTACTGTGCGGTACGGTCAAAAAACTCCCCACACTTTTGCAGCACGAGAGAGGTCATAGAACCGCTACAAATAATTTTTATTAATTTTGAAGAGATCATCACACAAAACTTCGAAGTGAAGAAGCGACAACATCAATCTTTAACCTCTGAATTTTAAAGCAATTGATCTAATAGTTAATGAGAAACAATAGCAAGAAGAAAAATACAAAATGACAAAACGATCCATAGGTCCATAACAAAAAGAAGCTGAAACGAAGTAGTGCGGATATCTAATATTTTACAGTAGACTACCGCGATGAGTATATATCCTCGTTGACTACCAGAACCACAGTCTCGAGGTCCTCGTCTGACTATCAGATCACAATAATCGCGAACGCGGGGCCGCCACAAGATGCGCAATTTTAAATTTTGATGACTTCACCGCATCGTGTCCAATAAAATAAAGTAACGAGAAAAATAAAATACCTTCCTGACCATGCAATGTCTCTGCCAACACAGTAAATACGATTCCGAGTTCACCTGTAGCTGTAGGCCTACCTTATATAATTACCGTACTAAATAAATACCGTAGGCCAAGGCTACTCAACTATTTTCACCTAAGGTCCGTACACAAAATTAAAAAATTACCGGGGTCAGGTCATTCCAAAAAATATGTCCTAACTATGCAAACTATTCAAATGCATCGTTTGACAAAGTACAAGAACAATGTTCAATATCGCGCTTCGGTCCCGTTATGACAAGACTTCACTGAAGTTCAGTCGCGTAGCTGAGCGCCGACTTTGCTCGAAAGATCTGAAATATTATATATTTAAAAGTCTTCCAGCGACTTGAATTATTTTTCATGCTGAAAACTTCTGTGTCCAATAGCAAGTTATTTGTGAATCGTTAGTCTGAGAAACTACATTTTTTCGTTTGTGCCAACTATTTCTATCTTGTTTCTAGCCAGTGAGAGTATGCTCTTCTTCAAAATTGGGTCATTGATCTATTACTATTTTTAAATTTCGAAAATACAACTAAAACGTGACAAATAGCATCCAAAGCCACAAAAACAGACTAATGTTTACCACCGTGTCTAAAAATATGTAAAAAATGTAACCAAACGGCGCTATAACTTCAGTATTTACCCCACCATTGATCTTGCTGGATAGTAAATGCTTAGAGTATGAACAAGTGAGTCGATGATCTGAGAAACTTAAATTGCTATGACAATTTATACCCAGTGGTTAAGCAAAAAATAGATTACGATTATGAAATTAAAAGAAACGATGCATTCGAAGTCAAAAAGCAGCTGCGGTCCAAATTTATTACTCGGAAGGTCCGTATTCGGACCGAGGTCCGCCGTAGCCCTCTTGCTGTAGGCTACACACAGTCAGCCACCATTAGACCTCGGGATTTTATAATCACGCCCACTTCTTTTCAAGCCATTGGAAAGTCAAGTAAAATAAAGTCACTGCAAAAAATTGGAACTGAATTATTGCAATACCGTGTTTTCCCGATAATAAGACCTAGCCTGAAAATAAGACCTCTACCCTGAATTTTAAAACCGATTTTAATATAATGCCCTCAAAATAAGACCTAGTCGATAGCGCGAATTTTTTGTGATTTAGGCGATAGCAAGAAATCTCTCCTACATGTTTTAAGGTCTCTTTGTTTAAGTTGAAAAAGGTTTTGGACAAAGAAGACCTCTACGCTAAGGCAATTGAAGCAAAATCTATTGTTGGTGATTTTCACCAACATTTATTATCACGTGAGATTAAGTATGGGCACATTGTTTTGTATGATTTAGTTCCGAACTGGAAATAGATTCTTTCTGGATATCAACTTTAAAGTGCTCGCGTGTAAATTCCTTTAAATCGGAATAATGTGCAGTGTTAATATAATTTTTTAATTATAACCCATTCATAGTTGCACATTAACTGTAACACTATAATATTATAACTAGTCTGTATTGTAAAATACAGCTATATTTAACGCCACATCGTCAATAAATATAGTAGTATAAAACATCTAAGGATGATATAGTTTTTAATTATAGTAACCCAAACAATAGCGTAAATTAAAGCCAAATATACCAAGAAAATGGCAACTTTGCATTATTACATTTAATTTTCTCTATTTTTCTGTTATATTTTTTTCTTACCTTCTTCCTCTAGAACGCTTTCCCTCTTTCTTTCTAATTTTTCACTTCATCATCTTGACAATTTCCTCCTTCTTTTCTCCTTACCCGGCCAAGACGAATTACTCGTCACTAGGGGGCTCAATGAGTGTGCATTAAGGTGCATTTCTCCGAGTCCTCCTGGTGGCGAGAATGTTTCGTTGAGGCCAGGACCTCTGTTAACCCTTCATTTTGTTTTATAAAAAAAGAAATACCATCTACAAGCCTCCCCTGAAACGAACGTAAGTATAAAACATGGTAAGTATAGGTGGGTCGAGGCCTACTTTCAAAGAAAAGAAAAAAAAGTAGCACTGGAAACGATTGAGAGCTGAGAAATCAAGTTGTAAAAAATAAAATATAGTCTATAGGCCATAAGGCATTCCAGACTGTGATATATCGAAATTCAGTGTAGATTTAGTCTGGTATGTAAACACTGCAGGACTGTAGTTCATACAATGAGCATATACACGCTCATTCAGTACATCAGATAAAATGCATTATGTATGAGAAGTATTAGTCAGTATTTAGTGGTATTTTTACACTCATGCTGTTCCAAATATGATTTTCTTCCTCTTTTTAGATACTGTACTACAAAAGAAAACGGCAATGTTTCACCAACCCAACCTAACACAGGCTCTAATCCCTGCTGCTATCAGCGCTATAAAATGGATCGAACAAGAAGTCTTGAAGCGTAAAGGTATATGAGAATCATAACAGATGCAAACAGCTCAGGGGGGTATTCATAATGAAATACTTTGGCACTTTTCTGCAATTAAAACTGCCCATCAAACTGATGCTGGAGAACTTGATTGAGTTATTCAATTCATTATTTTCTCAACTATGAAGATCTTTTGTAAATGATACCAGGGCACGTCTTTTTAACACTGGTAAACAAATGGATTATACTCTTCCACCCAAAAATGATTCACTGAGGAAGCATGTTCTGAGAGAAGATTACCAGGCAGGACTTCATCACTGTTGCCTAGAACCAAGGAAAAGTCGATTTTTCAGAATGTGGATTTTGGAAGCAATTCAGAAGTGAATTAGATATTGAAGTTGATTTATTAAATATTATTTATTAGTTTTTTTCAGACATCTGTTAGTATCGTAGTTCCGTTTCTAGAAATAATATTGCCTTTGTTTCGAATAAACAACCACATAAACTAAAAAAAAGACTAATTGTAATATTTCTGTTCACTGTGTTATGTACATACTGTATTCATTTAATTTTCTTGACTTTTCCGGTAAATTTGTAAGTGAAAAATAACTGATTTAGTTGTGTTTTTGTGCTGACGATGTTGATTTGTGACTTCATTGCTTAAAAATAAATACGTTTGATAGCTTCTTTAAAATGAATGCAACTTCTTATGCTGTTTATTGTTGTAAACTGCTTGACTGAGGAAGTTTGATTTTGGTCAGACCAGACGTTACAGAAATACATTTGTGTTAGTGTGCAGCAGGGCTCTTGAATTGCATATTTCTTATGCTGTGCTGTTGTAAACCTATGGGTATTGCTTTTCAGGGAACCCCTAATATTAAATTTCGCATCAGGATTGTGGAAAAAGCTGTAATGCGTTCAGTATGTTCATTTTCAAACAAAACTTAAGTATTTATTTAGTTACCGAATGTGCGCTAATAAACTCGTTTTCTGGGCGTTTTTCAAGGCCACGTCTCACGGCCTAGGCTGTGTCCATGGTAAGGATCCACAGGTGTTTAATAACTTACTTATACTTTTTAACAACGTCTTAGCATAACTTAATTAATAATAACTAAAAAAGGCTACCGACGCAAGATCGAGCAGTAATAACTGAGATTTATCCGCCAGTTAACAGCTGATCAAATTTAATTGTTACGTCATGCAGAAGTCTGCGTTCATTGGCCAATATTGCCGGAAAAGTAGAGAATATAGGACAGATCGTAGCACCTATTTCTTGTAGTAAAAGCGTCTTTTTTGTAAAACGTGCAACTTTTGGAAATGGTAACAAGGTAATATTTGTTACTAATTTCTAAGGAACATTTTAGAATTATTTGCATTAGAAATATGTGCGCTACGAAAATCATTTTCTAGGCGTTTTCCAGGGCCTCGTCTCTCGGCCTATATCGTTTGTTAACAATCCGTTATTTATTTAAACTCTTTTTGTCTTTTTACGACACATGTCTACAAAGAAATATATTATGACGTAACAAATGAGTGAGCTCTGGATGAAGAGCGCACCATTCAGTTGGCTACATTGGTACGTAATATAGCTCGACTGTGCCACCCTTTTTCTTCATTTCTGCTTGATTTATAAAGTTGTACAGCTCATGCTAGTTAGAGATAATTGCTAACTTACTGTTATAAGTTGATTTGGAAAGAAATATAAGCGATTAGGGA